TCTGCACCGACTCGCGCCTGTCGTGACCTCGATCTCAATCTACCTATCTCGATCCCAGCTCAGCACCCATATTGACCCTGGATTGACCCTGGCGTGACCGAGATTGATATTTCCTCATCGACTGTCGACCAATCACAGTCTATGTGTGTTCAATCAAGATGCAATCATTACTTTTCATAAAAGTTAATTCAAATTGTAATTAATGATAATGCGATTGATTTGCAACGACCAGGAAACTGCTGACCTGGTAGATTTGTGGGGCCAACCCAAGCTGAGAGACCAGATAGAAAATAAAAAAACAAACAACAAAACGGGAATTTTTGGTGTGCTTGCTGACAGATTAGCCAGTCTCAGACATGAGAAGAGAATGATGGCCCAAATTCAAACAAAAGTGAAGGCATTACGAGCCCAATACAAGCTGATAAAAGATTAGTTGTAAAATCTTTGATTGCGATCCACCCAATCACACGCGCGTATATCGATTCCCGTGAAACAGAGTTGGTCAAACTCTCTCTTTACGGCTCTGCTGTTTCGACTTTCATAATTTAGAGGTCAATCCAACTAGTGTGACCGACCCAGAATTTCGAGCCTGGCTCGAAATCTCACCCGCGATGAGTCAAGCCAGGCTTGAGACGCTAGTGTGACCGTAGCCTAAATGTTTTCAATGACAAAATAAATGATATGAGTGGCAAATCCAGGAATATTTAATATGGCCCAGGGAGAGACTTCCACTGATAAAGGGTCAGGACTACCTCAGCCCCAACATGGTTTATGATTACGGCACCTCTAAATGGCCGGATATGGCACTCACAGAAAATTACAAAATTGATGGGCCCCTTTAATTCGCCACTGGATATAATATGATATACAGTCGATGTTAGAGACACATTATGCTGTTATGTATCAACAAAGCCCTTTTGGGTCAGGGTGCTACAAGACGCCTGAGCACGAGAGAGCATAGGCGTTACACCACTGCCTGAGGTACATACATTAGATTGCAGGTTAAAGGTTATCAACTGTAATGATAGTGGATGCATCAGTTCAACTGATAAAATCAATATACTTAGCAATACATTCCATGCTGTATTAGTAGATAAAAACCATTTTACTCAGTACATATAAGACAAAAAAAAAGTATACATCATCATCATATTCATAAAGTTAGTCTTGAATCATTGTTCTGAACCCTAGACCCAGATCCAGAAAAGGTACTGCAAGATTCAACACTTAAACTGCAGGATATCAGAAAATTTGGTCTCTTTCATTTCTTTCTTTTATTTCTTCTTTACCCTGGGGGCCCTGATCAGTGCTTTTATGCACTCATCAGGTCTCTATGTTCTGGCCAAGTGATGTGTAAAAAGTTATGCATTGTGCGTCCCTTGCTAACACTCACTGAAAGGTAATAAAAAAATAGTGACAACAATAGAGAGCAAAGCATCCTAGCTGCAGTGACCACAGTCGATGAACACCCAATGATACAAAATATGCATGCTGATATTTCAGTGATATTCATAAAATATGTTTAAAAAAAAAGAATAAAGGTAGTAGGCTATACCTTTATTCTTTTTTACATGGCCCCTGCTATGAGAAAAAAAGAGAAATTTATGACACTTAACCAGAAATTAACCTGTCAAGTTTTTAGGTTCGAAATTTTGATTCTTATCCTGATAACTTATTAAATAAATTATAGCTCAATTACAAATATGTTTTTTATATAATTATTTATTTTAATTGCTGAAATTATTGAAGGGCCAAATTGAAATCACTTATGTGCCAGATTTTGTTCAGGGTCACCATCTGAATATCCCTGGTGTACTACTGAATACAGTACTGCTGTTGACTATATTTTGATTTTGTAGTACGGTGTTTGGTCTTCTAGCAAAGTACCAATCAAATAATAGTAAAAAGTACATCCCTGGGGCCAGTGGCGTAATGCTGGAGAGGGGCCCTGTGGCTTTCTGAGAGTGGGGGCCTTTTGAGTCCTGGTCGGCAATTCCATTGTGGGATTTTAGATGTGCTCGTTTTTTGATTGTTTGTTATTGCATTCTAAGGCTACCGTCACACTAGAGTTTCAAGCCTGGCTTGACTCACCGCAGGTGAGATTTTCGTAATGTGACCGCATCTGCACCGACTCGCACCTGGCGTGACCTCGTTCTCAATCTACCTATCTCGATCCCGGCTCAGCACCCATATTGACCCTGGATTGACCCTGGCGTGACCGAGATTGACATTTCCTCGTCGGCTGTCGACCAATCACAGTCGATGACGCCGTTGCGTTTAGAAGTTCTTGAATAAAACCCCGCGAGTTCTTCATGTGTGTTCAATCAAGACGCAATCATTACTTTTCATAAAAGTTAATTCAAATTATAATTAATGATAATGCGATTGATTTGCAGCAACCAGGAAACTGCTGACCTGGTAGATTTGTGGGGCCAACCCGAGCTGAGAGACCGGATGGAAAATAAAAAAACAAACAACAAAACGGGAATTTTTGCCGTGCTTGCTGACAGATTAGCCAGTCTCGGACATGAGAAGAGAACGACGGCCCAAATTCAAACAAAAGTGAAGGCATTGCGAGCCCAATACAAGCTGATAAAAGATCAGTTGTAAAATCTTTGATTGCGATCCACCAAATCACACGCGCGTATATCGAATCCCCTGAAACAGAGTTGGCCAAACTCTCTCTTTACGGCTCTGCTGTTTCGACTTTCATAATTTAGAGGTCAATCCAACTAGTGTGACCGACCCAGAATTTCGAGCCAGGCTTGAGACGCTAGTGTGACCGTAGCCTAAATGTTTTCAATGACAAAATAAATGATATGAGTGGCAAATCCAGGAATATTTAATATGGCCCAGGGAGAGACTTCCACTGATAAAGGGTTTATGATTATGGCACCTCTAAATGGCCGGATATGGCACTCACAGAAAATTACAAAATTGATGGGCCCCTTTAATTCGCCACTGGATATAATATGATATACAGTCGATGTTAGAGACACATTATGCTGTTATATATCAACAAAGCCCTTTTGGGTCAGGGTGCTACAGGACGCCTGATCACGAGAGAGCATATGCGTTACACCACTGCCTGAGGTACATACATTAGATTGCAGGTTAAACTAGGTTATCAACTGTAATGATAGTGGATGCATCAGTTCAACTGATAAAATCAATATACTTAGCAATACATTCCATGCTGTATTAGTAGATAAAAACCATTTTACTCAGTACATATAAGACAAAAAAAAATTATACATCATCATCATATTCATAAAGTTAGTCTTGAATCATTGTTCTGAACCCTAGACCCAAATCCAGAAAGGTACTGCAAGTTTCAACACTTAAACTGCAGGATATCAGAAAATTTGGTCTCTTTCATTTCTTTCTTTTATTTCTTCTTTACCCTGGGGGCCCTGATCAGTGCTTTTATGCACTCATCAGGTCTCTATGTTCTAGCCAAGTGATGTGTAAAAAGTTATGCATTGTGCGTCCCTTGCTAACACTCACTGAAAGATAAAAAAAATAGTTACAACAATATAGAGCAAAGCCTCCTAGCTGCAGTGACCACAGTCGATGAACACCCAATGATACAAAATATGCATGCTGATATTTCACTGATATTCATAAAATATGTTTAAAAAAAAGAATAAAGGTAGTAGGCTATACCTTTATTCTTTTTTACATGGCCCCTGCTATGGGGAAAGGTAAAATATGACAACAATTAAAGTCAGACTCTGGAGGTAAAACAATTTTTGATATGTAATAGCACTGATTTTTCTAAGACAGAAAAAAATTGTCTGACGAAAAACTGGGGAACGGTGAATGAGGTACACATTTTTGAATATTTAAAAACTGGGGGGAAAGGTGCAAAAAAGGGTGGTTACGCCCCCTTTCCCCCAGTTTTTAAATATTCAAAAATCTGTATCTCATTCACCGTTCCCCAGTTTTTTTATGATACTGAAAATAAGTAGTTTTTTGTGCTATTTTTTGTTTCTTTTTATATTCAACTTTGTATTTATCATGTGGTACCTACAAGTGGTGTAATGCTGGGGAGGGGCCTTGTGGCTTTCTAAGAGTGGGGGCCTTTTGGGTCCTAGTCGGCAATTCTATTGTGGGATTTTAGATGTGCTCGTTTTTTTTATTGTTTGTTATTGCATTCTAAATGTTTTCAACGACAAAATAAATGATATGATTGGAAAATCCAGGAATTAATATGGCCCAGGGAGAGACTTTCACTGATAAAGGGTCAATACCACCTTTATCATGAAATTTATGATTATGGCACCTCTAAATGGCCAGAAATGGCACTCACAGATTTAAAATTAAACAAATTTAGAGCCCCTTCGCCACTGGATATAATATGACATACAGTCATGTTAGAGACACATTATGCAGTTATGTATCAACAAAGCCCTTTTGGGTCAGGGTGCAAGAGGATGCCTATGCACAAGAGCGCATAAGCATTAAACCACTGCCTAGGACACATATATTAGATAGCAGGTTAAAGGTTATCAATTTTAATGATAGTGGATAGATAGATAGATAGATAGAATTGTTACCATTTTCTTCCCTGAGGTCCAGGGTATTATCTTAAACTACATTTTATTACAAAATAAAATTAAAAGAAATGGCAAGTTGATTTGATATGCAAACAATTCTAGAGTATGATTTTGATTCACAGGCACATTCATCAGTTGAACGAGCAGCACTGATTGGCTCGATCAGAATGAGAAGCCTGCCATCAGATGATGAGAATGCTTTCCGAGGAGAGGCATTACAGAAAGCAATAGCAGAAGACAAAGCCAAGGGCTTGATACCTTTTTTTGTAAGCTGAACTTATATTTACTACTGTAATTTAATTTAATTTTTCTTCTTTATACTGGGTATATGCTGTTCATTAGATATCTACTGTTCTCTACAGGGCTCAGTTATGCTTTAATAACTAAGTCTCATTACTGTCTCTTATACACATCTAGATGTGTATAAGAGACAGGTGCTAGGTAACCCACTGGGATAGTCCCAATTTCCACGCTTATTATCCAACTGGTAATTCTTTCCCATCAATTCTCGGAGACATGCTGAGTGATGTCATTGGATGCATTGGATTCACTTGGGTAAGAGTCACTAATTAATTTTGTATGATTAAATCTCATGAATATATGTCAATGGCCATTCGTAGCATAATTAGGCTTTTTAGCATAATTTGGACCCCTGTAGAATTACTGCTACACATAATTTCATGTAGGATAATTTAGAATTGACGTAAATTTCATTACATCTAGAAAAATAAATTGTAAAAACAGTCTGAGAGTGCCATTTCCAAGTATCTAGAGGTGCCTATTTTTTAAAAAGTGCTAAAAATCGATCACTGGGTGCTTTCATGGTTTTATTCTTATTAAATGCGAAATGATGTAGTGTAGTGGTTGATCACTCAGATCTAAAATTAATCCCTGTAAGCAGAACTATCAAAAAATGTCCAAGATTCATATTCTTATTAGCTCAGCTGAGTTTGACACAGCAGCTCAGGAAAAAGAAAAACTTTATCTCTATAGACATGGTTATTGTAATGATTGCAGAGTTCTGATCATTTGAAACTCATGATAGAAGAAGTCCATTGTTAAATTACAGAGGTAAACACAACTAAATTTGAGTTATTTTGGAATGCTTCTATTGGGATTTATCATCAATAACATTAATACTTAATTTTTACATGGTAATAAAAAGTGCTGGTTCAGGCGATGTTGTATCCCTACAGTATGTGCAAGTATTTCATGACTTATAAATAAAATGAATAGCGGTCGCTTCCCATCATTAATGATGGTAATATAAGGTCTACTTTATATACAGTATATATTTTTGTATGCAGAATAAGAGAATGGATGTTGTTATCTGGATGTTTTTTTTTTTTATCAGATTGCCAGTCCAGCGTGCACAGAGCTTGAAACGATTGTAATGGATTGGTTGGGGAAGATGGTTGGTTTACCAGATGAGTTCTTGGATGAGGGTGTTGGCAAGGGAGGCGGAGTGATACAGGTAAGCTAACAGAAAGGGAGTGATAATACAAGTAATGTAGTTGGATTCATAATATACTAAAGTCTGAAAGTGTGTGGATTAGCCCATACAGAATTTCTTGGAAAATAACCCATCTCTTGCAAATTAATTAAATCTGCATTTTTTCACTACTGTATTACCTCTTTATCATCATTTGTCAGTGTCAATTCACATCACCATAAGCAGTAAAACAAAATTAGATGTGCTAAGAAACTTGTTTAAACGGATCTCCCAGAAATTACTTCTTCTAATTTGGGACCGTGACATGGTTGAATTTTTTTATGTATTTTGCAGGGTACAGCTAGTGAGTCCACGTTGGTGTCACTTCTAGCGGCCAAAATGAAGCGAATTCGCCAGGTACTTGAGGAGGACCCAGACAAAAACAAAGACGAGTATGATGTTTTGCCAAAGCTAGTGGCATATACTTCGGATCAGGTAAAAAAAAGTCCTAAAACCCAACACAAACCAGACTTTTTGCTGAAACCATTTTGGCAAGTTGATTTGATATGCAAACAATTCTAGAGTATGATTTTGATTCACAGGCACATTCATCAGTTGAACGAGCAGCACTGATTGGCTCGATCAGAATGAGAAGCCTGCCATCAGATGATGAGAATGCTTTCCGAGGAGAGGCATTACAGAAAGCAATAGCAGAAGACAAAGCCAAGGGCTTGATACCTTTTTTTGTAAGCTGAACTTATATTTACTACTGTAATTTAATTTAATTTTTCTTCTTTATACTGGGTATATGCTGTTCATTAGATATCTACTGTTCTCTACAGGGCTCAGTTATGCTTTAATAACTAAGTCTCATTATGGGATGTAGGGAGTGGACTTGTTTTAGTAATGATAAAGTGATCATGCTTTCATAGGAATTGAACCCAGGATCCTGGGATTTTAAGGCAAGCATCTTAACCACAAGCTATTGAACTTCACTCCACCCTACATGAGCATTTTCTTACATTTTAAAAGGCATTTTCTAACTTCATTTTTGAAAGACCTTCAAGCGACAGGAAGTTGTTTTTTTCCTCATTTAGCAAAATAATTCGGCAAAAAGCATGTAGGTATTATTATTAATGTACAGTAGAAAAAGTAATGGAGGCACCCTCACATGAGATCCTATAGCATTTTTGTAAAGAATCCGAGGTTGCGATGTAAACAGATCAGTTATTAGATTGATAAATACTTTACATTTATTTAATTGTGATTAAGAAATAAAGATTTTTTGTTTTTAATATTTTATGGAGGTAATGAAATATATAAATAAAATAAATATATTAAAATTTATTTTTTCTGACTGCAGTGTGGTGTTAATAACATTTTTGTCACAACACCTTAAATTTAACCAATCACAGTTAAAGTAAACATTTGGTTTGAATGTGTAGGTCAGTATAGAAAAAACCTAAATCCAAGAATGAGGGAGGGGATAATAAATTTTTATCTTTTAATTGTAGTTGATATATTGTTTTTATTTCATCTTAGGTTTGTGCTACACTAGGAACCACAGGATGCTGTGCCTTTGACAATTTAACAGAACTTGGAGAAATTTGTGAGTCAAAATTGTTCAATTATTAATTTTATTTGATATGTATAGAATGTTTCATGATACAATGGCAAAGACAAGCCAAACCAGTCACACAAAAATTAATTTCCAGTTATTACCTGGTTAAACAGTAAAATGAGAGCTATAAAATGGTAAAAGAATCATTTAAATCCGATATTTCGTTAAGAAGTTACAGGAGTTTAAACATACAGATGTTTAAAGAACAATATTTGAGAAATCAGCCCTCAAAGCTTACGATTTCAGACCTTTCTTAGGCAGAAACCATCACCAAATCGTTAAAAATTATTATTTTAACATTGAAAATGGGCAAAATAACAGCATAGCATGATGTATAGATATATAAAGGTTAGTTTAAAGCAATAAAATAGATTTCTAAAAGTTCAACATTCCAGCTTGTTTTGGCCATTATCTCCGAAACAGGATTTGCTACGAGTGACTGGTTTGGCTTTTCTTTGCCACAATTACAATTGTAAATGAAGTAGTGACCTTGTTTGTGGCAAAATTTGTATGCTGCATTACAAAACACACAAGTACAGATACTTATTTAATTATATCAGGGGTCTCCAAGTTGGGAGAAGCCACTTCCATGAAATCTGGTTAAATAACCTTTCTTAACGCTTCTAATTGGTGTGAGAGCTAACCCTGACTATCGCATGTCAATCTTAGTTCACCGGGGTGGGTCCATGGGGGTGGGTCCATGGGGGTGGAGCCGACCAGAAAAAATTCCCCTAATGCTTAGTCGATGCCTCGCATTTACATAGTTTCCCTCTTCCAATCATCACCCTATTTGAAACTCCTGATGTAGATAAACCACTACCTACTGTACTCTTCACAAATTATAATTATTAGAGTATAGCTACTCAGACCACTATTATAGACCAATGGGTAGTCTCCTCAAGTTGAGATTTATAATTTTATATTAACTATTGTTTACTTGTTAGGTGAGAAAGAAAATATTTGGATGCATGTGGATGCTGCTTATGCAGGTACAGCTTTCATCTGTCCAGAATTCAGATATCTTATGAAAGGCATCCAAGTAAGACCATGTTTTACGTATTGTGTATCCCTCTGTAAAAGTGCTTTTACAATTTTTATTGCATATTTATGATAAACATACATACAGCCAGTCGAATAGAAGGTAACTCTTTGGTTTGGCAATTTTAATTTTTATTGAATAACATCCTAGTTTAGGTAATAGTAGGGGTCATATTGCAAGCTGCCGATTATATCTGCTAATACTTTCTGTATGCTATACAAATATGTAAAAATGGACACAAAAAAACTCATTAATCAGAAACCTCCCTAATGTCCAGTGATGTATCCCCTCTAATCAAGCAATCAATCATTTTATAATGATAGTAGAATTTCTATGATTTCTTTTTTCATTCTTGATTTGTTTTTTTTTGTGTGTTTTTATGCATTGATTCTTACGATGTCCCAGAACCTCTGAAGGGTGTCCAGGTGGAAAAGTCCCTGGAAGCTCTAACAAATGAGTGATTTTGAATGCCTAAGGTCTGTAATCCATCTTACAGCCTCATATTCTGTAAAACGGATTTGTTGAGTTTTCCTTTTAGAGAGCTCTTTCTGACGGGAATCTGCATCCGCAACTGGCACGACTACTACATTTTTAAGCAGCACGATAAGTGGTAAAGTGCTGCATTCAAAGCAGTCCTCGAGTTGCATAGACCTCATAATAAGCAGGCTTTACAGAATTAAAATAAAAAAATAAAAGCATATTTTCATCCATTAGGTTGTTTACAGGCCTGTATGTAGGATTTTCGAATGTAGGGAGGGGGGGCTATGCTTGCGAGGCCGAGGCTGTTTATCACCCCTTGCTGGGTCCAGAGGCAGAGAAGCTCCGACAAAGAAGCATATATTTTGGTGTTGTTAGGCCCTGGTATTCAATCTATCGTTCGCAACCCAAGTCAGAGTCACCAAAATATTTAGCAGGATCATTCGACGATAATTGTTGTCGGTGACTGGTAATAAAACTTGTCCTGTCTTCCTCTCTTTTGTGCAAGTGTAACTCTGTGCGAAGTCTTCCTCTCATTTGTGCAAGTGTAACTCTGTGCGAAGTCTTCCTCTCTTTTGTGCAAGTGTAACTCTCCCTGTCTTCCTCTCTTTTGTGCAAGTGTAACTCTGTTCGAAGTATTGTTTCCTGAATTGGGCTTTTTTCAACAAAGTAAAACTAGATATTTTTTTCCCTATCATATTGACTTTGATTCTTATGTTTGCTTCTCATGAGTTTTATGGCAATTTAACTGGATTTTTTTTAATGGTTTTTATTGTGTTTTTGTAATTGTTTCAATTAAATTGATTGTACAAAACACATAAAAGTGTTATTTTATTTTGTACAAATAAATAATAAAGTGATATAATATAATATGCATAAATAAATCAAATTATTGCAGTAGGCCTATAAGGCCAAGGAAAAAAAAATTGTGTTGCAATAGGCTACGGTATGTACGAAATCAGTAGTGGTGTTGTACCAACCATTTAAAATTTTTTTTTTCCAATTACAATCTATTCACTTACTGCGAATATAGTATAAATACCCTAGTATTTTGCATGGTACAAATGAATAACCTTTAACTAATATTCAAAATTAATATTAACATAACAAATCCAAACACCCTGAGCAAGCAGTATAATTAGGAAACTATTTATGGAACCATCAATGTCGCATGTCAATAAAGCGTGATAGCTCATTATACACATGTTGTACAGTTGTCTTTAATTCTGTGGCAAATGCCAGGGACGAAGCCTCAATTGTGAAATGGACAAAAGGAGGAAGTAGACAAAAAGTCTTGCCTAATGAGTACTATTTTTACTAATTACCGTATCTCATTCATTAAGTTCTCAATGCTGTTGTTTTTTACTACCGTATATACTCGCGTATAAAATGAGGCTTAAAATAGCAAATTACAATTAAAAAAAAAGAAACTTGGCTCTGTTTTTAGCCAGCTAGATGCAATATTAAGACCATAAAAAACAGCAAAAAGTAGGCACAAGGGGTCGTCTTATATGCCTGACATAAAAAAAATCATTCAAAAATCCTCTCAAACTCGGGGGTCGTCTTATACACGAGTATATACTGTAATTGGTCATCCGGATCTAGATTCAACATTAATATTAACATTAAATATTCAAACGATCTGAACAAGCTGGATAATTAGGGAACTATTTATTTAATGTCACATCTATATTAAAATTGTTAATGAGCATGATAGCTTGTTAACACATGTTGTACATTGTCTTTATTAATTAATTACCCCATGGTCTGGTCAGACTCAATCTGTGGCTGTTGCCTTAAGAAAGGAAGTAGACAAGAAGCCTTGCTTAATGAGCACTATATTCATTACTTACCTCATTCAAGGTACTCAATATTGTTGATTGACAGGTGAAGGTAATGACTGACAGGTTCTAATTACTTGGGTTGACATTTATAACATTTGTCTTTAATTAATTCTACCTCCGGACTGTGCCAGTATCCACAACAAGTCCTAAATAACAGCTTGACTTTTTTATATTAATATTTTTGTAGAATAAGTGTTTATGTTTCAGCCATTGGTTGTTGTTTTGTATGTTTTTATACAAAAAAAATGAAAAAATAAATTAAAAAAATAAAATGGCCATCATCAACCTCTACATTGTCATTTAAAAACTTTCAGGAGCAAAGTATTGATAAACAATGAACTTAAATTTAATGTATTCATTTATTAGTGTAATCTTTTCTTAAGTGGCACAAAACAAGTATTATGCATTTATAAACAAGCAAAAAATGTGACAGCCCACCTCAGCTCCATTATTGTTGGGTCTGATGAGTGAGAATTTGAATAGTAGCTTTAGATGGCCGGAAATGACACTCTTATCTAGTACAATCCACCACCATCGCATGTTCCTCATAACATATTTCCAAAATTGTGCAAGAGTTGTAAGTTAATGTTATTACTTTAATGGCAAGGGCTGCTGCAGAACACTTTTTCTTAACATCTGGGTCATTTATACAGTTCATTTCAACAATATAACAGTCAAAAAGTGGAGGTATTTAGCCCTTTAATATATGTGGAGGGACAAACAAGTCCCCACTGTCCCCCTATGATCTGCCCCCATGGAACTAGCATCCACTCAAACTGCTATGTGCTTGTAATGTGAATTAGAATTCACTCCTATGAAATGCCATTTGGCACGACTGATCAGTTACCCTGCAAAAACAACAAAAAGTTAACCTAGAATGAAGGCATTACCAACGTCAGCCATATACTATAAGATAAACCTTCTGTAATGAGCTAAAATAAAACACATACTAGATATTTATTTATTTATTCTGGTTTATTCACATCAAAAATTAAAATTATATTTCTTAGATATAAATAGTAAAAAACACCGAAATAACTATAAACTTTATATAGAAAATTTAAAAAGTACCATATTAACAAAAATTTACAAAGCTATACGTACAAAGTAAATGAGTTACGATTATTTACAAAGCTATATGCACAAAATATATAAGCTTTGATTATTTACAAAGTTTACTACGAATTTGGATTTTTATTTTTATTGAAATTAAGTTTTTTATTTATAATTATTTAAATTGGTTATAATTATTTTATTTACAAATTTGAAATATCATTATAAAAAAATATATATTTGGGAAAATATGATAAAAAATATAGACAGGAACATGTGCTAAATAAAAAATGAAGGCAGTTTTGTGAATATTACACTGGACCAGAAGTTAATTGTGGAAGGCCTTCGCTGAGGATATCACTCAGCTGCATGTACCCTTCAATTTAAAGCCTTGTCCCAACTATCAAATTTTATTTGACAAAAACATGTGACATGCCTAAATATGGCCATGATGACATCACATCATGACCATATACAGCCACATCATGACTATATATGGGCATACAACAGTTTTTTTGTCAAAGAAAATTGATAGTGTGGACAGGACTTAAAGAACCTCTAAGGCCTGTCCACATGATCAAATTTTGTTTGACAAAAACATGTGACATGCCTAAATATGGCCATGATGACATCACATCGTGACCATATATAAGCACATCATGACTATATATGGGCATACAAGTTTTTTTGTCGAAGACAATTTGATGGTCTGTACAGAGCTCAAAGCAGTGGAAACTGAATTGTTTTGATCAGTGTTTCTTCAAATGGAGTTGATATAAACTAACAATTGAATATTTTAATTTAATTTTAATCAACATGGATGATACTAATAATAATAATAATAATAATGCACAACAGTACAATTGATTGAATTGTTGATATTTTTAATACAGTATATGTGATTAATAAAACTATTATTTAGCATTTACTTCTCTATATCATTACTAGATATTGATAACTAGTTACTTTTGTTCTATTTATGTCCCTAATTACAGTGCACTAATGTGATACAAATTCCTGCAATTTTGTACCTTGTAGTATAATTAATAATTATATTATTAATGTAGTATAACAATATTATTAATATGGAGACAACCAACCAATGATTTGACCTCAAAAACCATATTTTTACACATGGTGTACTGAAAAGTTTTATGAATTTGCTAATATTATTAATATTAGTATAATTATTAATATAATGTTTTTATGATTAAAATAATTTGTGTATTTTTCAGTATGCCACTTCATTCAATTTTAACCCCCACAAAATGATGCGAGTGAACTTTGACTGTTCCGCATTGTGGGTAAAGGATGAGGCCGATATTGTGCATGCCTTTCACGTTGACCCTTTCTACCTCAAACACAAACACCAAGGAGTTGTGAAAGATTATAGGGTATGTATAATACTTTTTTATAAAATATTGATAAACATATTGGATGAATAAATAATTAGCTAAATTATTCTATATTACAAAATGTGATTATAATATAATGTACATGATGTATAATACAAGTATATTTAATGTATATAAACATAAATATACTCAAGTAGATATAATACTGTACATAAATGTCAGTGGCAGAACTAGGAATTCAAAATACTGATGAGGGTGCCCAGGGTGGACTTTCCCAGATTGGGATCTAGACTACCTCAGCCTCACCATAGTTGGGGCTGAGGTAAGAAAATTTATGATTAAGGCACCTCTAGATGGCTGTAAATGGCACTCTCAGACTTAATTTTGAATATACTTTTCAATTTTTCTTGATTTTTTTAATTTTTAAACATTTAGTGTTGTTTTTATAATGGCCTAATTATAGTGAAGCAAAACATCTCTAATAATAAATATCAAATTTCAAATGACCCATAATGTATTATAAAATGTATTACTATACATCCTAATTATATATTGGTCAATTCCACTCAGTATGCAATCAATATTTTCGACTACCGGTACTTCCCTATGTGTGCATACATACATAGACACGGGGAAAAAGTGCTTCCCAAAATCAACTATCGCATGCCTTGCTATGAACTGTAATTTTACCTTTACGCGGGTCCTATATCTCCCGTAAGCTGCGGGAGTCACCTGGAGATCGGGACGGACTCCCACACTTCCTCATGAATCTCCCAGAAAATAACCTATCTCCACATATTAATAAAATATGCAAGTTTTTAACTACTGTATTTCCCTTTATTTATCATTTGTCTCACAGAAGTCAGTGTCAACTGGTATCACCGTAAGCAGTCAAAACAAAATTAGAAGTGCTAAGAACGTTTTTTTTAAACAGATCTCCCGGAAATTACTTCGTCTAACTTGTGGACCCTGCCTTTACAGCTTAAAATGGCTAATGTAGATGGATGAGTGATTAATGTTTGAGATACACTGTAAAACCTTAAATAGAAGCCCTAGGCTTCTTTTCTTTTGCAAACTTTGGATGGGCTTCTTTTTAAGGCTACTTTTGCAATGTAAACAGGGAGGCTTCTTTTCAAGATGAATGCTGGAATTACTACTATAAAAAAATAAATAGGGTCACTGTAATGTAATATGGGAGTGTAAACCAGCATTCAATCACCTAATCTACTGTATAAACCAAGCCTGTTTTTAATTTATTTTATTTCTTTGAAATTCATGTACAGTACTGTGTATTTACTCTACTATTGCAAAAAGAAGTCCATGGGCTTCATTTTGAGGCTAGTTTTGCAAACTAAAGAGGAAGTTTCAATTTAAGATGGGCTTCTCGAGATTAAGCCCATTGTGTTTCTATTTGAGGTTTTATGGTAGTAAAACAAATACAACATATTATTATGACTAAATATGAAAGAGTACAAATATAATATAATTTTTTGCTCAACAGCACTGGCAGATTCCTCTGGGACGGCGTTTCCGATCGTTGAAACTCTGGTTTGTTCTTCGCATGTTTGGAATTGAGCGGCTACAGGACCATGTTAGGAAAGTAAGTCAGTGGTACATACAGTATTCTATAAAGAAATTTTATGGATTATTTTTGATCATTTTATTTGTTGTTCAAGAGAGGGTTTAAGATAATTTAGATTACGAGATAAAAACCTGCAAAATTAGTTTTCTCTCTGACTTGACAGATCCACCAATTATATTTGTGACCCTTAAGAGGTCCGCGGATACTAGATGGGGAATACTGTACTAAATGATGGTGGCATTATCCCATTGCTGCTCTCTAATAGCCCATATAGCAGCCTTCACTAGTTTGCATTCTGGACACATTTTTTTATAATCCGAATATGTAATCTAAATTTTATTATTTTTCCATTTCTCTAAAGCAAGTGCAGTTGGCCCATGAATTTGAGAAGCTAGTTCTGTCGGATTCTCGTTTTGAGATTGTGAGCCGTGTAATTCTAGGCTTGGTGAGCTTCAGACTAAAGGTTTGTAAAATAAGCAGATTTTTCACTTCTTTTATTTAATTATTATTTACACGTCTAATCACTAAAACTTCTAAATATGCACATATTACCAACATTCCGAAAGATTTACACTGGCTTCCTCCAACGCACTGGATTATTTACAAAATTTTGCTGATCGTTTTTAAATTCAAAAATGACTTGGTTCCAGACTACATTGCAGAAATGCTCCATTGGTATGCTCCTAACCGTAACTTATGTTCTTCCAATCAACTCCTCCTGCATCAGCCCAAATCACACAATTCCTGGGGAGACAGAGCTTTTTCTGTTGCTGCTCCACGCTTGTGGAACAATTAGATCCTGTGAGTCAATAAATACTTTCAAATTGTCTCTGAAATCACATCTACTAAGAGATGCCTTCCAACTTTAGACTGTAAGTAGTTAGGAAATAAGGAGTAAGCAAAAGTCAAGATGATACTTCTTTGTAACTAGAATGAATAGGTAAGGAAACTGAAAGGATATGATTGAAAGGATTGGAAACTTGAGAGGTCTACTAAATTTTTCTGTAAGAAAAGAAAAGGAAATGTACAGAAATATAATGAAAAGGAATGGATAAGGTAACATAAAGAAAAGAAAAGGTCACATGAGAAAGAATAAGGAACGAAAGATGAGGTAACATGAAAAAAATAAATAAATAAATAATCAAACATAAGAAACAAAAGGAAAGGTCACATGAGAAAGAATAAGGAAAGATAAGGTAACATGAGAAAGAAAAGAGAAAAGAAAGATAAGGAAACATAAGAAAGACAAAGAAAAGGAAAAGAACAGGAAACTTAATTAATATAATGGAAAGAAATTGATAAGGAAACAAAGAAAGAAAATGAAAGAAATGAAAATGTCACATAAGAAAGAACAAGGAAAGAAAGTTAAGGGAACATGAGAAAGAAAAGAGAAAGGAAAGATAAGGAAACATAAGAAAGACAAAGAAAAGAAAAAGAACAGGAAACTTAAGAAGTGTAATGGAAAGAAATAGATAAGGAAACAAAGAAAGAAAATGAAAGAAATGAAAATGTCACATAAGAAAGAACAAGGAAAGAAAGTTAAGGTAACATGAGAAAGAAAAGAGAAAGGAAAGATAAGGAAACATAAGAAAGACAAAGAAAAGAAAAAGAACAGGAAACTTAAGAAATATAATGGAAAGAAATGGATAAGGAAACAAAGAAAGAAAATGAAAGAAATTAAAATGTCACATAAGAAAGAACAAGGAAAGAAAGTTAAGGGAACATGAGAAAGAAAGAGAAAGAAAGAGAAAGAAAGATAAGAAAACATAAGAAAGAAAAGGAAAAGAACAGGAAACTTAAGAAATATAATGAAAAGGAATGGATAAGGAAACATAAGAAAGAAAAGAAAAGGTTATATGAGAAAGAACAAGAAAAGAAAGATAATCTGACATGTGAAAGGAAAGACAAAGAAAGGCAAAGAAACTGAAAAGAACAGGAGAATTAGGAAAGACAATGAAAAGGAACAGATAAGGAAACATAAGAAAGAAAAATGAAAAGAAAAGAAAAGGTCACATGAGGAAGATCTGAAATTTAAAAAAAAAAAATTATTTAAGGAAACAAGGAATACATCAGAAAGGGAAAGTAAAAGTAAGTAATTTTTTGGTAACATAAAGATAAGGAAAAATAAGAAAAGGCAACATAAGATGAAATGAAATTAAATGTGAAATATTCCTGGAAAACTGACAAGTTAATTTTTGATATTTGATTTCTTGTGCTGCTTAATTTTCTTTAATAAATTAAAATAAAAATTAACATGTTTTCACTTTGTTCTTTGTGATCTGTTTGTTCTCTTCCTGTTGTTTTGACACTGTGCCTTGAGCACCTATTTTTGGTGGTGATGTTTGCGGTTTAAAAATCGTTATTATTATTATATTATTATTATTATTAATTTATTGTCATACAAATATACAAGTAGAACAGATAAATGCATAGAATATACAATAAAAATAGTCTAAAATGAGTAATAGAGTGATGAAGCATTATTGTTTGTATGTTTGTGTGGAACCATGGTAAAATATCAAATCTACATCTGAAAATTCAGGGTCATAATTTTTTGCACAATATCCTGAATAAATTATGATCATGATTATTAAATAAATTATGATGTTTCACTTTTCTAGCTTTAATAAATAAATTAGATACTACCTAGCAAAAATAACAGCAGTCAACTGACAGCAATGAATCGAAATATTTGTTCATCTTTTAAAATAGCAACATTCTTATTTTTCCAGGTTTCAGATGAACAAAATGAGAAATTACTAAAAGCGATCAACGACAGTGGTAAGATACATATGGTGGCAGCGAACCTGAAGGGTCAATTTCAACTGAGGTTTGTCATCTGTTCCGCCTCAACAGAGCTAAAGCATGTGCAATTTGCTTGGGAGGTTATTCAGGGACTCACTGACAGTCTAGAAAACAAAGAGGGCAGTGTTCATAATTTGAATGGCGCTAATTCCTAGTGTTTCCAATGTAAATTTATTTTAAACTTATTTTCACTTTATACTACTTGTTCTTCCAACAGGACTCAAGTAACATTAGGTGAAAAAAAATTAGTTTAATTTATGTTACTTAAACCTTGTCGAAAATACACTCCAAATTTATTAAATAAACCATATACAGTGTTTAATACCACTGGTGTTGTGAAAACCTCAAGAATTTATGAAGTTATAAAATAGAAATAATTAAATAGTACTGTATGTATGTGTGCTCTATTTTTACCGGTATATGTAATGTGAAATGTAAATGTAAGTTTGTTTTAATGACTAGTAAATATAGAGATGCAATTTTGTATCTACCATCATTTATACCATGCCATTTCCAAAGGATTCATAGGTCCAAGTTGTCAGAAAAACAAGATCGAATTTATCAAGCTATAAAATCAAAATATAAATAATTAAATAGTACTGTATGTATGTATGTGCTATACCAGGGACGTATCCAGGGGGAGGGGGAGAGCCCTGGGAGCTGCGGCTCCCCCTTTGTACACAGTGTTAAAATTTGAAAGCTTGTTCTTGAACCAATTCAAATTCTTTCTGGGATCGCTTAAAATGAATACTTCGAAAGCATATAAATATGCATCAGTACACGTTATACATAGGCCTAATAGGACACATAGGCCTAAGCGTGATTAAAAAAATCTTAAATCCATAAATCTAAGGCCAGTTTTTTAAGATATAGAAATGTGATACTTTATGGTTCAGTTTCGTTTTTATCCTTTTGCAAGTTTCTTTAAAGTTTTGTTTAATAATACTACTGTACTATGTATTCAAATACCTATTTTAGAATAAATTAGAGCAACGATATTAAACTAAGCATTTGACCTTAGACTGTTTGAGGAACTAGAATTTGAATTACGTAACTTTAACCTGCCAACAAGTTACAACATTACTATGTATTCAGATACCTATTTAGAATGAATTAACTCTAATGTGCATAAGTTATAGGCAAAGGTATATAAACCTCAGGATATCTGAATTCGGTTTATTTGTTTTGTTACACTGAAGATGTCGTATTGAATACGAAGAAATATGTCTGGTTCTATTAAAAGTATTTTTGTTGCTCTTAAATTTGCCTTTATACTACTTTCTGTTCGGAAGTTTGACTGTATTGTACATGAGATTACACAGCCCAGTACGGTCACAAAGCAAGACCTCAGGCTGTTTGAGAAACTCAGCAAGAAGGTGAAAAAAGCAGACGAAGACATAAATTTTCTCAAAAATTGAAGAATTTTCGGCGTTTCCCCTAAATTTACTACTAATGATAATAATAATAACAATGATGATGATGATGATGACAATAGTAATAATTGATAATAATATTAATAGCAATAAAAAGTGAAAAAAAATTGTGATAAATGCGAAAAAAAGTTGTGATTTGTTGATCATAATTATTATAGTATAGTTAAAGCTTTGTTTTCTATGGTATATCACACAGACATTAATAAGATCTCTATGGTTGTCAAAAATCCCTAATAAAAGATCATGAGAATTTTTGTTGGCGCTTCATTTTGACTAATGGTGATGTGATGATGATGAATTTTACTAAAAGTGTCATTTCTGGCCATCTAGAGGTAATATTTCCTCAAATTTTCTCGCCTCAGCTCCAACCATGGTGGGTCTGAGGTGTGTGTCGACCCCTCCCCCTCCACCTTTTAAAACAGATCTGTGCCCTTCCCTGGCTATGATATTAAACTCCATCGAGTCAGCTCCTGATATGTCTTAGTGACTGCTGAGGCGAGGGTCCATGCATTTGTTTTTAGGATTTGTTTTGGTTTTTCCATGTCCATTTTTCGTGATTATGACTATTCTGGATAAAGAATGTTTTGAGCAGAGGTGGATTCAAGGCCCACTCCCCTTAATTTTTTTTAAGGAAAAAAAAGAAAAATATATTCAAATTTAAGTGTGAGAGTGTAATTTCCGGCCATCTAGAGATGCCCTAATCATAAATTTTCTTACCTCAGCCCCAACCATGGTGGGGCTGAGGTGGGTGGTTCCTCGGTCTGTCAAGGTCCCTCCCTGCTTCACCTCTCTTTCAAATTCCTGGATCTGCCACTATTGATTTATTATATAATTATTTTTGCATTTATTTATAATGCTTCTATTGCAATTTTCACTTTATCCTCTCAAAGAACATTCTAAGAACGTTCGCTACTTCACATGCGGATTCGCCCCCTGGACCACGCCAGGGTCCTACGTAATTTGCATAATGGCTCCCCCCCCCCCACTTTCAAAATCCTGGCTACGTCCCTGTGCTATACATTTGAAAGAAAAGATGGCCTTAATGAAAAATACCCATTCATTGTAAACAAAAAGTGATTCTGGATCCATCACTGATTTTAGTAGTTTAACATAAAATTCTATTCCTTGAAACTAAACACAAGGTTCGTACATTTTTAAAGAAGCAAGTTTCCAGGACATTCCAGTTAAAATTTTCCAAATTTCACGGACACGTTATATTGCTTGACAGTAAAATATCGGCAATTTTAAGATTGATTATAAAACATGTATGCTGTACTAATTTTAAATGCATGTTATTGAGTGTTTATCTAGTTTTATCTAACTCTAATTCAGGATGATGGATCTGTCCCTTTTTCTCATGCTCGTGGGAAATTCTGTTTTTCTCGCACATGTAAAATTTTGCTGAATTCCCACGAGTATGGGGAAGTAAAGTAAGGCAGGGCTGACTGCTTACAGTTGAACTACTACAGTAGAATTCTCTCTACAGAAACACAAATGTGTGTGTACAACAATGGTCTTACCGTATTGCAAAGTGACAGTGCTTTTTGTGCTCTGAAATAAAGTTGTTTTATGGTGTCACAGGGTGGACTACATGCCTGTCCAGGGTTGTTCAGTGAATGATAACTGTCTCAGCTGGATTGAGTACCTGGCCAAAACCATTTTCAATGTGTAGTCAAAAAAAAAATTTAGTGGCTATGTCTACGCCGAATTATGCAAATCCCAACATGCTGATTGGTCGACTTGGCTTTACCGTAACCTTAAAACATAACTCTGCCTATCTTAATGCACTACAGTATGACGTAAGATCGGCGTAGATGCAGCTACTTTAAAAAAAAACATAGAGGCAGCCGCAGTGGAATTAGCATGTGAATTATGCTAAATTATGCCAAATTTTTCTAAAATTATGCCAGCACATATGCTAGATGCTAAATGGGTCTAAATTATGCCAAAAAGCATAATTATGCTAGGTCTGGTCACTATGCTAAGTGACCCTATTTTCACCACATGTTCAATACAGATTTACAGACACTGACAAGTTCATGGGGAAAATCCCAGTTCTTGTCATGCGTATGGACACGCATGGGCAGTTTTGAAGCAAGCATTCAGATCATTGCCTGCACATAACACGCTAAATCTATCCTTCCCACGCTAAGAGAGAATGCTAAAACGATATTTCTTTGACGATTTCGTTATTTAAAAACATGGTTATTATACTTAAAATAATACATGTATTGTATTCCGAAAATCTGAATCTCTCAGAACGTAATATTCGGTTCAACACAAAAATCAACTTCTTAAACCAGACGATCAGCTAACCCTCAACAAAACGACAAACAAGGTCTCCCGCAAGGTCTACCAGATGCGGTGAAAACGAACTGTCCTGCCATGCCATGGAGATTATAATAAATTGATTAAAATGACACGACAGTATGTTAAACAAAATTAAAGTTAAACCTTCCACCACCACCAATACAATGATCCTGCTATCCTGCTAATCTCAATAGGCCGATGGCCAACAAGCAAACCACCCACCACCACTAATTGCATCTGCTATTTTGCTTATATGTAAATATTCACGCATTCTTGTCATGAGCCATGTTCTCTGGACGATTATCTTTTCTAAACCACCTTTCGTAATGTCCTTGTATAATCTTTTTTCATTCAAAGAGTGCCTCTTGAATTTAATAATTTCCCATAAGGAACCCTCGATTTTCATCTATTTCCATAAGCGACCCCTCAATTTCCACTCTGTTTTCATAAGCGCCCCGTTTAAATAAGCGCCCTGTATGATTAAGCGCCCCTCAGAAAGTGACAAAAATATTTTAAGCGCCCGGGCGCTTATTCGCGCGAGTACGGTACATTCAATATGCTGTAGAGCAAAACACCAGGTAGGGCCTACTGTACTGTACGAAACAGTACAGTACTTGAAACAGCAGTCGCTTGTAATCTCAAAAAGTGAGGGACTCTCTACTCCCAATTTGAATTAGGCCCTAGCTAAGGCCTAGGCGAAGCACTAGGCCTAGAGCAGGTCCGGTAGGCGTCGGTCCGACATATCGTAAACGATTGTTTTTGTTTTGTTTGTTCAATCATTCATATTATTATTATTACCGCCTTTACAACTGGTTACAAATGAATAAGACATAAATAAGCAAGAAATTCATTTAGGGAACCATTTTTGTGAAATTTTATTGGTTTTTAAATTTGACTAAAGTATTTTCAATTTGGCAAAAAAAATTAAAACCTTTCGCCATTTTAACTAAAGAAAATTTGACCCTAGCGTGAGCGTAGACATATTTAATAAAATTTCACTTGGTAACATTGATTTTACCTTATTGAGAGCACCAATCACTTTAGAAACCCGTGTTGCCACTGAATTAATGTGAGAATTGAATGTCAGCGTCTCATGAAGAAACAGTCCTTAAAGTATGAGTATTTCCAGGCATTTACATGTAGAGATACCATATTGTTAAAATTTGCTCAGGTGGGTGTGGACTGTCATGCATAACTGCTTCCAAACCAGTCTTTAGTTTTAGACTTTCATCAATAAATTGTATGTTAACTATTAATGTCTTAACTTAGAGATGAAGTTTTTAGTATTGAAATGGTATTTTAAATAATTTTATTAAAACATTTGTGCTACCTGATCTCTCCGTCTATGTATTACAATCATTCATGTATCACCTCCTCTATTGACATGAACCGTACAAATAACGATTAATTCCAACAAGGCCTCTAAGTACTTTCAGGGGTAGATTCAACCTCAGAGGTTACTTCTGATTCAACCTCAGAGGTTACATCAGTATTTTTGAAAATGATCAAATAAATCGAAACGTTGAATCTCAAAATGTCTCTGTCTCTTTTCGGAGTTACTGTCTTTTTGTTTTAGGTTACTTCTGGGTGTCTAGAAAACAAAAATTTCCCAGGGGAATGCCCCAGCCCCTCCCTAGGGTAGTGTTGTCTCTCAATCAACCCCCCTCCTTTTGGACATCTCTGGATCTGCCCCTGACATTACATTATTACGCAAGTAATTAGATCAAGCACATATGGAACACATACTCAGCTCCATAAAGATTTCTATAATGTTGCAGCATAAACAGTGCATTTGTGATTGAACCTACCAGGTATCCACTTGGAGGTAGAGTTACCCAACAAGAAAAACAAAATGCACAATGAGGAATTGCTGCAAAAACTGCACTGTATTTTCATCCTAAATCATATTTCACTTTTATCCCAAAGAATTTGATAATGGCTCACCAGAATTATTGTCTGTGAATACTGGAATAGTCCATTCCTTAGGAGGGATCTTTTCTTGCCGAAACTCCCAGACATGAGGATGCCTGCTTTGTAGTTTACCTTCTCGTGCTTGAAGTGCATTCTGAATAGTACATAAATAATTTAAATTTAGATACAATTCAACATAGCATACAATACTTGAGTTTGATCAGGATTCTTTATTCACCCATAGAGCCCATCACACTTAATAGTTACATCAGCTCAGGACCACTTCAGGGTCAGCTTTTTTCAAGTGTGAAATAAATTCACCGAAATTTAGTTTGATTTTAAAGTCGGCTCAGGTCCTGCAATTCAAGACCTGGGGTAACTCAACTCCATATCTGAATGCAAACTGAACCTGGGTCACCAAGGTCACCTTGATAGTGGTCAGTGTTGACATCTTATGCCATAATATTTCATGCAAAAATCCGGCACAAAAGAAGAAGTTTGAATGTTTGCATTGCGACCCTGAGCCGACTGAAAATAAACAGAACGGTCATTTTAAGTTGGCTGTAGTTAAGGCGGGCCTGGGCTGATATATGAAATGTGATTGGGCTCACAGCCACTCTCTCCCTAAATTATGATTATTGGTAAGTAGAGAGTGCAGTGTCACCTATATGTTATTGTCCACAGTGGCGTAACACATGGTAAAGAAGGGGACATCTGACCTTAAGGGCTCCCACTAGGGCATTAAAATCAACACTTTTTTGCTAGGACGACTGGCCCTCTTTTAAATCACAGATCCTAAATTGGTCGTGCAGGGTCTCATAATGAGGGGATGTGTAAATATACATTAAAATACGCCTTTAAGACATCACAAACTCCAAAGAGTGCCTATTAGGACTCAGGCCCCTTCATTACACCATTGCAGGTGATATGGTTGAGTGCTCCCACAGCTAAGAAATGATAAACTATTATTTTTTCATAATCTTCTATTGTTAATATTGAAATGTAAACAGAATTTAAAAAATAATTATTCAACAAGAACATTACAATTTAAAAGTTTTGTAGAAGTGTGCGGTACAGCGTGTAAGGTGTTGGACTTCAGGAGTTCGAGACCGACACTTGTCGCAATGCTTGTGTCCTTGGGCAAGGCACTTATGTTTGCCTCTCTCCACACAGGATCATGTATACCTGGTAGGATGGTATACAGCATTCAACACATGGGTGGTGAGTGTAAAGCAGCATGACTAGGGATACTCCCCATACAGAGAAAATTGGACAAATTATGCCAGTTTGCCAACTCAGTATCCAGTGACCAGTAAAATGATGCCAGTGCCTTGTATATTAATCAGATTGTGAAAGGTGCTATATAAATTCAGATGATAAAAAACAAATAAATGAAAAATGATGGAATGACTGAAAGCCGCCACTGCAGCATTACCATAGTAAGAAAACTTTACCTTAGCATCCTCAGCTTTACTAGTCTCCCATCTGACTGCGTTGATAAAGTCTTGCTTTTCTAAATAACATGTTGGCCTGACACCATATATGTAGTAGTTATGAAACAGATTTCCTAATGCTGAATTAAAAACACAAAAGTTTAAATTCATGCTATATTTTTTTTATTATTAAAATAGTTTTACAAGTACTGTCAACTGAGTGAACAAACTTTGAACAACATTCAAATTGTTTGCTTTGTTCATAAATAAGTTTTTAATTAATAGTAGATAAGAAGTCAACAACTGTGGTGGATCTTATAACCATTAAGAAAGCAGTATTTAAATTAGATGACAGATCTTAATTAGAGCCAAATTTATTAATAAATTAATCAATTTTGAGGCACATTATACAGTTGTCTCAATGCCCTAATAAAACAAGAAAAAAGTCAACATGGGTAGATCCAGGGGGTCCAACAAAAAGAGAGAAGAAAAGTAATTGAATGGTGGAAGAGAGGAGAGAAAAAAAATAAAAAGGCATGGTAATGGAATCGCTGCATGATACTTCGGGCTCGTTGCTTTACATTCCGCATGGCCGGCCCCTACCCAGATATTTTCTAGATTCTGCCACCGAACAAGCTACAATGCTGGTTGTTTCAGACAATTTAATAGAAGCATGTGACATTTGGTATATCTACAATTTTCTTATTAGAACAGACATTCCAGCCCCTGGAACTAAAAATTCAGGGAGGAAGGAGTGCTGATGAAGGGTGTCTTCCACCACCAAAACGTTGAACATCAATGTTTTCTTATGTGCATGCACTATGACTCTATGAGAGAGCATTTTAATGGTGATGACACAGAAATACAAAATTATAGGTACCAAAAAATAGGTACCAAAAATTAGCCTTTTTTATATTTGGGAGAACTTGACCAAAGACTGGGAGAATGCATTAATTTAGTAAAATTCTTCCAATCGTATCAGGAGAGTTGTAGAATGTCTGCTAGAATGTTTTTGATAATAAAACAATTTTAATCTAATGTATACAATACCAAAATCTAAAATAACAGTTTACTAAAAAGCACAAATGAATTCTACAAACATTGACAATCTTTCAGTTTCTTGGCATACTCTTCACTGGTAAGGTTGGGCTGTGAATTACAAAAAGAAATTATTACAAACAGTCCATATACCAAAGTTTTATAATAACAAGATAGCGTTCTCCACGATTTCTGCATTAAAATTCTATGGTAACACAGTGTAGGACGCCCTTTCGCAAAAGGGATTCCTTTTCAACTTTGACATCAAAGATCGTTAACTAATCATCTTGCGATTTCTGCATACAAATTCTGTAACAACCATGGTAACATCTAGGACGCCCTCTCTCAAAAATGATTCTTTTATGGTTCTTTTTACTGAACATCGACGCTTCTATTTGTGTAGAGAGCATTACCTTGTTATTAAACGACCTTTGATAAATACTAACTGTATCATCTTTGTTCTTTAAAACATGTGAAAAAGTCTTGGATGAATCCATCGTACATAGTTATTCACTGATGGTCTAACTGATGAATTTGTAAAATTGTGAAAATATGTTTAAGAGTACAGTACTGCATTTCCCATCTCTCCACCTCATCTTGCAAATTGCTCAAACCCAAACTCAGACATTTCAAGTTAGTAAAATGCATTTCAGTAAGGAAAGACTTTATTTCATCAGAGGAGGGCAGAAAAAAAATATAAATAAAATTTTGTTTTATTATTTAGCAAGCAGTTTTGCTAAAAATATCCATATGGAGGGGACAATAAAAATAAAATGTTATTGGTAAATAAAATAAAAATGTAAATGTAAACAGTGTAGTAATGGGATGGTTAAATGCTTTAATTATATAATTAGGAAGAAATATATGTATCTAAGCTTATCTTTGGATATTTCAAGGCATAAAAATAAATAAAAACTTTTATTTTATTCTGAAATTTCCATTTTTTGTGGCCCCTTGAGTACTAATTTATCAAAAATAAAATTTTATTTAATATACAAAATCATCCTTATTTGTGTGCAGTGGGGGCGCACACGCACCCACAAAGCTTGCGCCCCCCCCCCCCATTCGAAAACTTCGAAGCAAAAAAAATTAGGCTAGGCTTATTCTTATGCTGTCACGGTTAACGTGTATTCGGGAATCTAAGAAGCAATATTTTTCAGTGGGCGTGGCCACCGAAAATAAATTCCACGCCCCCTCATATTTTGGTCGCGCGCCCCCCCCCCATTTTAATACTGCTAAATACGCCACTGTTTGTGGGCGGCAGCTTTGTTAAACAAGATATAAAAAAATCTTGCCTACATCTCTTCAAATATCCGTGGTAAATACAAAATTTCCGTGGCACCTAATAATTTGTCTTGAGTGCAAATATGGGTTGCTGAAATGTAAGGTTTCTGGGCAAAACGGCAATAAACCTAAACGGTAATAAGTCAAGATGGCAATGACCAAAATGGCAAAAACTGATTTCGCTCCTTTGCCATTTTGGTCTATGCCTATTGCCGTTTCGGTACTTGTGATTTTTGTCATTGCCGTTTTGGTCTGTTGCCGTTTTGGTACTTGTCATAATCATTGTCGTTTTGGTTCATTGCCATTTTGGTTTATTGCCGTTTTGACCTGCATCCTACAGGATAATTACACTGTGGATAATAACAAGACAGATGCAAATTTACGGGCCAATTTTTCTTAGTTTTTTATGATAATTTATCAGTTACAGTAACCCGACCAACCAAGTATGAGTTGTCTATGGACAGTCTAACTAAAGATCCTGATGGAAAAGTAATTTGTTCTGGCCTAGCCTATTTATTTATATTTCCGTAGTATTTTTGTCTATTAATTTCCATACGTCCGTTCGGCGTTAAAATTTCAGTAGCACCTACAGAAGTTCTGTAGTACTTGGGAAGTTTGATTTCTCATCTCTCTAACTCATCTCACAAATTGTACTATAGTGGGCTCTCTTGGCTAGCTCCCTCCTCCCCCCACCCCCAGCCTCCACAATCTAGCTTGGCCTAGTAAGCTACGCTAGGCCTACTTGGCACTTCCTGCCGATCTGCTACTGTGACCAGGAGTGCATCGTTTCTGGCCTAGCATAAACCCAAACAAGCGAATGTGATACGTCTTAGGCCTACGTCTTATACGTAATTCCACTTTCAAAAAAAGATAAGAAGGAATATATATGTACATATATATATATACTAATTTAAAGCCACATTTTTAAGCATTGCCTAGGGTACTTACTTTCCATACTTCGTTTTCATTTCTTAACAATTTGTTGACTTCGTTTTTCATGGGCGCAGCCATGTTTGTTCATGCTTCAATTATGATCAGTTTTGATGCGCACAAGACGTGGCAAGCGAAGGTAAGTTGGCTTTCCTGCTGCTCCTACCGGTGAATTTAGTTATATTTTTATAATTTACCAAATTCCCTGGCTATTTCACGGTGAGATGTTAAACATTGTACCTATGAATATATAATTAACGAATAAGTGGTTTGAATATCGATGATTTCATGTTACAAACCATAGCTAGATTATTGGAAAAGGCTAGGCCTATGTGTAGGCTTTGGTGTTGACTGATTTGTTCTTTTCTAAGAGGGAAACCATCTGTTTTAGCCCCTCCATCATGCATTCCAGCAGAGAGAAGGCGGGGCTGGATAGGCCTAGTTCTTGTCAATTGTTGATATGAAAATAGAACTGTTGTTATGTTAATTTAATTACATTATGGTTTAAAAAATAAACATAATGTTAATTACATTTAAATGTTCCACTGGATTTTTATACTGATTATTCTGTTTTCACCTATCTTCATCAGCAGGCAATAAACATGTGAATGGCCATGGGGAAATGGAATCAAACCCTGATGTCATACCAGATTACTATGCAAGAGATTCAATCACGAATGACCTTACAAACATTGACTCATTTGAACTATTGGTTTCATATGACACAGACATAGAGCATTGGCAAACAAGAGATTCATCAACAAGAGGGTTAGCTGCATTCTTTCAAATCAATAGTGAAAATTTAAGCAGAACTTCAGACCAAAGACAAGATAATCCACTTGTGCCTTTTAGCGAAGACCAACCAAATTTAAATCAAGAGCACAACCATCCAAGAAGTGTTTCAGGAAATATAATTGTTCAGGGAACTCGATCCCTCCCGTCTTCCAATCCAGTGCCAGAAAGAGTTCCTAAAATTGAACAGTCGCAGACTAAAGCTAATGATACTTTTGCATTGACAGAGAGATGCCAAAGGTCAAATCCCATTGGAGATACTTTCCTTGACTCAGATGTAGTTCTGGTAGACTCAACAGTTGGTGATTCTTCACTTTTTCATGTTGATGATAGAAATCAACAAATAACTCTTGCATCATCAATTAGAGAAACACTACAGGAAATAAACCAACAGATTCACAGTCACGGTACACAATCATTTCAAACAGAAAGTAATTTGTCTTCTCAATTATCAACTTACAGAGGTCCTCTTTCAGAATCAGAGCCTGTATCTCAAAGTTTGAACAGGTCACTAGATTCTAGTGGTATTGGAAGTTCCCAAGTTTCTAGGTCAGGAACTCAGGAAATTGTTCAAACAGAAAGACCACAAGCTTTGCCAATTTTAGGAGAAGATTTTATTGATGCATCGGATTGGACAACCGCAAGATATTTACGAATTGTCACGCCTCAGAGAGATAATAGTTATCATTCAGAACACAAGAGAATTCGCCAGTCCTCTTTGGGTCCAAGTGAGGGAGATCCATTTGATTATTTAACCAGTGCTGGTGAGATTAATCTTCTAGAAAGTCCATCAGAAGACTCAAGCTTTGAACGTCTGCGGCTTCAGATTGGAGGATCGGAGTCAGAACTTGAAGGATCAATATCTGAAGATCTCCCAAATGCAAGTCAGATATTAACGGACAAAGAAAAACTTCTTCAGGCTTTTGCAGACGAAAACTTCGCTGCATTGCCATCCAGTCCTGGTAAACAGGAGATAAATCGAGGTCAATCGATCAAGAAAATCAACAAGGAAATTAGTGATCTGGAAAAAGAAATCAAGAACCTTGTAGTGGAGATATACTCTGGTCGAGAACCTGGATTCTTGCCACTTCCAGGGTCAGAATCTGGTATAGAGAGTCCTCAAGGATCACGATACGAAGGGATTCCTCTAGAACATACAGCCAACTTTGGTTTGGTGAACCCTGAGCAGAACATAGGCCTACCTTTGAACCATAGTTACTCAGAAAAAGGTAATTATAACAGTTCAAATAATGATTGTTAATTTAATAAAATAGTATTTTGTTTGCTGGTGGTGATTTTTTTTAATTTTTTTTGTGTAATCATTATTACCAATCGTATAATAATATTATTATTTTTATTCTATTTTATTATTATTGTTATTATCACATGTTTAATAATATTATGATTCACATGTTTGAATTACAAAATTTTACTTTTCTTATTTTATCTTTATCAGTATCATAATTTGTGACAGTGTAAGTATCACACTTGGCTTGGAACTCAAATCCAGGTATTGAAGGCCTAGCTGTTTTAAATTTAAATATATATTTTTAAATGGACATGTGCTTTTCAAAACAGTGCCTGCAAGGTGCAATGCATTTTAAGGAAGGCATTGTTGATTACCACGACAGTTTTTTATTTTTTTTTATGAGGGCTGTTTCAGTATACCTTTAGGCCAAGTGTATTTATTGTGTTTCACTGCTTTAACTAGATAATGGAACGTCAAGTAAGCATACAAACAATGGGAGAACCCCTCCCTCAACAAGCAGCGTTTACATGTTAATTTTACTTTGTCATTCTGATGTATGTAATCCATCATCTTTATAATTCATTTTATTTTCACTACACTAGTTACGGTTCAATGCCTATTTTACTGTAAATAGACGGTTCATTTTTCTTTACTGTATTTACAATAATGCATCACAGATTCATTTATCAGCAGGAATATCTGTGAGTAATTTGTGCACTGAAGATGGCAGTGATACTTTCACTACATACAGTAGTCTTTTGAGATATTTTATTAATATTATTTAAAACAAAATTTAAAGCCAGGCTATGGAGGAAAACAATTTGTTGGAATGATGAGATACAGATTTTTGAATATTTAAAAACTGAGGGAAAAGGGAGCGTAACCACCTATTTTTTCCCACCTTTTCTGGGGTAATAATGTTGTAGAGACCTCTATGCGACCATCATTATTATATTATACAAATATGTGACATTGTAAAAATTGATTTAGAATTTTATTCACTGTATGATGAAAAAAATACATTGTATTTTATTTTTTATATTATTTTTAAATGGCAAAAATAATTATGAATTATCTGAACTATACAGTTCATATTGATTTTGTTTACTTAATAATAGCACAGAATGATATTACCTGTACAAACAAGAGTAGAGTAGAGAGAACTGTTTAGGAAGCTCTCTTTCCATATTAAGTCATTGATTATTACTAAAGTTACAGTAATCCCTTGTCTCACTTAATTTCTTAATTCTGGCAAAGTATAGTTAATCCCTTTTGTAGCTGAATACTAAATACACAAATTCTTTTTTCTAGATAGCCTTGTCTACTGTATCTGCTTCTAACCATGATGTACAGTCAATAATTATTAAATCAAACAAGCATTCTGTGCGGTAATGATTGAAATTGGATAGACTCATTAAAGTTATAAACTAATTAATTATGTATTAAAATCATATCGAAGGTTTACCACTTCTTATTAAAATGACAAGGTACACAATAACCACTTAATATATCCAAGGAAATGAAGTGGGAGAATCAGTTGCGGCAGGGGGTGGGGGGAGGGGTGAGTGGTCAGTATCAATATTTTAATTGGGCACACCTCTTTCATCACTAAAGAAATCTCTTTGATCATGTGACATGTGATCATGTGGCAAGGTAGCCTGAATCCACTAAATCAAGAGTGCAGTAAAAGAAAAATTAGAAAATCAAGTTATGATTCCATCGATTCACCTAAACTTAGCACTCCATTAAGATGGAAAATCCATTGTCACAATCTGGCATTATTAAAACATTAAAATTCCTTTAGAAAAATTGAATGTAGACTACAGATGTTTTAATCGTTTGATAACCATGTAGAACTAAGTCTCTCGCTACAAACTGTAGAGTACACCTAGGAAGTCCATGTCAGTTACACTTCCTCCATGGTTTGTAGGGTGGAAGTCCCCATTTAATTAATTCTTATAATATGCTATTCATTGTGTTCATCTGTTTTTTACTGTACTCCCTAAGTTCCTGATATTTGTCCATAATGGACTTGGGCAAACAATGGATCAGAAGGATAACTGGTATGCAGGCAGTCCCTTTGCTTCCCTTTAAAATTTATTTACTTTTTATACATTTTGCTAGATGGTACTACAGTGTAGACAGGGAAAGGAAATGTTTAGTTATAGGCTCTGGTTTTGTTTTCCTTCTCCAGTGGTTTTTTTAATTGGTTTTTGTTTTGATTACAATGTTTAATGTTTTCTTTTGGTTTTGAGGGGATTTTACTCTGGGAAAACCCTGAGAAACTTCAATGAAAACATAATTTTTTTCATATACAGTACTGTAGAAATAATTAAAATGATTATGCTCCATTTATATTGCCCCTATGCGCTTTACATTATTACACCTGGTCACATGTTCGAACACATGTCACACATCCTCAGCTCTCTTGGGAGCACTACAGTAAACAATAATAAAATCAGCAGTTGGTATTGGATCCTACCAGGTACAGTACACATCTCTTGGGTGGGGAAGTGCGGGGAAAGACAAGTAGATAAATTATGTCTTGGGACGCAAAAGACTTGCACAACAAGGGTTTTGAGCCACACTGTCTGCAACCGCTTCTAGTCTACAGTAACATTAAAATACTGTAGTTTTCACTGATTTTTTTTCCCAGACTTTAATACTTTAATATATACCAAGCAGTTTATTTATATATTGAATGTACAGTAATTTTAAAAGTATTACTGTAGTCAACCAAGCTGAACGGCCTTGGGATTCAAATACAATATTCATAACCATTAGTGTGCTTAACTAGATCCAGTAGGTACTTGATACAAGATAAGTCAAAACACTTAGGCCTAGAATAAACACATGAAGATCAACACAGTCATCCATATGCTAGAACAGAACAACTGTGTATATAGTTTGTAACCTTTGGTGTATCATTATTGATGTAGTGTGTGTTACACTAAACATTTCTTGAACTCATTTAATTTTACTGTTCTTATTTGTTTAAGTTGGTAATGGGTTGTTCTGTTTTTAGGCTTCACTTTTGAGAAGTTTTTATTTGTTACACCTAATGTTTTAAAAACTAATACTATGTTGAATTAGCTTCCATTTGTTTTTTGCTCATTTAAAATATTCTTGAAATGATTCTAAAAATGTTATTACAGTTTTATTTCCTGGTTTAGGTACAGTACTGACTACTGAATATTGTTCTCTATTTCATTTACAGTACTATTTTGATCCTTTATTTGTGCTGTGTTTTTTTTAAAGGCATAATGAGTTTAGAACCAAAGACATCCCCTGATACTTCACTGACCCCGGTGGGTACAATGAGTCCAGGCTCATCTTTTGGAGATGTGAAAGTAGACAGCACGGCAGAGGCCATAGCATTACAGAAATCTGTAGTTGGTAAGTTCTGTAAAACCAAAATATTTGTAGCTTATTCTGTTTCTTTTTATATTCTTATATTCTTTATAAATCATATCTTGTAATAACTACCATGCTGTAAGCAAACTCAATTTGTGCTGAAGATATTCTGTTTATACAACATTATGAATATATCTATAAATAAATTTTAAAAATCAATAATTAATTAGCATGTTATACATTGTTGGATGAGGATGAAATATTGATGCCAGTCACATAAAAAAAAAATCTATAATTTCCAGTTCAGCCTATATGATCATTTTCATTGGTTACAGGTAATTCACAGGTTGAGCCTGCATCACCTGAGCAGATTGCCGCTGTTATTGCTCAGGTGCAGAGGCAGATGAAACAGCAGCCTGGCTCATCACCAGAGGTAGATAATTTCTAGCAGTAGTATTATGCAGGGAGAAAAGTTTAATTCTATGTGGAGAACAGCTTGGTAGTTAAGATTCTTGCCTTCCACTTGTACCCTGGGCTTCTTTTTAAGTTCTGTTAAGACACCATGACTCTTCATTTTCTAAGTCTCATAAGGAGACATAATAACTGTTTCATCCTGTAATTAGCAAGTTTAAATACCATTGGATATAAAATAAAAACACATTTCAGTAGATGTTGAAATCATGTCAAATAATTATAAACAATCATATAAAGATTGATGTCAAATTATAACAATTTTTAAACTGATTTTAATCATTTTGTTTTTAGCCAAGTAAAACCATGGAGAACAACCCATTTCAAAGCCGAGAACATGCTTCATCCCCGACAGCAATTCACACGGGTGTAGCTCCTGTAGGTGCCCACTCAATGCAGAGGAACCTTATACCAACTCCCATAGTCAATGGTTTCTCGCCACCTTTATCAGAAGAAATTAAAAGACCTCTGGTTTGGCACCCGCCAACAAATCCACCTGTACAAGAAGACAGTAGGAAGTCTGGAGAAGCAAGTGAGAGTGCACAAAAAAAAAAAAGTGATGGTCCACCCAAGCCAGTCACAATATATAATCGCCCCCGTACTTTAGTTGGACAAAACACTGGTCTTGCAATAAATTCTGCTCTTGGATCTTCCAATCATCCTGGTACAAAAATTGAACGTGTGTTGTTTCGTAGTCCTGTGCAGTCTGTTACTCGGAACACTTCTGGTTCTGTACAGAAACCTGACTCCAAAAAGGGAAAGAAGAAACCAAAAACTAATGGAGATGTAGAAGGAGTTAAACCAAATATTCGTGGCACTTTTGTGACTGTTAAAGCATCGGGAGAAAGTAGTGCAGTTGTTGGTATGAAAGACATGAGTGATGGTGTGATTATAACACAAGATAATGTAAATTCTGACTCTGAGAACATGAGATCATTTACAAGACAACCTTCTAATGAGAAAGTGGTGTCACTTCAAGAACATGTTGTGAAGACTGATGCTTCAAAACCAGATGTTAAGAATACTAATTCTGAGTCACCAGGCACATCCTTTCTTGGATCAATTCTTCCATGGAGCAAGAAACAACCAGCATCACTTGAAGAAACAAGATTTACACCTCTGGAAGAGGCAAAGCCCTCTGATCATCTTAGCACAAGTTTCATTGCCAAAAAAACTGATAAACCAGATGAAAGTGTGGATATGGAAAGTGTCTTCCATCCTGATATGCCACCCATGTCAAGTTCAACACCAGTTAAGATGCAGCCAAACGATGGATACAACTCTCCAAATGTCAAGAAACAATCCGAAATTCCTTTGCAATCATCTGTTGAGGCACAAAAAGAGAAACAGCCAAGACAGAAATCAATTCCACCTTCACAACCAGATAGTCAACCATCATACTTAGCACCAAGAACAGTTGATACAATTCATGCCAATGTGCCTTATACATTAAAGAAGAAAGATCTTAGTAAGATGCCTTCCACAGCTTTGGACAAACCAAATACATTACACGAGTCTCGGTCTGAGTCAGTAAGCACAGTGTCCAGTTGGAATGAGCACTCAGACGATATCCAAGCTGTTTTACAGGAAAAGGCAAGACTAGAAGGTCAGTTGGAAGCTTTGTCAGTAGAGACAGCTAGTGCCCTTGCTGATCGAGCTCGACTCCAAACACAGATAGCAACACTAGAAGCTCAAGTACACAACAGCCAAGGTCATTTGCAGACAGCTTTGCAAGAAAAATCGGAATTCCATTCTGAACTTGAAGCTATCCAAATGAATCGTAAATTTTTAGAAGAAAGCATTTCAAATCTGCAGAACAACATTGATGGTAAAGAAGCTGCTCTAGAGACATTGAGAGATGATTTACGATCATCACAGACATCCAACCTTAAGTTGCAACAGAAGCTTAGAGAAATTCAATCTGAACTGCAACAGCGAGAAGGAAATATTACCAATCTTCAGGATAGGCTGCAAGAAACTCAGAAAGACTTAGATAATGCTATTGAAAACAGAGCACAGGCAGTTGCTATTCAGAAAACCTTTGAAACAGAGCTGCGATCAATGAGCAAGACTAAAGAATGGCTTCAGGAACAACTGAAATTTGCGCAAGAGGCTAGAAACAAACTCCAAGCAAACTTTGCAGAAGCTCAAAATCAGGTTGTACTTCAGGGGGCAAGTATGGAAACCTTAAAAACTGAGAATGCTCGTATCCGTCAGCAGCTCTCCGAAACCCAGCAGAAGGCCCTGAATGAGAAAGAGCAGATTGCAAAACATCTGGAGACAATAGAAGCTGATATGCTTGCAAGGGAAGCAGCTTTCATGGATCTTCAAAGGGAGAAGGTTGCTGTCCAGCAAGCAGTTGCCACTAAGATGGATCAGATTCAAGAAGAAAAACATAAATTATCACACATCTTTATCTCCACCCAAGATTTGGAGCAGCAGCTTGAACGAGCACAGAGAGATTTGTTGACAAAACAGGCAGCAATGTCAGCCCTTGAAGAAGAGAAGAGAGAGTTAATACGAAAGTTCACTTTAACACAGGTAGGTGTTTTGAAGTATGTTGTTGATACAGAGAGATACTGTAAATTAACTTATATAAACCAATACAAAAATATGTAAAAGAGTAAAAAAAAATTGGTCATACTTTTAATCACTCAATTTACTTGCAGGAAGCAGTAAATACACGAGACCATGAGGTGGATACATTAAAACAGCAATTTGATGCTCTTGAGAAACGTCTGAAGGCATCCCAGACAGAACAAACAACCCAGAGTGATGAACTGCACAGATTAAAAGTGGAAAAGCTTGCCCTGGAGGCCGCCCTCGCAACTGCTAATGATGAAAAACGCCAGTTTGATGATGCCATCCAACGACTGAGACAAGACATGGTCAAGGTTGAGAAAGGGTTCAAACAAATGAAGCAAGAACTGGGAGAAAAAGATGGCCAGTTACAAGTTGCACAACAGGAGAGTGGTCATTTGAAGGAACAGCTGATGCAGATGCAACAGCATTTAGCAGATGAACAAAAAAATGTGGAGAGTATTAGTGCAGATGTCAGTGGTAAAAATGTGATGCTAGATGAATTCAAACAATCTAAGTCTCAGCTGGAGTATGACATTGCTGCATTGAAGCAGGAACTCCAGAAAAGCCACAAGGCTCAGCAACATGAAACAGAACTGAAAAATGCAGCCCAGATAGAAGGCCAAAAATTAAGTGAAAAACTAATTGTGGCACAAGAGCAGTTGCAAGATGTTATGAAAGAGAAGGTGCGAATTGAAGGACAGTTAGAGGTCATGGCAGGTGACCAAGAAAGACTGCAAAAGCTCATTGATGACAACAACGCTCTGAAGCAAAAACTGGCAGAGTCTCAGAGTAGTACACATCGAGACTCTGCTGAACAGGCAGCAACCATTTTGAGACTGACATCTGATCTTAATCGTGCCCGTCAAGAGTTTAAGCAGAAAGACAACGAGAATAAATCAACTACTGAAATGTTGCAGCGTCGTCTGCAAGATTTGAACGACGAAAAACAGGCAGCAGAATCTAGTCTTACAGCTCTCCAAACAAAAACTGAGCTTGATAACCAAGAGGTGAAACAGCAGTTAGCAGAAGAGTTGAAATCTACTAAAAAACAACTGAGTAATCTTAGTGCTACCAAAAATGCCTTAGAGAGAGAACTCTTAGAGGTTAAAGAAGATTCTGATGTGGAATTAGATGCATGTAGAGAAAAGATAAATCAGCTTGAAGAAGAGCTTTTGGTAAGTAAAATTGTCACTATGTTCAATGATATGTATTCATACATGTACCTAATTTTCAAATATGTTAATCAATACTGGAATTTGCAAATTATTATGCATATTTAAATACGAAATTCATGTACAGTATATTTAATATTGTCATCTTTTACTAAATTTTAATTAATTTAGAGTGCTAACAAAGCTCTGGATAACCAAAAGAAGATAACAGCAGAGAGCAGAAAATTGGCGCTGGACCTGGAGAGGGAAAGAGGTCGATTGGCTGGTAAGTCTTCAATGTCATTTTGGAAGTGGTTGTGGAGTGACTGATAATTAAGAGAGCACAAACAATAGTAAAAAAATGTTAAATATAAATAAATAGTAAAAATCAAGATTTCTGTACCTACTGTATGACAGACATGTTCAAATTGATCAAAATATTTCATATATTTAAAGGTGTCAAGCAAAGTCATGCACATCTAAAAAACCATGCAAGCGCTCTTGAAAGCGCCCTCGCCAAACAAGAGTCGTCGTTGACAGTATTGCAAGACGAGCTGTACACACGATCCAGCATGCAGAAAGAAGACGCTAACAAGAATAAAAGACGGTTTATGGAAACACAGGAAAGTTTAGATAGGGACCAAGACATCATCAAGACACTTAAAAAAGAGGTAGGCAAACAAATTGGTTAAAAAATGGTGCATGATCTTTCTATCCTTGGTTCTATAACATGGAGCTGCTCTCCTTGTAAAGTACAATTTATAGCACATGGTCTTTTGGCACAAGGTGTGGTGCTGCATTGCAGCTGCCGTGGGCCCCAAAGGACCCAATTCCAAATTATCTAGGTAATAATTGGGATCAGTTATTGATATTACTACTACTGTACTTGTCATTTATCATGTACTGCAGAGGGTTTGTCTGTAGGATTTTAATTACTTATTCAGGGGCAGATTTAAAAAAAAAAAAAGAAAGAAAAAGAAATTATTAATCGCCCAAAATGCCTCAGAGGTTATTTCCGGGTGTCTAGAAAACAAAGATTTCCCGGGAACCTCCTCCTCCTTTCAGACATCTCTGGATCTCCCCAGTTATTTTTTGTTTATTGCTTATTTTTCATTTGTTTTGTGTTCTATTTTACTTGTCTTGAATTACACAAGTAGTAAAATGATTGAATATCTTTAGCCTCTTGACATTCTTTAATTTTAACCTGTTCTTTTACTGTATTGATGAATATCATTGGTATTGTTCTTCCTCCTCCCACATTCGTCCCACCTCACTGATTCTTTGTATGATACATTATATTTTTTCCAGCTTAGCAATGAAAGATCTTCCACTGCTAAATTAAAGAGACAATTGGAAGAAATGAGCACAGAATTTGAAATCCTGAAAAAAGAATTTGACTCTAAAGCATCTGAAAATCTTGCCATGCGTAGTTCTTTGCAAAAGGAAAAAGAGGTTAGTATACAATATCTCAAGATCTCAGTAAAATTCTAAAATTTAATTTAAAAAAAGTTATTTACTAATGTTTATTGTATTGTTTTAGATTGAGGAGAAACAAAAGGGTGAGTTAGAGGCAGTTAGACATGAGGTGCAAAGAAGTCGAGCTAGGGTGGGCCAGCTGGAAAAATTATTGCAGGAAAAAAATGCCCAGAACCCCATTCAAGAAGACACGATCAAGGTAGGCTAGCAAAATCATGTGATCATTTCTCATGCAACACCTGATATAAGAAAGAATGCAAATATGGCTTATTCCTGATCATCTTGCTGATATTTTGATGGTGAATTATTTGAATTACATTTTATTATTTTTATTTTACCTGTAGGCATTGAAATGGCAATATGAGCAGAAGGTATCAGAAGTTGAGGCGATGAAGGAACAGTTGGAAATGGCTGAAGAACGTCAACAAATTGAAATAACAAGTATAAATGCTGCACTCAAGGTTAGCTTAACAAATCATCACTCATTTGATTTACATTACTTTTTACCAACATGTTTTTTTACTTATATTACTCTAGTGGAAATTGGACAGTATAGGGCTGCGTACAGAAATGTAAAAGAACTTTAAGTTGGGCATTTGCTCTTTGCTAGTATTTAAAATATATAATTATGTAATAACATGAATTATTGACTATACAGCTGGCTAGAACTGACTTGGATGGTTTGAAATCTGAGCTGGCAACAACTCGTAAGGAGAAATTCTCATATAAAAACAAATTGGCAGAAGTAAAGGCTGCCCTCAAGGCCACAGCGCAGCAAAATAAGGTTAGTATCCACCATGGTCTTTGTTTAAGTTTTAAGTTTAGTAAATATTAGATAAATGTGTTTCCCCACATATGTCGAAAATAGTAAAATAAATGTACAATAGTCAATTACTGATTAATTCTAGTACAGCTACTCAAATTTTATAGTTTCTACCTCAAACATTAACATATAGTATTCATTAACATATTTCAAATTTATTTTGAAGTTATTGAAAGCAAAGTTATTGGCTAAAAAGAACCTTGAGAAGAAAGCAAAAGCTCAGGCAGAAGCTGAGGCTGGGAAACAAAAACAAGCAGAGCAACTGCAGCAGCATGCGAACCAACCACAAGACAAACTACCACACCAACATGTACAAAAACAAATTGAGCCAATCCTGTCATCTGCATTTGATGATGTCATCATCCCAGAAGTTAGTTACGATGTCGATGCACTGATTAGTAGTGAGGACACGGATACACCTACAGCTGAAAAGAGCAGGTAGAAATTTTACAAAGATTTTTTAGACTGTTAATATTTTAAACTACCACTGCCAAGGTGTATAATATTAATAACCATCATATTTCGGTAGTACAGTAATGGCGTTTGGATGTGGCAAGACATGAATAATGGTTTTATCTTTATTCACAGACCACTTCAGGCATTGCAGGGCTGTCTCCAGAATCTGAAAGACCAGATGAGTCAATTACAGCACCAGATGGATGATCACACAGTTGCTGTTAACTCCTCACATCAGACATGGAAGTAAGTCGATGTGAATTTATGGCCTGCCCTTTAATACCCTGAGAGAAAATCAGCTTTCCTGTCAGGGATATCAAAGCTTATACAGAACTATGAACTACACTTGCTCTATCTGACAATGATGACAATTGTTTTTGTTTATTTCTAGGGAAGTGAAATCTAGCCTAAATGGGGTGAAGGAAGCATGCATGAAGCCTATAGACCAAAATACATCCCCAGCAGCACAACGGCCTAGCACAGCACACCAGTCATCCTCTCCCGCACCAAACCTACCAAATGTTTATAACCTTTAGGACATACCATTATCTGTGGAGGGGTTTTTATGGTGTTATCAGCATGGTGCATATCAGAAGATGTGTTGAGGGGTATTATTAGAACCAGTGCTTCCAGAGTGGTGAGGGTGTTTAATAAGCAAAATATTACTGTATGTACTTAATGAAATACTTTTTAAAATTAAAAGCTTGTTATTGAAGGCAAATATAAAAAAAGTTGCTTTGTGTATATATTAAAACCTCTGCGGAAAGGTGAGTGGTTATAAAACTTGTTTTTTATGGTATATGAATACTTTACTTCAAAGGTTACTGGTTTGATTTTCACACCGACTACACATTTTCTTTGCTTTATATATTTAATAATATTTATGCTCTTGGTGCTTTGTTGGTTGCATATACTAAAAATAAAAGGGTATCAAATTGTTTTTAAGGCATATATATATAATTTTTTTTATTATGCTCTTCAAATAGCCATAATTATATAAATGTAAATTACTAGTTATCAAATGGTGCTCCAGTTTATCCAGAAGGGGGGAAAAATTCATGGAGAACTATTGTAATCATATCTTTAACCCTGTTATTAACCAGATGATTGGTACCAAATGCTATATCATTAAAATATATAATTGTATACATTAATGCACTAGGAGATAATTCTATTTTAAATTTTACCGTTGCAACATTTGTTCGTATAACCCATAATCTGCTCATCACTTGTAGTTAATAACAGAAGGCTGTGTACATCACGTGGGAACACCACTGCAGTAATTTATTATAAGCACCGCACTAAATCTTCCAAAATCTGATTATTTTATGGTCCAGATTGGATTGTAATTAGGGTGTAGGGGACCAAGTCAATGCACTAATTTAAGGGACAATATATAGAGGCAGCTTACAGTGCAATAGTAAACCTAGAACAAATTATATAATGCTACATAGTTTCTGCTTCCCTAATTTTTAGTAACTGCTATTATTAAACTAGAAATAAAAATTGTGTTAATATAATTTCAAATTAATATTAGTATAATATTAATATTAAGTAGCCAAATAGTGCAACCATGTAAATTGTTTATATGTCAGGTCCTTTGACAAGAAACTACAAGATGGCTCAATAATGACCTGAACCCACTTTCCTGTCAATGATTGATTTAATTGGTAATTAGTATATGCCATGAGAAATGACAGATCTAGTGTTCTGTTCACTGGTGCACGATTTGTGTTTTAAGTATATTATTTAATCAGATATTGTAAATACTTGAGATAATCATATTATTAGTAATTAACTGCCTGTATTCAATTTACTAAGAGTACGTTTAGATTAATGAATTGAAATAAATTTATAATAAAATTCAATATTTAAATTGCTCATTTAGTATAAGTTATAAGCAGACCTGTCAAGTCTCACGCATCTCGCGGGAGTTTTGCGCTTAACTTTGACCTCACATGAGGCCTATATATTCTCGCGCATTCCAGAAGTTCTTCAAATTATATTTTTTTAATGTGCTATTTTCTCAAAACAAGCATACAACATGTACAAACACGACTATCGGCACTAGCGATCCTGAAGCGATAGTCGGTGTTCGACGCCACCTCTCAGCAGAAACTGAAGAAAATTAAATAGGATATCAGTGTGGGACACTTGACTGTGTTTTCCTTAAGGTTTGTGACCTCGCGCATAGTTTTCAAAAAATGTCCAATCTTAAGCAAGCCAGTGTGAGACCCTTGACAGGTCAGTAGCTATCATCTGAAAATATATACCTTTTCCCAATAAACATCGGAAGTGGCTAATTATTTTGTTTGAGAACAAGCATTTTTACAGTCCGGCTGCCATTTCCAGTATCTAGAGCTGCCTATTCTTCAAATTTGCTTCAAACACGGCAAAGATAAGGTAATTTTTGACCCCATTACTGGGCATAATTTACACACTACTGTTTGGCATTATTATGCTTGCCTACATCTACTCTCAACACATACTAATAAAACTCATGTGTGTTGTAGTTAACAAAATGAAATCAAATGTTGAAGTATAAAAAAACACTGGATACACTGTTACTTGGTCATTAAAACAAATTGTACCACCAATAATTAAAAAAAATAATAACGCATTACTTTTGTTTATCTTTGTATCATCATTGGTTTTAATTATCATAATTCTATTACAGTAGTTTTTTTCTCACCTGTATAAAGAACGTTTTTTCTACTACAGTAGGTGTAAAATACATTCTCCTTTTTTAAAACAACCCCACTTTTACATTTTGTAAACGCCTTGTAAAATTCTTTCAGAAATAAAAGATGGTAGGAAAAAACGTTTACTTTGTATCTGTCTTTAAGTATTGGTATATTTTTACATCATCATTAATTTTAACAATCACACAAACCCAATGTATGTTACATTTTTTATGTGTAATATTTTGACCAGCGTAAAATCAACTAGTAGCATATCAGCACACAAGCTCGCATTATCCTGCCAGTTAGTTGAAAATGCTTCAGCTTTCAACTTCCACCACATAAAAAAGAATTCATGTACGCTACTACCCTCGCATGTAAACAACTCAACAGAATCTGCTCTATTGTGCGTAAATCTTGGAGCATATTAAAAGGAAATATGCAATTCATAAAATTTGCAAACAACTGCTAACATTTAAAAAGAGTGCTTTACTCTCATCTATGTCCTTTGGCATGTTTGTATGTTAATTTCTTTTTCGTATACTGCTCACGATCGGCGATAGGAGATTTGTATGAAGTGCATTTATGAGTATTATAATTAGTAGATGTGTGGTGGCAAATTAGAAGTAAGAATTTATATGTGATGGTAGTTAAATTTTCTGTGGTGAAATTACTGATTCAGAAATCATGAAGCAACTCCAAATGAACCTAGATCAATATTTCTAAAAACTTTGGTCCTGAGTTATCTTCCTACATCTGACTATGACATGAACTGTCCATATATTTTATTCTATGACCTTAAAAAAAAACAACTACTTCAGCTTCCCACCTCTCTGCCTTAAAAGTATTAAAACAATATTTTTGATCGCTTGTCCGCCTATCCTTTATTTTGAAAATTAGTCAACCAGTTCAGTTGTACATGATGATTGCAACAATGATAGAGGGGAGTATATCTACTAGGCACTTAATACAAGATTTACAGTAGTTACTGTCCATTTGGTAGGCCCCTGACAGACCTTTTTAACTGGTGCAAGTTATACAGTAACTGGGGTGGTGCTACTGTAGCTTTTACCTGACAGGTGGTCCATTGTTCCCTGACAGTCAACATCCACCTCATTCCCACCATGTTTTATTTTCCCCTACAGATTTTACTGTGGCTCTTTGATAGCTGGGCCAGGCCTCCCCGATACCTGGGCCTGGCCCAAGCTGGACCACCAGGTGGCGTCACCCCTGTTCACTCTATATTTGCTAGGTACCAGACACAGCCATCAATCCTACAATTACTATGCCCATTAAGGTACCCTGACAGGCATGTTGCACAAATTGTTAGAATCAGATATCTCGTTGCTTATTAAACTTGGTCTGCCTCAGCTCTTCGTTGTCTATGTTTTGTCTTCTTCCTTTTTCTTTTGCTGGATGATCTGAAGGAAATAATCATATATTATATTTTTTATCTTTTAACATATATACTGATGGTCTCAATTGATCAGCCCTAGTTGCATGGATAAGCAAACAAAAAAATGCATAAGTAATTATAAATACATAAATATATAAAATATGTAATCATGAAAGAGAGAGATCAATAATAATAATGGTAAGATGATGGTAATGATAATAAGGACAATGGCAATTATGACAATAATAATTTTATCAAACAGTATAGAATTGCAAGAAATCTGACTGCTGTGATTTTGTATGCACACAATGGAACCTAAAAAAAAATGCACTGCCACGAGATTGAGATACACCCTGCCATATTAGAATTTGAATACAGTTCGCTCGAATCTCTTCTTTTAAGGAGACGCCCCTTTGTGGCAGTGCTTTTTAAAACAGTATTATGTTCCAACAAAATCACGAGAGTCAAACCGCTTGCAATTCTATAATCTTTGAATATGTTAACAATGAAGTTGTATTATGGAAAACAGAAAAAAAATATTGATCATATGTGATAACAAAAAATAAACTCCCTCTACCAACCTGTTATTCACCACATTGAGGGCAGCACCAATAGCAGACAACAATTCACCTGATCTCTTTACTTCATTTTTTTCTTTCAATCTCAGCAAAAGATTCCTGACCACATCAAATCCTTCTTTCTATTATAATTATGATTGAAGACAAAAAACCATTACATGTTACTTATTCAATTCAGGGGAATGTTTTAGTCAAGAGGCACATGAAAGACACTTGCAAGGAATGCTTCACAAGTTTAAAATGAAATTTTACCCCAACATTTTCACATTTACTTTAACATAGTTACCTAAATTAAACACCTTAACCACTAGGCTAAAAACTGGTCTAAGCATTGCTTATTGTAACACAATTTAACAATCTTACATCATTCAGATTCTGTTTGAGGGCAGCAAACTCCTTGATCAACATCAAGAACTGTAGCGCAAACTTTGGTCTGAATGTAGACTCCGAATCCAGTGTTTCAGTGAGAACCTATAAATCGAAGTAAAGTTTCAATGTCAAAAATTATATTCAAAAGATAATAAAAAATTAAGGCTTTTAAAAAAAATAAAATTCAAAAGTAAGAGTTAGGGGATAATCAAATTAAATATATAGTTAATATAAGTACTGCAATTAAATACCTTAGAAATCATTGATGATACTTTTTTACACATTTTCTTTGGATCCTCATTTCCCTAAAAACAAAACAATCCAACTTTAATAGTTAAACAATCAACATAAATCAAATATTTCATTACCAAGTTTAATACAAACTGGTACAAATTTGTGATCAACTCGATCGGCCTCCACGATACATCTTGTCAGACCAATGTTCCGTAAGGGTACTGGTGACGACTCATTCAAATCTACAGTGACTGGATTATGGAATATCCTCCCTCCTTCCATTAAAAAATGCAAAATGCAAGCTTTAAAACCAGTTTTTTCAACTGAGTATCAACATTTTTTTTCCTCCGGAGCTTAACTTTAAGCGAAATATTAATTACAGTGGAAGGTAGTTAGCGCTTTGTAACCACAAGGAATAAGCACACAGAAGTAACAAGTAACAAGCATATGTATTGACATAATATGTAGTGCATATTTATTTATATTTTCTGTGTTTGTGTCTCACTGGTTCGATATTCCTTCTGTCAAGTGGGAAACCATAGCGATCAACCGAGGTCTGTGGCATTCTCCAATGACAAATTATTTGTTTTTCTGTGTCTTCGGACCTAAACTCATCATCTGCTTGACGAGAAAGGATATATATGGTCAGAATCAATCATACACGTGCAAGAGGTATAGTGCAGCGGTAAGGTTTTGGGTTTATATCAAGAGGTTGCGAGTTTAAGACCGGTGCTGGTTACACTGCTTTGATCCTTGGTCAAGACCCGTTATTGGTGATTAATTAATTTTTTATATTCTTTATACTGGGTAAGAGTTTTCATTTTTCATTTTCATTTATTTATTAGACACAAAGGTCCTGGGACTTCTAAAGAAGCAATAGCCTCTGTGACTCAATGAGTCAGAAGTCCCAGCAAAACACCAAAAACATCAAAAATATTTACAAAGGTTTTGGGTTTATATCAAGAGGTTGCGAGTTTAAGACCGGTGCTGGTTACACTGCTTTGATCCTTGGTCAAGACCCGTTATTGGTGATTAATTAATTTTTTATATTCTTTATACTGGGTAAGAGTTCAGTTGAAATCTACTACTGTATTCTCTCACAATGGCCAGTCTCTATTTTAGGCTTAGCAAGTGAAATTGTTTTAAAAACACTGCTGTCAAAGGAATTGAGCCCTGTGATGGGAAGTCAAGCATCTAAACCACCATGCTATTCAACTCTATTCCAATAGAGAGGGTATAGACACAAAACATATTGTATATAATAACTTGTCCAAGAACATTAGCAATACGCAGGATAAAAAACTTTCTATAAATTTTAATATCCAGAATACCTTAGATATTGAGAGTATCTTTCTTAAAACAACAACAATCAACTGAAGAAATAAGTAAAATTGATACATACCAAATATGGTCGTTTACTCAGCAAATTAGTTAACATTAAACAAGCTTGTTTCTGAAATATAAATTGAAAAAATATCCCATTGATAATACTTCACTTATATTAGCGTATACAGTATACTTGGGAGTTCATCTAAAAAGATCTGATATTTAAACTAAAATGACACATGGTGAGTGAACCGTACCTTACGATACACCTGGATATTCTCGGTGGTATACTGAATCAGTTGAGGTGCTAAGTGCCATCCGAGACTCTACAGACAATGAAAATTGATTAATAAAATATATCTATTTTTTTAAACATGCAACACAAAGTACAAGATCTAAGGTAAGGTCTGCCTTATGAATGGTAAGACCTCCTCAGATCAGTCCCTAAGGGTCGCCTCCATTCCCCACCCCCAACTGACCCACTAAAAATGTTCAAAGCAAAAAAATCATGATCAAGTAGTTAAATATCACTTTATTTTGCGAGCTAGCACTTTCTCTATTAATCATCAAGCCCCAACCCCACTTAACCTTCAACCCCCTATAGTGTATGCCCAATCATTTGAAGACTCGTAGATACGCCAATGCCTCAGATTAAGGCTGGTACAACTTACCGGGAAACGTTGTATAAGATCTGCGAAAAGTACAGGATGTAGACATGTTGACCTGAGGAAAAAAAAAAAAAATACTCTTGAATATTTAATGGTGATGTTTCAGTAAACAATTTTACTCCGTGTTTGTCATACATTACTAGTGTTTGTCAAACACTACAAATTATGAATTAATAAATGATGCTAAATTTAATCCCGTAAACAAGCGAAAAACATTATCCACAAATTTATGATACTTGCATGTTTTTACTACTGTATTATTAATGCTCACGTGAAGGTATAATCAAGCACAGCAAAATATTATAAGATGTGTGAAGAAAGCTCATATAACCAGATCTCCTGCAAGTGGGTTCTTCCAACTTTGGACCCCTGTTAATTTCTTACTACAAATCTGGATTTCATTCTAGTTGAGAGGCTAGTCCAGTTTCTATATACTTACCTGTATGTCATGAAATCCAAAAGTGACTTATTGTACAATGCTGCAATTCTTTCATCATTCAAAGACTTATCCTATATCAGAAATATAAAATTTGAATACATTTTCATTTTATATTGTAGAAAATACAAAAGTTGACATTTGTTTTTTGTCATGAAAACAAGATAAACTAGAGCAGTCACTACACAAGAGTACAAACCTCCATGCCTGGGTACTGTATAGAACACAATATGCTGTGTATGGGCAGTTCTAATCTATTATTTTCTTTTAGTCTTGAGGTAAGTTCATGAAAAGAATATCACCTCTCTCTTTGATTATTATATACCATCCTATGTTATGGTAATCTTTTTTCATATTATCTATTCCTTAGTTTTTTGCATAATCTTGCTAACAGACTGACAGACAGGGGGTGAATACATAACCTCCTTGGCGGAGGTAATATCGACAATGTGTCGTTGATTCTTTACCTCCGTGCCATCATCTTCATCCTGTCGATTTTTTTCTTGATGCTTCCTTTGTTGTCGCGTTTTGAGTGGTGAAGGACCAGTTGGGGACTCAGACATTAGCATACGCACAAGAAACAGGCAACCGCTGGATATGAGGGAGACCATGTATACTGATGAAGCTAGAAAAGAAAACATATTTAATTATAATAATAGTATAATAATTAAATGAATAATATGTTGTGCTGTGAAAAGCACTGTATAAATTGCAAAACATATTAAAACTACACAATTGTTTTCATCAGACATGACATTTAGCTTATTTGTCACTAAGGAGGTCCCTATAAAGTTCAATGAACTCACATTTTCGTAATGCTGTCATCATGTCTTCCAAGCATTTATGTAGTTCTTCTTTTTCACTGTCTGACACCTTAGGATACTAGAAAAAAAAATACAAGTGAGCTTGTGTTATTTTGTAAAAAGCAGAAAAAAAAATCCTGATTATTTAGATACTATCAAAATTATTGTTAAATTTCAAATATATTATGAAATATGAAGTTATACACTTTTTGAGAAATAAAAGTTACTCACTTTTTTAGGACGACATAGTTTCATTTTGTAGATGTTAGCTGCCTTTTCTTTTAAGAGATCCTGATCTCTATCCCCAGATGCTGCCTGGATCATGAAGACCAATGGTAGCAAAAGATCCTAAAATATAAATCAGATGCATCAAATAAAAACCGAATTACTAAATGAATCATTAAACTGCATTCATATTATGAATATTGTATAATCCTGAATCTTGGAACTGTTTGTCAAAATGTTAAGGTGTTGTTTATGCACACATGTTAAAGATCTCTGTACTTTTAGATGAGGACCTTTCTCCTGGTACATAGATCATAAAAGGTTATTATGGGCTTGGAGAGCATCGGCCCCTGTGAGACTGCAAATACTCTGGACACGCTGAATACAGTATACCCAACAATTTTCTTTGGGAGGAAAGGGGTACAAGCATGCTCAATTAAAATATCCACATTTCCAAGAAATTTTTGAAAACATATGATAAAATCATGTGACATTCTCCGAATTGATAATTTCATCTATCAATCAATTCATTATTAATCATTAAACACCAACAATTTCTTGACTAAAAAACTCACAGCTACAAGGATGTTCTCAGGCTGCCGTTTGATGAAGATATCGACAAGATCGAGAACACGAAGCTTAAAATGAAGCATCATTGTGACAGCTTCGACTTTTGCTTTCTTCACCCGTAGCTTCTCTTTGAATGCTGCTGCCAGGACTGTATCAAACTTCATCATGGCATCATCATCCATTTCCTCCCCATCATCCTCCCCATCTTCATCTTCATCATCATCCTGTTGTTAAAACAAGACAATAAAATATTTAGGAATAAATTATGTTTTCCCTTTAAAACAATAAACACAAAAATTACAAGAAAATAACTGCGTTTTCTTTATCACGTTCCTATTGTTGAATAACAAAAAAAACCTCATAAAAATCATCTAGGTAATTTTTTTTTCTCACAAACTCTTTATGTTTTATTTTCTTAAGCTTTCACTACTACCATTATTTGCAGGCCCGTATGCAGGATTTTTATTGGGTGGTGGGAATTTGTAGAGAGTGGATAATTTGAGGTCTTATTTAATCGACTTCTGAAGATGTACAGTACTGTATATATGGTTTTCAGTGGCGGACCTAAGAATTTGAAGAGGGGCCGGGGAGGGACTTCCACAGATGGAGGAAATACCACCTCAGTCCCACCATGATTGAAGCTGAGGGAAGAAAATTTATGGTTATGGCACTTCCAAATGGCCGGAAATTGAAATTTGAATATCATTTTCTTATTTTCCCAATTTTTTTAAAATTTTGAATAAAACAGGGAGGGGGGAGGGACAGGACGACTGAGCTTCCTTGTATCCACCACTGTCAGTGGCAGATCCAAGAATTTGAAACAGAGGGTCAAGAGAAGGGCTTTTACAGATTGAGGGTTTATTAAGAAATTTTATTATTATGGCACCTGTAGATGGCCAGAGATGGCAATCTCATCCTTAAATTTGAATATAAATTTCTTTTCTTGTTTCATATAATTTTGACAAATTTGGGGGGTGGGGGAGGGTGATTTTTGAATTTTCTACCCTAGAAAATGTGGATCTTTGGCAATTTGGGGGATGCACCCATCGCACCCCACTGCGTACTGGCCTGATTTGTTAATTGTTTCATATACACTGTTCTACAAACTAAATATAATTTCATTGAAATTTGTGTAATTAAGTTAAACACTGTTAAGTAAGTAAGTGGAGGTTAGTTTAAGCTTTGGCTCAGGAAATAAAAGGGAAGGCATACTACAGATGTTCCTCATTTAATATAACAGATCAATCCTCAAACTTCCTACTACGCTATTAACAACTATTTTTTTTTAAGTAGCCTCAACGATCATCTAAATTTTATGAATTCCAAAATTGTTATACTTTACTTCATCACTGGGTTGTGCAGCATCCCCCAATGCATCTCGAATCTTAGATCTGAATTCTTCATCGACCATTTCAGTATCTTCATCATCACCATCATCGTCATCATCTTCCTCATCATCATCATCATCATCGTTGTCATCACCACTTTCATCTTCTTTGACGCTACCTGCTTCATCTTCGTCAATGTTACCATTGCTCTGTAAATAAATTTTGAAAAATCAATAGTGAATTTTAAAGGTAAGATAATTCTACTTTTACCGTAGTAGCTCCATCAATTAAAATGCTAAGAAATAAATGCAAAGATATTTACAATATATCATGCTAAATAATTGAAAAATGAATATATTAGTATCTTAGGTGTTAATCTTTGACCCTTTGACCCCTTAAAACAACGTATTACATGTTATCAAATGTTTAGACATTGTGTTACAAGTGACTCATTTCAAACCCACTGGTGAATTTTCCTTATCTTCATCTTCTTCACCTTCATCTTCCATATCTAAAAAAAAATATAATTTTTATGTAGAACTACAGAAGACTGAATAAAAGCCTTTTATTTATTTTAGGTAATACAATGAAGTAATGGTCGCCTCACCAAAACTCTGCAACTTACTTCCCATCAATATACTGGAATCTCCATTAGATTCCTTATTTAAGACCCAACTTAAAACTCATCTTTTCTCATCCATCTACTTGGTTTTTTTTTAACTTTTGTTGTTTTTTGTGTCTCTTCGTCTTACTTGTTTAATTTATTCAACTTCTACATTTGTTGAAAGCGCATACCAACCATTACCATTACATAAACACACTTTATTATATATGGCAAATAATTTGCTTTTATATAGGCATGATGATATCATATCACATCCATATTTGGTCATGTTCCAGGTACATGTCACATAGAACTTGAAAATGTGAAGACAGATCTTTCAATTTATACAATCTCCTAATAATAGTTTATGCGGTTGTACTACAATAAGCTGCTTTATCATTATTTAAATTGATGAACATTAATGACAAAAAATGAGACATTAAATCAAAACATCCTGAAAATACCTGAGTCATTAACCACTTCTACATTACTATCTTCGGGTTCATTCTTTGTCGGATCCAACACCTGTAAAAACAACATCAAAGACACTTCATAAACTTGGTGCAAATTTACGGTATATGTAAATACTTAACAACAAATTCAAGATGTACTATCAGTCACAAAGACAGCAAAAATACCTCAAAAATTCAAATAAATCTTTGAATAGCTCATTTTAAAGAATCAAAATTATTATTAGCTTCCAACGAGAAACAGATCGAAAAAAAAGTAGTTTTAACCAGTTTACAGATATTTTTGCTACAAAAACCCTTAAATTGATTTCCTGCCAATTTAATGGTCTATGAAAAAGAAAAGTTATTATTTAACTGTCCGAAAACTGACAGGAGATTTTTTTTTTAATTAAAATTTTTAATATTAAATTAATAACTTACTTAAATATACAAATTAAGCAATTCAGATATGGAATTGTTTTTTCTTTTACCCCATGACTGATATTACATCCTCAACTCAGTCTACAATCCAAAACTTTGTAGATAATTAATGCAGATATAATATTCAAAATTGAAATTATAGATGGTCTTAGTGAAAATGAAGTCTTGCAAAATACCTGCACAATTATACAGTACTGAAATATGAGGTCCTGTACATTGAACTTACAGATTCAGAGTAGGCCATAATGTGATTATGTATCATTCTCAAAACATACTTCATTTTTAAGTTAAAATTACCTGAACTACTTTGGTTTAAAAATGAAATGTTGTGAAAATTTCACAAAATAAATTTTAAATGGTGATTTACACAGACCACATTAGTGATAATTGGCTATTATGCCTAAACAGCTGAGCTATATATGGCTAGTTGCTATTCAATGTGTGTATACAGGATATGAGAAAGCTGGGCTCATAAATCCAAGGGGTACTCAGATTAAGCTTCCTTTTAGACAACAAAACACTGTATGTGCAGGCATTTATTTGGTAATTAAATGATATTCCCAGAAAGCATTCCTAGGCTAAAATAATAATATTTCACAGCAAAATGCTACTAATACTGACTTTACATAATAAATACAAAAGGACAAATAATGCACAACAATAACACTCACATCCAATAATAATGTCAATGACTTCTTGGTCATGTGTGCACAGATCATTTTGAATGTATTGTCGACAACGGCTCTCAGGAGATGCGATGATTTGGAGAGAAGACCAATTAAAATGTCCACAACAACTTCAACCCACTCAGGCTCTATACAATAATAATTATATTAAAAATAATGATAATGTTAGCACACTACGTAAAAATATATCTGGTAATTAGATATGATTATTTCACATGAATCTGAATTTCAAGATTATTCTTTTGGTAAAATTCATGATTGGGCATTTGATAATATACTCAATATTTATATGACCAGATTATGGTGTATAAAACCAAATTCTGATGTCATCCCTACCATCTGTTTCCTTGGCAACAGATCGACGCTTAGTCAATGCCTTCTTGTAACAATTGCTAAGCTCCTAAAAGAAGAAAAATGGTCTTAAATGTACCAACTGTATCAATGATTTTATAACCATTCTAATGACGATAATGATGATGATGTTGACAATAATATACAAAATAATAGATAGGCATTATGGGGTATATGGCATCACCATGCCAATATATAGGTATATCACATACTTGTTACAGAAAATTTTATAAAGTGGAAATAGTATTATATAATTTAATATATGTGATACTGTAATCACACACTTCCATTCAATTTTCAAAGCCTGATGGTTTTTTGTTTTTTTTTTAAATTTATTTACAGAGGATGACCCTTCCAGCATATCCTAGAAGGTCAGCTGTTATTCAGGGCCCTCTAATGTAAATGAAATACTGTGATGCCTTATCAGCAAAGTCTCAGTACAAGAGTTGCTTTTTTAGTAGGGAGAAAAAGTCCTGCTGTTACAGAAATTGGACTTGGGATTGGAAGGCAAGCATCTTAAACCACTACGCAACATCTTCACTCAAAACAGTAAACATCCAAAACAGTAAACATTGATTAAACAATGTAAAACATTGCATGGCATCCTTCAGTGAACCATGCGACTATGCCATGTACATGATTGTGGACTTCCACATCATTCAATGGCTTTAATATGGGATCTTACTTCCAGAAGATCAGTGGAAGTTGTTGGTTCTGTGAACATCTGCAGTCCTACATGAAGGAAGAGAAGCTGGAAGGCAGATGCTGCTGCAAGGTTCTTTTTACTTTCAATCTTCTTCTGAATATCTGCGACAGAGGAAAGCATCTTCTCCCATGCTGTTGTCATCTGTCAAAAGGAGCACAAAAATCAAGCCTTTTAAAATCTAAATCTAAATATAGAACTTTATATTACTCTTTTCGCCAATGACTACAAAGCGTTTGGATATGTGGACTAGGAACTCGATCAATGACTTTCTTCTCCTCTAAGGGTCCCTTCGTGTCTTGCTACCCAGCAACCCGGTGCAACTCTCGTCGTCCACAACAGGGGCCATTTGTACCAGTACATTGGGTATCCCCCTACTCATCTCGAATGATGTACTGGGTTCTTTATATTGCACACAAGCCAAAGTGAATACAAGGCCTACGGTTTACAGTTCTTATCCAAAAAGACTTGTTCTACCACCAGAACCATAGTAACTTGAGATTTTAAAGTGAGTCAGCCAATTTATTAAACCATTACATATGTTTCATTTGTAAGTAAAAATATCTTCTACCATACAGTGTCACTTGTCAACAGAAACATATGATTTTAATGCGAGTCCACAATACGTATGTCTAATTTCTAAAAAAAGATTTTGAGACAAAGTGCTGACTACTTAAAGTAATGTGGAATAAAATGGACACTTACTTCAGGAGTGAACTCAATCCGACAAGTAACATTTGGTGAGGACAGCAGCTGTTGTGCGTATTGAGCTACCAATTTTACCCACAGGTCTCCTCCAGATGTCATTCCAAGAGTTCGTTGAACCTGACCACTAGCTTCTTTCTCCTCTGATACTAAAACAATGAAAATTATAAATTATTATCATAATAAATAGTAAATGCATAAATATATAACTATATACAACCAAATTCCTATAATAATTAATAAAATGAGAAAATATATTTGCAGACTAAAATTTGGTGTATAAATGCAACCTCCAATTGGAGACGCCCCTCCCCTCTAATTCCGAGACTCCTCTAATTCGAGACCACTTTTTTTTTAAAGAACCTAATAATCTTCAATCTATTAACACTAAGATAACCCTCTATGTGGAGAGGGAACCCTGAGACCACCCAAATTTTCAGGACCCAAAGGTGGTCTCGAATTGGAGGGCGAATTTTATGTACAAAAATTAAGTATTAATGGGTTCAGCAACTACTCCTTGTACTTTAGATGAAATGCAGACAGATAAGATTAAGGTGATACTGTACCTTGCGAAGCAGGCATGTTGCTAAGTGATGTTAAACAGCTCTGGAAAAGGCTGGCCAGAAGTTCTTGTAACTCCTTCCCAATCTTATGTGTTAAAATATGTTTACACTGAAAAAATATTGATGGATATACAACACTTTCAATTCAATTATAATATCAAGATACAAGATACAAGATAATTTTATTTTCAAATACAAATCAGAAAATTGTTTCCACTGGAAAATTTTACAAGGTATAAAGAACACAGTACAGTAATAAATAATGGATTATAAACAAGATTAGTAACTAAAAATATATACACAATAAAATATCTATATATGATATATACAAACCTTACTGATCTTTTAACACTAGTGTTGTGTAGATAATAGAATATGGAACAAACAAATTTCTATAGTGGCAGCACGTGATATGGTAAGTTTAAGCGGAAACCAGAATTACTAAGAATAAAATCATTATGCAGCGGATGAGTCGTGCGGTTCATTATTTTCATAAGTTTTGCCAATGTGTACAAGTCATTAATAACATTTAGCTGCAAAATATCCTCTCATTTAAAAACCATCATTATAATGTTATCATCAACATCACCACCACTACCTTTATGAATTCCAATATTATTACTTATGATCTATGTTGCCATAATCAGCAATGGCTACCATTGTCTTTACCATTATCACCCTCATCTTTATTTTCACTGCAATTATTGTTACAACCACAACCACCAGTATCATGATGACATACCTGCGCTACAATGGTATCAGGCTCCTGGATGATGAAGTAAGCATGGACAAAAAGAAACTGTGTTATATCCAGTAGCCACTGTTCTTGTTTTGGGATTCCAGGGCTTCTTACCAATGAAAGCATCTATAAAATATTTTAAAAAACCATAAACATTTCACCAAATCAGATTAAGATACATAATTATATAACTTTTCTAATTAATAGATCTCGACAAAATCATTTAGAAGAAAATTGCAATCAATCTAAAATAAATATTTACCTCGTGGCAAACCCATCGTCGAGCTGAATTAATATCTGGTACCTTTTCAAAACTGAAAGAAAATAGAAATTCCAACTCACACACTGATCAGTTTGTGTGTACACGTCACTAAGTGACCACATACTGTACAGTATTTTATCACCTATTCTATAGCAAATAACAATATTATGGAAAATAACATATTACAGATGAATTTAACAATAACAAATACCCCTTTTACAATACCAGGACATGTAACTCTGTTGTTGTGGTTAGTGTAAATAGGAAAAGTAAGCCTTGGGCTCCCAAACTTTTTTTCATTTTATTCAATATTTAAAACAGAGACTCCTCACAAAGCACAGCCTCAGCCTCCGAAAACAAGATCTTTTTAACATTAATAATAGTGAACATTTATAATGCAGCAGTATACATCAAAGATGCTCATGGCGCAAAACAGAAGTCGAGAGAATTGTTAACTGTTTGTAATCTTAACTATGAAAAAAAAAATAATAATAACCGTATCCCAGGTGGGGATATCTTCGTATCTTCAGGAGTGCCTTTGCTTGCCCAAGGCAGAGATACCTAGTTAGCAACTCCTAAGACTCACAGAGGGAAGGAACGTATCACATTTCCATTTATGGGCTGCCCCTTAAAGGGGGTCCCACACTGCTGCCCTTACAAGAGTGGCCTAAACCTAGTCAATTCGTAAAAGTACAATATTGAAAAAAATTAAACAGTGTAAGTGTGTAATTATCGTAAGGATGAAGTGAACAAAAAACGTCTTAAGCTGATTCTTATATATGCTTAGGGAAGTACTTTGTTTAATGTTATCCAGTAACAGATTCCATAAGTGTGGTGCAACTAATGCAAAAAAAACGCTTTCCCCTGTTGTTGTTTGTGCGTGGTTTATAGAGCAAATTTTTGTTGTTTGATCGTAGACACACCTTGGTTTGAGCGATATAAGTAGATTTGAGATGTAGGCTGGAGCAGTACCAGTTTTTGTCCGATAAATGTAGGTAAGAATCTTGAAAACGATTCTATCCTGTATTGGCAGCCAATGTAATTGCTTTAAAAAGAGGTAATATGATCTCTAGGTTTAACACGTTTGATAATTCTTGCTGCAATGTTTTGTAAGCGGGTGAGTCGATTGATTTGAAAAGTAGGAAGTCCGTACAAAAGTGAATTCCCCATATCGATGTTACAAATGCGTGAACTAAGTTTTCTGTAGCTCCTTCAGTCAGGTATTTCCTAATTCGCCCAATGTTATGAAGATAGAAAAAGGAAGTATTTGAGATTCCAGAAATGTGGTCTTTGAGATTCATCTCGGCATCGAGAACTGTGCCGAGGTTGCGTACTTTTTGAGTTGTAGTTATCTGTAAACTACTAATTTTGACATACGGAATGTCTACCTTCTTACACTGTGCCTTCGACCCAAAAACAATGAACTTTATGAATTTTATGTAATTTGAGACAATCCATTCGCAAATTTCTTCAATACATAATTCTAATTGATGAATTGCAATGTCTGCATCTGATTGATTGGGCTTAAAAGAAATTTAAAGTTGAGTATCGTCGGCATAGGTGTGAAACTGCAGATTGTGTCTTTGAACTATATCACCCAAGGGACGACAGTAAATGGAAAAAAGGAGAGGACCAAGCATGCTTCCTTGTAGCAATCCAAACAAGAGTCTACAAGGTGCAGAATAATTTTCATTGATTTTTATGCACTGTGTTTTATCTGAAATGTAATAAACCACTTTAGTATGGTTCTATCAAACCCAACTTCTTGGAGCCATTCTGAATGCTAGACTTAGCTTTATAAAAGGAAATAATTTTATAATAATATATAAATAAATAATAAAAATTTAAGGTATGTTATGCCTACTTAATCACAAATAAAATGTTATATATAAATTAAATAGAAAATCGATTATAAATTGTAGAACAAATTTGAATAAAGACACATTCCGATAATTATCAATAAAGTAAACAGATCCAAATATAAACAAATTACATAAAAACTTGATATTCAATGACAATGATAGGTCTTCGCCTGAAACATGTGTAACTATATTTGAATCTGCATTTGCTGCCCGTGTCAATGAGTGTAGCTCCAGAGCAATCCAGACATTTTTGTTCGGTGTACATGAGTAATGTATCTGGCATCTCCGGAGCTAATGTGATTTTATATTAAAAAGTAAAGTATTTTGTTTAGGTCTCTGATGACAGTTTTAGCATGGCAAGCCCAGAACTGGAGACAACCCTTTAAGGCCATCAATTGACAAGATAGAAAAACTTATCATGAACTTTTACCCATAAATTATATTTTTAAATACTAAATTTAAGTCCACTGTCCATTTTTTTTCCCTAGATTTTTAATATGTGGCAAAGACAAGCCAAACCAACCAGCCACTCCTTGCAAAAATTAATATTAATACAGGGTCAACAATAAAATGCTATAACCACAGCTAGATAATAGTAAAAGTATCATTTAAATCAGACATTTCGTTATGTTGCAGGACTATTACAATTCATTCCGGGTCGTTTGGTATTGATGGACTATATATCAAAACTGAAACCTAAATTTTGGTATAGCAAATTGTCTATAAAACATACTCAAGCATTCATATAACCCAACAGAGATCACGTTGCTATAACAAGTATAAACAAACATTTTAACAACAAAGAAATACTGTGTATACAGAAAATGCAAAACAAGTCAGTACCATGAAATGAGGCTTTATTTGCTTGCACAGCCAGTAAAAACTCTTATAAAGGGGTCGCTTTATGATTCGATTCGGGAATTACCGCAAGAAAAATTATGAGCTTAAAACAGGCCGAGGCACGGCCATACATACGGCCTACATTTCATAAACGTCACACATTCAACTAGAAGCTGTAAAATGCCAAAAGATTGAGCAAGGTAAAAAGGGTTTCTTTATATACATTTAACATTTTAACATTTTAGGTTCAAATTTGTTAATAAATACTGTACTTATATGGCATTGTGTTAATTTTCTTAAACATAATGTAGTACTAGTAAGAGCCTAATCCATAAAGTTGAACTAATATTGCATTTCTGTTATAATTAAATTCTTTTCAAACTTCCTCTTGAATACTATATGTAGTAAACTTTATTCCAATTTTCTATGCTGTAGCTTAAAGACTTTATGCCTCTATGTGTAGAACAAATAGATACTGTATTTTAACTGACTTTTTAGTTAGTAAGAAATGTGAACATATCTATCTATGTGCTTTTAAAATAATAGCTTAACCATCCACTGCTGAATTACGAATGCAATACAGTATCCATAGTGTAATATTTCTTGAAATTTCTAAACAGGACTTACTACTTCACAATCTTTAAGCTGCATATATTTTAACATGTATGCATGCTTTTTTTTTGAAGTGGTAATTATAAGTAAATCTATGAATATTTTCATATCTTATTCAGTATTTGTATATTTTTATCATCGTAATGAATATTTTTGGACTAGTATTTCCAAATGGACATTAAAATGGATCTTGAATCCTGAATAATAGACTGGGTTCCAGTCCCTAAACTTAATTTTACTTTGTCTTAATCAGTGAAAATGCTTGAAAAAAAAAAAAATTATTTTGGCACCAAATGCGTTCCATATCACTTATTTGCAACAATAACAATAATAACAATAATAATAATAACAACAAATAATAATAACAACAACAATATCAATAACAATAATAATAATAATAATAACAAGAGCACTCAGCAGAGAGCATATCTCCGCCCACTGCAAAAGTCTTTCTATAAAATGAATCTCCCAAAATATGTTCCTCACTTCGCTCCACTCCTCTTCAAAAATGCACCTCACCAATTTATTTCTATAAAACAATTCCTCACAAATATGTTTCTACTTTCCAACCACAAACTGTAATCTATTTTTTTTTAAATACACTAACACAAAAGTTTCATTTAGATGGCTTGATTAGTTTTTGAGACATCTGATCTGCGATGTTGTGCTTGTGAATGGTCCATAATCAGCACCAAAATATAATCACTTAATTTTTAGATCGCTTCCCATTCTATCAGTTGTACACCTGCCAATTCCTAACATGTTCTGGTACATTTTACCATTTATAGCTGACAAACAAAATCCATGCAATGTATTGGTGTCGAAACAGAAGTATTATGGAAATAGAAGTACGGGGATTTGGTTTTTAGCGTCGCATGTTTAAATGTAAAGATGCATTAAAAGTATTACCAATAAATTCTGAAAAAAAGTGAAGTTAGTACATATAAAACGCTGTACACATTTACTGTAATTGTACTAATTAAAATATTCATCATATAGCTATTGTTTCAGCCTATGGGTAATACCGTAAACTTTTCTTTAAATTGTCCTCATATCCACACCCTACGTAAGATCGTGACCAAAATTGAAACGCTTATGTATTAAAACATTACAAACTATTCGGAAAAGCGTATTTTTCAACCACTGAACCAATCAAGAGATATTTAGGTCTGGGTCCTAATGGCCCTCACAAGCACCCATAATTTGGATCGTCACCAACACTTCACAATTTCTTCCTTTTAACTTGGTTAAACCTTTTACAAAAGTTTCAATCATATGATTTGAAAATTTTTTTAAATATCTGGTCAGGACATTTTCCTTCAGGTGGTCCTCATATGCACATCCTACGTCGGTTGGTCACCAAAATTTAATCACCTCATCCTTGGGTTATACCTAACAATCTCTGTAACTACCATTTCAACCAGTGCAGCTGTTTTTGAGATATTTTGTACACAAGAAACACGCGGGAACTTAAAAATTTAAATGACCCTCAAGCTCACCCCCTAATTTAGATCGTGACCAGTGCTTGATAATTTCTTGCTTGTAACTTGGTTGAACTTTCACGAAAGTTTCATTCATGTCGGGTGATTAGTTTTTGAGATATCTTGTCTAGGACAAATTCCTTTAAATGGTCCTCACATCCACACCTTACTCTGGACAGTCACCAAGAATTAATCATTTCTTCATTTTGTTATACCTAACACTCCCTGTTATTTTCAATTATGTCTGTGCAGCCGTTTTGAGATATTTTGTACACAAGAAAAAAAACTGAAACTGCAAAGCATTACACACACACTAACATAAATATCACAAAACGAACACAAGTATTTCCTGGCAGAGATAATAATAATAATAATAATAATAATAATAATAATATTTGGACTTGTATAGCGCATTATGCAAAAAAGCCTATATGCGCTTGGTGATTGAGTTTGATATTCTAGTGTGAATAAATTAAAACAGAACTGAACATTTAATTATTTCCATTCATAAAGATAATAAACACAGTGATTGGTAATGGCACAAAAAATCCCATCAAAGCAACTGATGTGAATAATTTCTATAATTATTTCAGTGTCTCAAAACAAGTATAAAATATTGTTTGGAAGTTTACATAATGGAGGAATAATAATAAATAGCTTTTCAGTAAATGCACAGATATATCTGAAAACAACTGTCATTGTTGATGGTTAGAGCAATTAATAATCTTAAAAAGTTTTTAAAATTATTTTTAAAAATGGAGAAAAAGAAAATTATATTCAAATGCAAGTTTGAGAGCATCATTTCCGGCCATCTACTTTAGAGGTGCCATAATCATCATAATATTCTTTTTACCGCAACCACAGTATATCAAGGTGGTCTACATCCTCTATTTAGAAAAGTCCCTTCCTGTGCCCCTGTCTATTTTGAAATCCCGGATCTGCCACTTAAGGGTTTTAATATAAAAGCTATTATGGAAATAGATAATGTTGCTTAGGAACTGATAAACAAACACTGTACTATCACAAAATACAAAGTTAGTCCATGTTAAGTTGCAATATATAAAATAAGTACGCAAACACAGATTAAATCTTCCATACAAAGGTCCCATTATGGTTTCGGGGATAACCCAAGTCTATTTATTAAATAGATACGGCAATTTAAAATAGATACAGCGATTTCTACATGCCACACTCCACTCCAGCGTTGAAGAACAAGGTAAGTTAATAAAAAACATGGGTTCTTATTATTTGAAAATTTTTGACTCAAATTTGTTAATGTTAGAAATTTCTTACACACATGCAGGACTAATAAGAACTCTATACATTTACCGTAGGTTGATGGATTGAAATTGTTTTTTTGTTATCGTAACTGAAATTGCATAAAGGCCTTGCATAACACACTGAATTAATATTCATTTTAAAATTTATTTTTATTTATTTAGTGACTGATAATGGCACAAAAAATCCAACCAAACCAACAGAGCATAACACTAAAAATTAATGGAGAAGCTCCAGCGATATTTCAATATCCAACGACTAACATAGAATTCAATGAAAGTCAATCTACACGGAGTAAAGAGAAAAGCCCAACATTAAATATGAAACAGCAGCAGAAATATAAATTTTTTGACCGAAGACACACATCATTAGATAATGATATCAGGCAACTTGATTTGGATAAAGAACGTGTACAGCTGATTATTCCAATACTTCAGCAACATAAAAAGAAAATTGTAATAAGTGCTTTACAAAAATATGTAGAAGAATGTGGCCTTTTGCAGCAACCAAGTTTATCCTATGGGAATCAAGAACTGAATACAAATGAAGTTAATGGTACACTCGGATATATTAATGAAAATCTGCAGGGACAAATATGTCAAGGAACCTTTCCATCCATAGATAGTACAAGTTTTAGTTCCCTTCATGGAGATTTAAAGACACACACTCAAGACAAGATACCAAGTTCATCATATGGCATTCAGGAACTGAATACAAATGAAGGTAATGGTACACTCAGACTAAACTCTAATGAAAATCTGCTGAGACAAACAACTTATCCAGGAACCTTTCCAGCTATAAATGGTTCAAGTTTTAGTTCCCTTAAGGGAAATATAAAGACACACACTCAAGACAACATACAAAACATTGAAGAAAGAATAAAAAACTCAATCGATAAGCTGAAACTTAATTTTGAGGAACTTTCAGAAATTGTCAAAAGCCTGCCAAAAGTGTTAGCAGTAGAGCCAACGGATCTTAACCATGGAGTAAATAGTGAAGTGGATGGAACTCAAGAATGTTACATACAAAATGATAAAGTATTAGAACTCTTCAAAGAACTCATGCTACGGGGTGAAGAATATCATAAGTGTATACAGACCCTTGCGAAAAAAGTTGACATTCAAATAGGGATAGCTACAATGCGTAAAAAAAATGAACAGCTCAGACACAAAGATACTCAGTTGGCAGATTTAAGAGAAGAAGTTTCACAATTACGTGCGATAATCAGTAAAAAGCCAACAGAAAGAAGTAACATTGAACCAAAGCCTCCTTCATCATTAAGATCACCAGAACAGGAAGCACATCAGAACAGACATAGAGGTCACATGCCAAACTCAGTATATAAGCGCAATTTATTTAGCAAGGTGCCTAAAGATGGGGATTGATGGGATCCATTAACAATCTGAATTTTAAATCTGAATTTCACAGCTAAATAAAAAACTCATAGAAGATCAAAGCCATGGAACTGCCAAATTTAGCACCTAAGGGCAATGTTCTTGGCATCTCAAAAACAGGGTGTCAAACTTTCTAGAACCTACAGGAAAATTAACATCTCGACGAGATTTGATTGACATATAAACCGATTAATCAGCGAGCGTCATTTAGTCACATGATCGAAAACATTTTCTCGGACATTTTAATTTCCTTAGACAGCTGGTATAAATGCGAAACATACATGAGCCTAGGCCTAGATGTCTATGCTTGGTTATACTGTAGATACCCAGATTTACACGAGCAATGCGCGTCAGTGACTCGGCCTTTGCCGACAACAAGGTTGACTTACTGCGGCTTTTCCTTTGGGAGTGAAATACAGAGGCTTTTACAACAATTTCCCCGCCATGTTCCATGAAATAGATAACACTATGAATGTTTGATTCATTTTCATACCGCCTAACCTGAATTCTCTTTCTTAAAGATGGTTGATAGCAAAGAAAATTTTTGCCAACTTGGTAAGTCTAGCATACAGTTGTTCAACCATGAAGCCTCCGTGGTCTAATGGTTAGGACGCTCGCCTTGACAGCAAGAGGTCGCAGGTTCGAGTCCCGCCAGAGGCATTTTATTACACAATTTCTTTATTCATTTATTTACCTTTTCTTTGATGATCATTACATAATTTAACAGTGTTAACAGCTATCTTGATTTATATTATATGCAACTATTTGTTTTTAGCCGTAATTATTGTGTAATGGAGTGTATCTGGTGGTATTTGAATCTGTTCAACCATGAACCTCCGTGGTCTAATGGTTATGACGCTCACCTTGACAGCGAGAGATCCCAGGTTTGAGTCCCGCCACAGGCATTTTATTACACAATTTCTTTATTCATTTATTTACAGGACTACATTCGTTGAGCTGAATTAACACCCCCCCCCCCACTTTTTCAGAAAGTAAAAGAAATTATTGTTTGTCCAAAATGTCTCAAAGGATGTACTACAGCAAATACAAATGTTTGTCTTCCGAACATTTTTAAAAGTTAATTTCTATAGACCAAAACGTTACAGAGATATGGCAATTTCATGCTTTAAAAAAAAAAAATACATACAAATTTAGTTCAAAGGTCACAGAGGTCACATTAAAATTTAATAACTTGGATTTTATTAAATTTTAATAACTTGGATTTTGTATCCCCATTTAATGTGCTACCAATATGCCAAAGGGCAAATTTGTATCTGATACTGTAACAACCTCTAATTTTCTAAATTTTTTTAGCTCATAGTACGACATAGATATATCTAAGGAAAAAAAAAGTTGTTGGAGAAAGAGCAATAAATAATCTTTAAAAGAAAGAGTAATCACACTTTAAATGTTGATACATGTTGCAGAGCAACAACTCACCTCAGACCTGTGTACATGCCATGTACCTGAATCTTATTAAATTGAGGAATAGTATATCGTCTATATATCAAATACTTTTATGGGTTCAAGATTGATTTGGTAATGTTGCTTGGCAACTGTAAACAAACATTTCGGGAATAACCAAAACCTATTTATTGGTGCTTACAATAGGTATGTCGTACATCACAATGTAGAAGCTGAATGACTTACAATAAGATAAGGCAAGTCAATAAAAAATAAGGACTTTTTATTCATTGTAGATGAAAATTGATTAATGCAATAATTTCGAAGACATACAAGGCTTGCCATCCCAAAACCAGCATATCCTGTCGCTAAATGTTAATCTGAGTAATTACCATAAGAATGTGTCAATAATTTATGCTATAATGCAAAGAAATACAATACAGTAGAGAGAAACGTAATGCTACTCATAAATTTGGAAATAGTAAGTTGATTCCAGTAAATTTATTCTATCCCAAATTTAATTTTATATCCCAAATTATTCTAAAGTTTATAATATAATTAAAAAAGTCAATTTTCATTTTGTTGGTCTCCGATGCTGGTTTTGGGATTGCAAACCTCATACTATGCAGGACTGTTAGAATGGATAAGGATGAATTTCAGCATGACTGCCAATTTATTTGATTAAGAACATTTAAAATTTATAATTAGGGAGCAAGGGTGCTGTAACAGCTACAGCCATAATATCGGGGCTGATTCAATAGCACACTCATCTGTATGGTTTTGGAGGTGGAACAAGTCTTCTCGGATAAGGACTAACTGCAGGCCCAGTGTACATCTGTCACGATGAGTAGGAGCTACCCTGGTGTACTTGTCCACATAGCCAAGGTTGAAGGGTAGCTGGCAATGGTTCACTGTGTAGCTCAGACAAAAAGAGACCCTTGGGGAGTATAAAGTTGATTTCATATAATCGGTCATATGAGAAAAAGCATATGGGGGGGGGGTTGGGATGCACCTTTAGTGTAGGTCATGTGGTGATATACATGTAAACCAAATTCATACTAGAATAAATCTTGGTTTTAGTAGCTTAAACTTTCATCTATTTAATTAATGGCCTGTGAAATGACTCAAAATGTGCATGTGGACACAAGATCCATGTCAGTTCTTTTTTCTCTGCCCTGTTTATGATGCAGAAAGAAAAGAACTGCTCACAAATGTCAACACAGTTGTAACCGTCTTATAGTCTCAGCCAAAGAAGCTTCTTTATCTTTTAATTTTAATTTCTAATATAATTTATTTTTACTTGGATCAACGTGGCTAACTTTTATTTACTCTTTATTTACTTATGTTCAACAATTTTTAACAAAGTCTAAAAGATTTGCAGATTAAGTTATGTATTTATTTTATATAACAACTGTCTCTTATACACATCTAGATGTGTATAAGAGACAGATATATATATTGCCTCTGATGTTGATCATTATTTTCATATATTTTAATTGCATTTCTTATTGTGAACTTTTACACTGCCACAAAGATAAATTGTATTACTATATTTGGAGGCTCCTCAATGCTAAGGCTACGCCTTGTGAGAAGCCTCCGTGTGAAATACTAAGTAAAAAAAAAAGTCATGACATTAAGATAGTGAGAGGCAGGAGTATTGAATCCCACATGATACACTTTTTACATACAACAGAAACTTTCATTGGTAGCCATCTTGACATCCAATATGAGATAATTTTTGATGACTGCATGATAATGAAAACATGGTTAAAGATTTGATTGAATTTGTTAGGTTTCTGAGCAATGATGATATTGACAAAAATATAAATATTTTGGCAGCCATCTTGAAATCCAATATAGCATGGAAATTTCATGCTTTCTGGCTAACGTACATGATTATTCTCCTTAGCTGCTCTATTAAGAACTCAATATATTAAAGTTGATGGACTGAAAGTGTTTTTCTGTTATTGTAACTTTTAAATCAAATAAAGGCTTTGCATAAATAATGTGTTATATAAAAGCTGAATTAATATTCATGTTTAAAAATTATTTTTAATTATTTAGATAATAGATGCAGTGATAATGGCAGCTAAAGTTCCGAGTAATACGATACAACCTGTTGGATACCCATCTACATACAAATCAAAGGATACAGGTATCATGCAACTTGATTTGGATGAACAAACTGTTCAGCAGATTATCGTCAAACTTCAGCAACATGATAAGAAAACTGTAATATGCGATTTAATAAGATATGTAAATGGCCCTTTGCAGCGACCAAGATTACGCAATGATATTAAAGAACTGACAACAAATGAAAGTAAAGGTATACCCAGAGTTGATAAAAACCTGCTGCAAAAAAAAGACCAACAATCCTTGCCACCCATAGTTGATCCTACGTTCAATTCCCTTCAGGGAGATTTAAAGACAAGCACACAAGACAGCATACAAATTTTAGAAGCAGAAATAAAGCTCTTAATCTCTCATGTGGAACATGACAACGAGGAACTTTCAGCAATTGTAAAAAACCTGCCAAAAGAGTTAGAAGTAGAACCAACAGATCTCAACCATGGGGTAAATGATGTCATTGATGAAATTAAAAAATGTAAGACACAAAACGACAAAGTATTGACAATCTCCAAAAAATTCATGCAAAAGATTGAACAACGTCATAAGCATGTACAAATCTATATAGAAGAAATTACAGAAGATAAATGGATAACTAAAACACGTAAATTGAATGAGGAGATCAGATACAAAGACACTCAGTTGGCAGCTCTTACAGATAAATTTTCACAATTAACCAAAAGTGGCATAAGCAGTACAAAACTGACAGAAAGAATTAATATTGAACCAAAGCCCCCTTTATTACCAAGATCACCAAGACACAGAGCACATAATGGAATTCGAGGCTCCTTGCCAAACTCCGTATATAAGCGAACCAAAATTAGCAGAGGTGCCTACAAATCCTAATAAAATAAACATAAGGTTAAAGATACAATGGTGGCTTGGTTAAAATGCTTACCAAGCCAACCATTTTATCTCTAACTTTGCGTTTATTTTAATAGGTACAGGTTTCAAATCCCTCCCCGACAGATGCTGTTGAGAATTAAAATGGATCATTAAATTAAATACTCACAAAAATGGCATAAATAAAGACTTCTCACATTATACTTTTTATTAATTCATTAAGATACTCTTTAACTTGTAATTTATTTTTATTTTCATTTTCATTGTCTCAGGCTATTGTGATCATAGGCCTACAGTCGGCAGATTAGCCCTTTCATTTATCTTTATATTCTTTGTTGTTACTGTCCATTATAATTCACCTTTAATTATATGTATCATTTATGATTTATCACAATCACTGCTATACGGTTTATTACCATTTGCTAGTTTTTTAAAGGCTTTTTTAATCATATGTGTTATCGCTGAGGAAGAGCACAGGAGTTCTCAAAATATTTGAAATAAAAATTTGTTTATGTCTATTATGTAAACGTATATGTTTCTAAGAAAGTATAAAATCTGTTCAACCATGAAGCCTCTGTGGTCTAATACTCTTTAACTTGTTATTTTTTTTCATTTTCATTTTCATTGTTTCAGGCTATTGAGATCATAGGCCTACAGTCGGCAGATTAGCCCTTTCATTTATCTTTATATTCTTTGTTGTTACTGCCCATTATAATTCACCTTTAATTATACGTATCACTTACGATTTATCACAATCACTGCTATATGGTTTATTACCATTTGCTAGTTTGAAAGGCTTTTTTAATCATATGTGTTATCGCTGAGGAAGAGCACAGGAGTTCTCAAAATATTTGAAATAAAAAATTTTTTATGTCTATTATGTAAATGTATATGTTTCTACTTTGTGCATTCGTACTCATTCACACACATATCATGATTTACCTGTCTTCACTGGGGCCATTGATGAATAACTTCTTTAGAAACTTCACATACAACTTCACCCCTTTAAGATTCAACTAAATTATGGAGAAATTCAACAAACTGACATAAAATTAAAACAAAATGACAAAATACAAATGACATATTATAAGAAATTTTATTATTTTGGAAAAAAAATACGCTAAGGCATTAAAAAATTGACCACATGGTCCCACAAAACAACAGCGTAAACTCACCTAAAAAAAGCATGTGTGTGTATGTAGGAAGTGTGTGTTGGGGGGGGGGGGATGTATTGGAAACCTGTCTCTTATACAGGAATATGTGTGTGGGTGTGTGTGTGTGTGGGTGTGTGTGTGTGTGTGTCAGACAAGCACACACCACTGTTCCAATTGATATATTTAATTGACATACAGAAAGATCAATTGTGTTCAAAGCATGCCAGCCATTCTAGGCCAACCATGCTTAGTTACCCCAGCTTACACTTTTGACGGGTTGTGAAGTGGGTTACGTTATGTCTCAGCCATAGGTGCAAATATTTCATGGCTTACAAATTAAATAAATATTGTGGCCACCTCTCATCAATATTGATCAAGCCTAATATACCAAGATGTAAAAAAAAAGCAGTCAAGAAGAACTATATACAGTAGTATGGAACAATGAGTAGGAATCTCTTTTTTTAACTAATGATGGATTTCATTTCACCCATCTCCATGGCAGTGGCAGATTCAAGGGGGAAGGGAGAAGCCAGCCAACCACACACCCCTCCCCTATCCTCTCCCCCATTTTTTTTCATTTCAAAATTATAAAAAATGGAGAATAAAAGAAAATTATATTAAAATTTAAGTCTGGGAATGCCATTTCCAGCCATCTAGGTGCCATAATCACAAACTTTCTCTGCCTCAGCTGTTAGTAACGTATCAACCATTGTAGGTGCTATGAAATTGAAATTTGTGCAGAAAATAAATAATGTTACTTACATTGTTTATAACATCATGAACTGATCTGGTCTTTGTGATTTGATCAAAATGTATGTTTCCAGATCTGGAGAGAATAAAAGATTATTACGATATAAGTGATGTTTAAATTGTAAGCCTTAATATCAGAAAACCATGCACAGAACTACTACCACTGCTATTCCTCTATTAAGGGGACACCTTCGGGACTAAGAAAGTGTCCCCTTAATAGGGGTGTCCCTGAATAGGGGCACCCCAATTCAAGGGACATTAACCAAAAAAATGCAAACTTGTCCCCTTAATAGAGGTTTTCATACAATGATGACATACATTCTGTATAATTTTAATTTTATAACATAAGAATCAGCTATTAAGTAGAATTAGAACTAATTTATAGCAAAAATTTGAAATGCAAGTACAATTCATTTATAATATAAAGTCTGTCAGCACAAATGTAATTAAAACAACAATTGTTTATATCTTGTAGAAGTGGTTTGGTGCAGCGGGATCGGTATGGTTTCCCAAAATCGCTTGTGTCCTTGAGCAAGGCACTTTATCTGCATTGCTTCTCCTGTAATAACCTGTCTTGTTGGACTCATAGGTAGACCATACAGGCCTGTATGGGATATGTTATTCCCTCCCAATTTCATCAAACTGTCACTGCATGGGTTCTCTCTACCCAGGAGTATAAATAGGTAGACTACCTGGTGGGGTTGCCTACTCCTGGGATGTTTACCAGCAGCAACATTTAAAACATGAGGACCCAATAACCAAGGGAAAAGAAGCACATTGTGTCTACAAAGAAAAGGCGCTGTATAAATGATATAATAATAAATAATAATAAAATGTTCCCAATATTATTTCATGATGCAATTTTAATGACCAAATATTCCTTTTTTTGTTTAAAATATTGAGCTTCATATGGGATGTATGCACAGTAGCATGAATAGAATAACAACTTAGAATTACTAGTGCAGTTATGGAATGTATTAGAATCCGATATAAAAGTACATGAAAACAAAGGAAACGAAATCCCCACGATTAAGGGTCAAATTGACAAGATTGGTTATATGAAGTAACACATTCAGTAGGCCTATACCAACATTTACTCTAAAAATTCTGTTGAGAAAATTCTGGTTTATTGCTCAAAAGGTGTTAAAATATGAAGTTGAATGAATTTTTCTTACTTTGAGGCTGCTGTAGTTGTTGAGATAATATGATGAAAAAAAATTAAGTGTCCTTAGGGGGTATTTGACCATTTGGCACATTTATGATGTGTCCCCGTCCCAATAATAAGGGTGTCCCCGTAATAGGGGTTGGCCGTAGTGTTGAAAGATATATTGCCCCTCCTCGTTTAACGTAAAAGAGTCCCTTAATAGTGGTTTCCCCTGACTAGGGGTGTCCCAAAGGAGGGGATCTATTGTAGCTTTTGCCGAATGACGCTAACCTTAAAACTGGGCACTCAATGCGTCGTACGACAATCGTACAACCGTCGCACGATGAATCAAACTCAGCTCCCTGTGAGCGCTAGACAACACGATGCTGTCTGCTGATTGTCAGTGGCAGTCTGAATGGATCGCCATTTAAAACGATCAGTTACGCGTATGTAGTCGCGTTGCATTCTTCATAGAGTCGCGTCAGCCAATGACCGTCGACCCACAGTGAGTGTACGGCTTAACTTTATAACCTAACATGCAACGCAATAGCTCCGCCTCTTTTGTAAACCAATCAAAATACACATGCGGAAACACGTACAATCCTGAAATTAATATACTCCGCAACACAAGATGAATAAATTATGACATCATCCGTTAACATTGTGCAGCAAAGGTTAACGTTGTGCGGCAAAAACTACCTAGTAACTAAATGTATGCCTAAAGGTCAAATATGAAACTCTGGGCTCACAGGCCAGAGTGCCCCAGTAAACTTTTGTCTTATGTTGAAATAATTAGACATGGCTCCAGGCAAACACACTGGCCTCCCAGCAGCTCTTTTTCTTTGGAAAGGCTAAAAGAGAATATCCAAGCATTACAGCACAGGTGAGTTTGTGTACATTCAATACACAAGTTGGCATATAAATTACAAATTCCAAAAATAATTTATTGATTTTTAATCTGTTATTAGGCCTCCACAATTGACTGACATTTTCCAAAAAATTCTGAAGAATCTCAACTTTCAATATAATCTTCAAAAGCAATTTTCATTTTTCTCTGACCTATATAAATCAAACCTGTTTTGTTGTGATTGATATGATTTTCTAACATAACAATTGAACTAATTAAGGAATTAAAAATTTTAAAAATCAGTTATTTTATTCAAACATTTAATTTTTGTATCTGTGTTCTTACTTTTTTGCTGAGGATTTAATTTCTTTATCTTCTTGGGTCTTTGTCCTCTTCCTTTTTTTAATATGGTAATTTGTATTTATATCAATTAAATCTTTAGAAAATGAAGTCAATAAATATTAAACTCTTTTCATTTTATAATTCTGTAATGTAGTACAGTACTATAGATCAGAAATGAAATGAACAATCACAACAATATGAATTAGTACAATAGACATGAAATTCAGTTTATTGATTTGTTTACTGTGTCCATAGCAACAAGTACAATACGAAATGAAGAGTATGTTTGCCACAAAACATTTAATGAACTGTAGAAGATCGAACGGCACATAGAATAAAAGGTAAGTATAACCACACCATCACTGTATTTAAAATAGCGTTTAATAATCAATCTATTATGTTGGAGAAGAAATGAGGAAAAAAGGTCTGATCATCATGTGGTTATGTGATGTTTTGTAGACTGAAAATAACCATTATTTTGACTGTGTATTTACACAAGGCACAGCATGGTGTCCATTTATTGTTGCTACTGTAAATGTGTTCTTATGAATTTATCAGTGGCAAATACTAGCCTATCAGAAAGTATAAAAACAATATTGTTATTATTATCTTTTCTATTACTATTATGTCATACCATGGAGGAAATTAGTAGTCTAAAAACTAATTCCTCCATGGTCATACATACAGGTTACGTAAGACATAACATCTTACGTGTCAAAGTATGAAACACATAACAAACCACCAGCTTCCATCTGTTGACTGTACTACTATACTTCAATAGATACTGCCTGCTTGCAGCAATGTCAGTGAAACAGGCCTAGCATAGAGTAGCATGTCTTCCATAGGGGATTGGTGGCACCAGCAGGGTGTCCGTGTCCGGGAGAAGGGGGGGGGGGGAGGAAATTTATTATGTTATATTCTTTCATGCTATATATGTTCCATAGGTGTTCGACCCAAGAACAAATATATTTTGCTTCTTTTTCTTACAGTTGAATTTCTATGATCGAAAATGGATAGACAGTCTCCACAGAGGGAAACACATGGACTGCATGCACAAGATAAATCATTCAGCCTATCTGCAGAAACACTAAGTAACAATCAGAAACAGCATGGTTCATGCAACCAGAAACAACTTGAGGTTGGCCAAGCTAATTTGGATACAACCACCCTGTTGTTTGTTATCAAATTATGTGGCCCGGACTACCCCGACCTTGTTACCAAACTCAGAAGCTATGTGGATGCACCTCAAAGACTGAGCTCAGCTGAAGGCATGGGTTTTCCAAGAATCTGTCACAATCAGCTCAAAGAAAATGATGATAGCTGTAACATGCTGCTTGTACCTGAATCTCGAAGAAGCTTAGAGTTTGAACCAAGTTATGAAAATGGGAAAAACAAGTTTGAGATCCTAATTAATAAATTACAGGAGCTTGTAGAAAACATTAAATCATTACTCTATCACCTGAAATATTCTTTGAAAGAATTTCCATACATTGTCAAAACAAGGATGGAAGAGAATCTGGTTGAAGCAAACGACCTCCAACATGTTGCATGTATTGACGATAATAAAAATCAAATTGAAGAAAAGCGGAAGATGATTAAAATACTTTGTGAAGACGGTTGGAAACAGATGAGTAGATTTTATGAAGAGGTACATATTTTAGTCAGTGAGTTGGACAAATATACATCATCTAATGACAATGAACCTCAAAGCTTGAGTTCGGCTGAAGGCATGGGTGTGCCAAAAATTGATGTCAGTCAGCTAAGAGAAAATGTTATAACCTATTCTCAAAAAAGCCTGTATTTAGCGTATTTAAGTTATGAAGATACTAAAAATCAAGCTATCAAACTCAAATGCTCTATGGATAAACCTTCCCAGCAGACAGCATCACTTAAAGACAATGAAGCTCAAAGCTTGCGCTCAACTGGAGGCATGGGTGTGCCACAAAAATATTCCAATCAACTAAGTGAAAATTTTATAACTTACTCTCCAAACAGCCTTTGTTCAAAACCATGTTTTGAAGATGGTGAAAATCAAACTATCAAACACGGATACTGTATGGATAAACTTTCCCAGCAGGCAGAATCACTTAAAACTAATGAACCTCAAAGCTTAAGTTCAGCTGAAGGCATGGATATACCACAAACTTGTCCTCCGTTTCGGAGAATTTGGTAATAAAATAATCATTCAAACAATTGAGAATCTGATAGAAGTAAAATATTTGTTCCAACTTTAAAATTGGAGGCTACAGGCTTTGCAACAAAAATTGTTGTCATTATCTCCGATCAGTTTTATCAGAATTAACAAGCACATTAAATCAGCGGTCTCGCCAGCTATACTTAAGCGTGGCGGGACCGCCACGCTTGGGCAAATGAACGAAATGACCGTCACACTTAGGCAAAATATTACACCACGCTGAAAATGTTAGCGCCACGTTAAAAAATATGGACTAAGTAATTTGATTCAAAACATTACAACAATAAATACCGAAGTCTCAAACTGCAGGCAGTTCTACAATGTTGCCATGGGGAACAGTACTTGTTCAATCGCATATCGTAAGGCACTGCCTTCAATGCAAGCATAAATGGAGAATCTCTTTCTACGCCGCCTGTGCGTGCAAGTAGGTACCTGTGAACTAATTGAGGTCCCTGGTCAGCTAGTAGATACAGTTACTTGCGTGTAGATCGCAAATTTTTTCTATGAACAGTGATTTATAAATCAACATTTAGGTAGATTAATTGAATTTCCATGGATTCATGTGCAATACGATTTTTTTCAAATTCAATATTAAGTATGAACAATTAAGGATTTCATTAAATCAATGGACCCTCATAAACACAACAAACTGAACGTTTAATAGGAATATTCTAGACCTATTTTAAAGACTCAAGGAACAAATTTAGATGTAGGCCTACGGCAAGGCAGGAGGCCGCCCAGGCCTCCTCCTACTACTACTACTAGACCTAGTTATGAAATCATTGCACAATTTTACCTGTCAGCATGCACCGACCTAAAAGGACGTCAGTGACTGTATTCTCTCTCGAATGCTGAAATGTTTATTTCTTTGACGAAAGTCTATCAAAATAGCATTACAAACAAGTTCTTTCTAACACAATACAAATTACAATAGTTATTCATCGTATCCGTACTGTACTGCTGATGTGCAGTTAATTAAACACGTACTGCAGGAGCAAAAATCAGCATATGCACAGCTAACTGTAAATACGCACATGTATACTATTCACATCACTATAGCAACCGATGACTACTACAACAGTTGGTTATAAAAAACTAAAATTAAAAGAAGGCGATTGACTTATAAAGCAATTAGTAGAGCATGCATCGTACACTAAATGGAAAATTATTATTGGTGATCCGCTTCTCGAGCGAGTGAGTATGTTATAGCTGAGACAATTCTCTTTCAGAAGTGTCCCTTTATTTTTCATTTTGATGACTTCATCATGGTAAAAAAGAATGCTTTTTTGGAGCCTTCCCCTCTTTCTTTCTTAAAAGATGTAAACAATTTTATAATAGAGGGCGGCAGACTGTTTTTCGACGCTATCAGACCGATAGTTCGTATACTGTAAAGGGAAAATTCGTGTGGCATTACTAACCAACAGGGGGTTTTAAATTGATCTTGACAAGGTTTAAATTCATGTGCCATTACCGTTCTCAGGCACGTCGTATAAGGTATTCGTACTTGTGCGTTAAAATTTTAAAATTGTTAATATCACTTTTCAGATAATTTAAAGCACGTTTCAGGTCATTTTCAGTATTCCAAAACTTTCCATAATTTACACGCCGTACGTTCATTTCCACCCCCACAGCACGTACTGAAGCTGAAGCTGGTTTCGGTTACATGTTTTGGGTTTGTGACACTGTATTAATATCATTACCGTGCGCACGGACATTAAGACGTATGTGTACTCATTCGTAAGTGATTAAAATGCTCAAAATTACTCATTTTAAAAACTAAATAGAGCATGTTTTAGCATATAATAATTTTCAATCAGCACCGCGCGTGCTTCGTGAGGGTCAAGGTACGGCAGATCACCAAACTCGTCCTCAGTGACGAGTTCAAATCTAGTACTTAGGTTAGATTTAATGCATTCAAAAATTTCCTCAAAAATGCAGTCAAAAATTTTCCTCAAAAATTTCTTAAAGAAATTTTTTCAAGCATTAAATCTAACCTTCGTATAATAATTGAAAATTATTATACTTAGTTTAGATTCAATGCATTAAAAAATTTCCTCAAAAATGCATTCAACAATTTTCCTCAAAAATTTCAAGAAATTTTTTCAAGCATTAAATCTAACCTTCGTATAATAATTGAAAATTATTATACTTAATAGGTTAGATTCAATGCATTCAAAAATTTCCTCAAAAATGCATTCAAAAGTTTTCCTCAAAAATTTCCTCAAGAAATTTTTTCAAGCATTAAATCTAACCTTCGTATAATAATTGAAAATTATTATACTTAGTTTAGATTCAATGCATTCAAAAATTTCCTCAAAAATGCATTCAAAAATTTTCCTCAAAAATTTCAAGAAATTTTTTCAAGCATTAAATCTAACCTTCGTATAACAATTGAAAATTATTATACTTAGGTTAGATTCAATGCATTCAAAAATTTCCTCAAAAATGCATTCAAAAGTTTTCCTCAAAAATTTCCTCAAGAAATTTTTTCAAGCATTAAATCTAACCTTCGTATAATAATTGAAAATTATTATACTTAGGTTAGATTCAATGCATTCAAAAATTTCCTCAAAAATGCATTAAAAATTTTCTCAAGAATTTTTTTCAAGCATTAAATCTAACCTTCGTATAATAATTGAAAATTATTATACTTAGGTTAGATTCAATGCATTAAAAAATTTCCTCAAAAATGGATTCAAAAATTTCCTCAAGAAATGTTTTCAAGCATAGCATTTTTTGGTCACTGACGCTGGTTTTGGGATGGCAAGCCTCAAATAATAATAATAATTAACAAAGGTGATACAGTACAAGTTAGATTCACGTATTGCTTTTCATGCGGTAATGATGTGTCATTAACCATCTTCTTGGAATCTATATAGCTCCTCCCATTTGGTCCCATATATATACGTATATATATATGAGAAAATGAAAATATTAGAGAGAGGACACGTAGAGAACACAGAGAAGGAGACAGAGAAAGAGACAGAGATAGAGAGTAAACGTTTTATGTTTAAATTATGAAGTCAGCACATTTTGTATATTTGATTGATTGTGATATATAATAAAACATAAAAAGGAACTACATAAAGTCTACTGAGTATAATTCGAATTCTAACCTATCTCGCGAGTCAACGTAGACCTCAACATGACAATTAAGATTTTAATAAACTTTAAGCTTCCTGTATACTTAAATTTCATGAATAAATAGGAAATTTAAATTTGCATAGCAACAGTTGCTATGGTGATTGAAATTGTAGTTTTTCTTAATGCAAGATTCATTTTCGATTATTAATGAATATTTTGAGTAAGTTTCACCAATTGTTGATGATTATTATTCGAGTAATGATATTTTATATATAATTTAGCTAAAACTATAATTTAAAGCGGAAAAATGGTGGCCATTTTGAATGCGTAATTTTGCGTAAAAAGGGATTTTGGGTAATTTTGACTTCTGAACGTCTCAAGACCTATATTTTTAGAAAATATCAAAATTAACTGGTAGTACTTGCATTGCCACCTCAACGATTTTTAGAGGACTTTTTGGCCATAATCTGCTTGCCTATTTTGGCTACAATTTTGATTGCAATTTACATGTAATAACAGATACTGTCCATTTTACGTAGATGCTTCAAAAAAGTAAAGAAACACTTTGTTAAAGAGGTAAAATTCAGAACATTATGGCAGTACAAAAATGCCTCTCAAGTAATTTTATATCTACTAAAGATCAAACCCCTAAGGAATATAGGAGCTCTGTTGTTTATCATTTTAAATGTCCAGGTTGTAATAGTGACTATATGGGAGCTTTCTTTGTTTTTGTAGGTAGCTTTGAACTATATTGGTAAGACAGATAGATGCTTTATAACTAGACTTAAAGAACATTCTTCACAATCTGATAGTGTTATAAATGATCATATACAAAATTGTGAGGCATTCCAATATGTTTTAGGTTTACAAGGTATTCTTGAATATGATAATGTAGCCTGTAATGTAAGTAATAAATTAGGTTTAATCTTTTCTAATACTAACATTATTGACAGTTTGGCGAGCCTTATTTGTCATTCTACAGTACATGATGCATGAAGGATGTAGAACATCAAAAAACATTAAAATTGGATATAATTAGGTTATTAGACACATTTTTATGGACTTTTATGACTGACAATAAAAATAAACACATTTTTCTTCTGCTATTACGTTAGCCGCCAACTATTTAAAAAAAAATTTGCTTTGTCTCGCCTACAGATCGAGTACGCTATATTTGGCCAAATAAGGCACACCGTCCGTAAATTCCACTGATGTGTTGACCTAAAATCAAAAAGCACTGTTACTTCACTCTTAATAATATCTATGTATGTGTGCACTTTATACGCAATCTATTCTTTGGTTTTAAATCCATTAGGGTAAACTTCAAAGTTATATATAGCAAGATGTACAATGCTAGTCTACAAATTTAGATAGTATTTTTAGTGAAATAACATTATATGAAAATGAATACTGTTCAAATAACAAACAGCATTCTATAGCAGTTTATATAGTTCATTCCGAAAATAGACTGTATTGAAAGTTGCCTTACTAGATAAACAAACTTTCTATCATTATTTTGTGGTTTTAATTGCAATGGGATTTGAAAATCCTAATGAATTGGTTTATTAATTGCTTCATGGTGTATATTTACATACAGTAAATATTGGGCATATCTTACTTTTCTTTTAAGGTCAAAGTTAAAATATTAAAAGTTTAACAATAGTTTAGAAGGAGGAAATAAATTTCGAAATGATTTCAGTACCATTGTGGGCAAGTGTCCTACAAAACCATTCATTGGCATCCAAATGTTAGACACTGAAGATGCAAGTTAACGCTTTTAAAATCAGGTATGTTAAACTTAATTTTAATATTTTAGAAATACATTGATTTTATAAATTTAATACATGTATGTAGTATTCTAATAGATTATTGGAATTGAATTAATCTAAACAGATTATTATTCTATTTCGGCAAACTGAGTAATCATGCTCTAATTACGACCAGGAAGTTGCTTATATATCATATACTGTATTCATGTATTGGGGGTTCTCACCTGACAGGCCGCTGGCATTTTCAGCCCACGAATGCATGTTAGTCTGCTCACAGCTAGTCTAAAATAAGGTAAGCTAAACCCGTAGAGCACGTATACATACATTTCTTTCTTTTATTAAATTTTTCAGTAATTTAAAAATTAAATTACTTAAATATTAATAAGACAAAGAAACTTATGTATACCTACCATTTCAACAGAATTATTAGTATTTTCTATTATTTGTGAAATGATGCAATAATAGCGCTTAATTTTGTTATTTATATTTTATCTTATTTTAGACTAGCTGTAGGGCGACTAACATGATGTGGGCTGAAAATTCCTATAGCCTGCTTGACGAGAACCCCTCAATACATGGCCGAATATATAATAACTAAGCTATTTCCTGGCCAACAACCTGTGTATCTTGAGTAGGAAATTGTAGAGAAACCCATCAGATAGATAAACCTTTTTTATATTAATTAATAATATATAAAAGGTTTAACAATTATCTGATGGGTTTCTGTACATTTACTTACTCAAGGTATCTTGAGTAGGTAAATGTATAGAAACCCATCAGATAACTGATAAAACTTTTATACAGTATATTAATAATGAATATATAAAAGGTTTATCAATTATCATCATCATTATTATCATTTACCTACACATGATACCCAGGGCGTTGCTCTATTTTAGGCATATTAATTTACTATTTTTGTGCATGAAGTAGCTGGTAATTTTATAGAAACTATTTATAGAAGTCCTAATTTAATAGTAATACGCTGTTATTCGCTTGAGTGAAAATTCCATTTCCAAAAAATGTATTATCATTATCTGACAATAAAAGCTAAAGGGAACTTACATAATGCTGTCTTATGGTATTTAGTACAAAGGTGGTAGCAGGGCAACGTAATAAAATGAGAATCAAAGCCTTTTGATGTTCATGACATTCATTATTAAAAGTGGAAAGTACAAAGATTACAGTAGAATCAGATTGAGCAAACAGTCACTTTTACATTAATCATGCCCTTATTCTCAAAATGTATTTGATTATATAACAAAAAGTTAGCCCATATCCATTTCAGAAATATTTAGCACTAACCAAAAGTTGATATTGTACTGATCGTTTTGACTTTCAGGTAAAATTTGAAATACTGTACAACAATAAAAATAACAATGAACACTTTTGTCATCATCAATTATATTAATCTCAGACTTCAGTATATAATGTATTTATTCAAATAAATGCCCCCCTTTGAATAAGCGTCTACCTCGAATAAACTCCACTTTAAAGCCTCATTAGGAATAACGACCTCCGTAGTATAAACGCCACAGACGTTTATTTTTCTCTTGAATAAATGTTCCTCCACCTCTCAAATGACTACAAATGAATCTAATGGAACCACCATCATTCCCAAAACACATTCTATTAATGTTGTACTCCTGTAGAATGACATTTTTCTGGTTGGGGTCAATAAGTCATTTTGATCACATAGTAACACATTTTGACGGTAATATGTGTTGTATTTCTACATTTACAGTGAAATTATTAAGGGGCATTATTTGAGTATATTCGTATCCATTTTACACCAAAAAAAAAAAATAAATGTCTCCCTCGAATAAACACCCCCTCAAAACTACTCTCAACAGTAAATGCCACAGGGCATTTATTCAAATAAATACAGTACTTTTAATTTCTAAAGCATGGTGAAGTAGAAATTGGGAGTGATACATACCGGTACATACTAAATATTAAGTATCTGTAATATGTCTTGATTTATTTTTACTACAGATAAATTGCTGTAGTGACAAAAAATGGATAGAAAACAACCTTCAAAGAATGTGAAAAGCAAGAAAATCGACTTGAAACTAAATGAACAACGATCGCAGAAGGACAAACCAGGAAGATTATCAACGCAAATAAAAGGTACCAAACAGAAACAACACAAAGCAAGTAAAGAAAATAATGTGAAATCATCAAACCAGGGGAAGCATGTTATTGTTGGCCAAAATATTTTGGATGTAGCTACCCTGTTGTTTGTCATTGATTCATGTGGCAATGAATATGGTGACCTGGTTAACAAACTCAGAGGCTATTTGGATGCACCTCAAAGATTGAGCTCAGCTGAAGGCATGGGTTTACCCAGAATCAATCCCTTTCAGCTCAAAGAAAATGGCCATGAAGATAACATGAGACTTGAAACTGAATCTCAAAGCAGCTTATCGTTTCAACCAAATTCTGAGGCTGGAAAAAACAAGTTTGAGCTGCTAATTAATAAATTCCAGGAGATTGTAGAAAAGATTACACCACTGCTCTGTGATCTGAAAGATACCTTCAGAGGATTTCCAGATATCCTTAAAGCAAGGCTGCAAGAGATACAGGCTGACCTCAAGCATGGTGTACAAACATGTACAGATGATGACAAGAATCGAGATATTGAAGAAGTTCGTAAGACGATTAAAAATCTTTACGAAGACCTTTGGAACCCCATGAGTACATTCTCTGAAGAGGTACATCATTTACTGAGAGAGTTGGACAAAGATGAGACCAAAAAAATACTAGCAAGCCAGAAGAAAGCAATGCAAAACCTGCAACAACAACAGCTACCAAAACTAAATCACAGGGTACAATCGATGAGAGAAATCAGGCCCCGAATAACAGAACACCGCCGCCAAAGATCAGCAGAAAATACAAATCAACGTGTTAAGTCTGCTGCATTGAAGCCTATAACACTAGAAATAGGAAAAATAGGAATCCAGGAACAATCTCAGAATTTAGCATACAGCCGAATGTCTTCATGGGGACACAATGCATCAAGTTACTATACATAAAATTTGACTTCCAGGATAAGATGTACTCAAAATTATGCACAAGTCATCAAACTTCAGGGTTAGCATGATGCTGCCAATGTTTGTAACTTCCAATTAAGAAATCAAGAACTTGGGACCAGTCACTTTATTGGAGTTGAATAGCTTTAGGGATGATGATTGTCTTCCTATTGCAGGGACCTGGGTATCAGGATTTTTTCTCACAACCCAAAACTTTAATTTCTGAGCATCATATTGAGACTTATTTTATGTACTGCACATTGGGTATTGTCTTGTAAAGGGATTGTTGCTTTAATTTTTTTAGAAAGTAAGTAAATTGCTGTTTTGTGTCATAGTTCTTGTGTCTTTGGGTAAGGTACTTTTAGATGGCTTCATGGGGTTTTTCCTTCTTATCTTGGTGGCAAGTATATTTTTAATAGCTCCTGTGGAGCAAACTTGACAAGGACTCAATGGCATCCACCTTGACAAGATGGGACCATCAGGGGAGTACTAAATCAAATTTCAGGAATCCATTTAGGTCTTGTCTAGACTATAACATTTTTTTTGGCAAAACATAGGACATGCCTAAATATGGTCATGATCAATTCATGAACTTCATATAGGTATATCATGACATCTTATGGGTATTCAGCAGTTTTTTGTCAAAAGAAAACTGAATAATGTGGACAAAGTTCATTATAGACAAAGAGAACAAGGTAATATAATATCAACATTTTTATCTTTTTGTTGGTATTTTTCCATGTACTACTACTATTTTTCATTCAATTTATTATTTGACTTGTGAATAAGTTGACTATGATAAGTAAACCAATATTTTGATTATTTCAATCTTATGACAAATCATCTTCAGACAATGTTTAGTAAACCAATATTTTACATACTGTGACTATTTTAAGTCAGACGACAATTGATCGCATACGTACAAATTGATTCAGACGTACTGTAATAAGCCGGGCATTCGCTGCATCGTACCAAGGTTGTACGGTGAATCCACCTCCACACTGTGAGCACTAGACAAAGTGAGGCTGTCTGTGATTGTCATTGGAAGTCTGAACAGACAGATCGTCATTAAGAATTATCTGTTTTTCGCAAGCGCATTGACGTTATGTTCTCAATAGAATCGCGTCAGGCACAGTTAGTGTCTGGCTTTAGTTTTCTATTATTGGGTTTTGGGGAATTCATGTTTTGCTCCATTCTGTAGTGTTTTTTTTTTTTTATCATTTTAATTTGATGATGCTGTGTTGGCCAGAATACATTACAGATCTTTTGTTTTTGTTTTGTTTTGTTGTATTAACCACTAAATAAACAATATGCAGAGACTGTCGAGTACAAATTGATATGTCATTATTATTAGTAGTTTATGTGTCCTTGTTTGTTGGTATTTTAATCAAGATTTTCTGTTAATGGGCGTGATTTTCCTTCGTATGAGCTTTCTGTTAGCAATGGGGTTTCAGCCATCACCACGTACATGCAGAAATATAAAAACATCAAACATCATGCCTAAAGATAACAGTAGTGGTTACAACCAAAGCAAAGAAGTGTGTCCACCATTTGGCTGGGCAAAATGTAGTGTTGTAAATGGACTATTAGTTCAAAAATAAGAAGAATCTATTCCTTTTAATATTCTACCTACACATACTTACCTGGATGAAATTAAATTTTACTCAACCAGAAGTAACGTCAAATAGTAAAATTGTATAGTTATACTCTAACACACTCTATATAAGAGATTATATTTACTTTATATAATAAGCTAGAGGTTCCACCTAAATATATATATTTTTTCATTATAATCATTCAAAATTATATTAACCTATGACATCTTACATTGAATTTTTATCTGGACCTTGCATTGTTAATCTTACCATATTTTCTTGTTAATGTTTTATGTAAAAGAACCTTCTAAAAAATAACATAAGTACTGAAAGTGCCTACAGTATAAAAGATAATAAATAAATATAGTAATATTGACAGCTTAAACACATAATTTTACTACCTGAAGTTTCAGAACAGATTATTTTGCAGCATATTGTAAACAAACATTTACAACATAAAGAAACAATATGAGAGACAATGCAATACTTTATTGCAACTTTATTGCAGTGTAAACATTACATCAAGCTCAATTGTTAAATAGGGGGGTATACTGTATATTGGTCTATGGGATGTCTATTGGGTGCTATAATAGCATTGATATTAAATGCCATTCTCCAATTTGCATCAGGTGAAAAAAGTTTTTGGTAAAAGATCTTGTTTGCGCACAAAAAAACTCTGGCTAGTTCTCTTAAGATTATTTAGGTTGACTCAGTAAAAACATCTTCTATCTTCTTTTCAAGTAATAATTAGGGGAATATCTGATCCAGTCTGTCGCCTGGTTCTGAGTTGGCCACTGTATTCTGTAAGGACAGATTATAATATTACAGAAATTGAAGCCTAGGTGCTTCCTTGATGACAGTAAAGTTTTTAACCAGTGAAAATTATACAAAAACACCTTTAAAGGAGTCATAAATCTTAATACTTTAAACAAAATATTTCTCGCAGCTTAAGTGAGAAACCTGAATATAGACATCAGATGGAGATCCTGGGTTCAATCTAAAAATACACCAACAGATCTTCATGAGAAAAAGACAATCATCCTTGCCTTCAGGATTTTTTATAAGAGAAACTCATACACATTTCTATCAATTCAACATATAAATATTTAAGCAGGGATCCAAAGCTGCTATTGGAGTACCGCAGGTATAGGTGGAGAGTTTGTAAACCTTTTATGGTGTGGCGGGATGGGAATTAAAGAAAGTCACAATGGAACAAGGTTTTGAATGTAAACTATATTCAAGATACAAGGATGACATTTGTTTGGTTGCTAGAAAACCAAAAATTAATTAATCAACTGGTCTAAATATACTTTCATTAAAGTTTAACCAAGTTACAAGCAAGAAATTATCAAGTGTTTGTAACGATGCCAATTTGGGTGTGAAGTTGGAAGTCATTTAAGTGCTAACTTCCCAGACTTAAATAACCTACGCATGGTTGGATCATATAGTGCGCAATGGTTATGAGTCTCCATTTCACCTTCACTTTTACCATTGCAACTAACGTCAAGTAATTTTCTGTCTTTTGTTTTTTCCTTAATTTTTTTAAATAGCCAATGTTTTTGTTCTAATTTATGTTTTTTCTTCAATCTCGTTTTCCTACTTTTTGGGCAGAGTTTTCCTGACCGGCACTTACCTCACTTTCTGTCCGGCACTTAGCTCAATCTTTTTCAAACATTGTCCAAGCAGAGACCATATCAACAATTTGCATATCAAATTATGACATCGTTTTAAGTATTTTGAATATCATAGTTTGAGTTTCCCTCACATCGAGTTGCCACTTCTAGATGGCCAGAAATGGCACTTTTTATCCCCAAATTAAAACAATTTAAAATGAACAAAGTCATGCCTGTCAAAGCATGATCACACTATAAAAAGAAATAATGGAAAAATTAAAAAGTTGTTTTAATAATCTAGCAGACCCCCAAAATTTTTGTGGACCACCCCATTATTCGCGGACCCCCTGACTTGGCCTCCTTTGACTTGGCGGAACCCCCCCCAATTGTTTTTCGCGGACCCCTAAGGAGTCCACAGACCTCAGGTTGGGAACCACCGGACTAGATCACAAAACAATAAGAAGTTAATTATTATACTGAAAATTATAAGTGCAATGGTTGATTACTACTAAATGATCAAAATACAGGTCTAAATTTATCCTAAACTATATTGCGGAACCCTGGATTGATGTCACTGTTTTAGAGAGCCTATTGTGTAAACACCACCCATTTACTGGTTTGATTATATGCTACTGGCCCCAGGTATTCAACATTTTTAAGCTGGTGGCCAGTTACAGTCTGTTGAGACCAACGGTGGGCCAAAATGAATTATCTACTTCCAATTACCTGTCGAGGAATCTGATACTTTCAAATGCCCATATTTACCTCAGCCCCACTATGTTTGGTGCTGAGGTGAGCAAATTTTTAAAATAGACACCTCTAGATTCATTAAAAATTGCACTTTCAGATTGCAAAAATATGTTATCAAAGCAGTGTTCCCCAGCTCCCACAGATGGTGCTGCCATCATGTCAGCGTCCCCTTCCCAACTTAATCCCCACCCCCTCATAAGTCTCCTCCTCCCCATGTCAATATCCTACTGCACTAGATACAGTGAGCTACCATACACCTAGAAAAAGCCAGACACTTTTTAACAATGCCAGGTGGTCATGTTTCTGTTACCTGAAAAACATTTTATGTAAGTACTGCATTGAAAATCAGCCAGAAAATTATTTAATTGTAGCAGATCAAAATATTTGGAAGGCCGGACTTCGCTCGCAGGCGAGGGGTAGAATACCAGGGCTAGAGACGTGCTACACAAAGCAAATTCTTAGGAGAGATATAAATACTTATATATGTTTAATAACAAATATTTTGCTTTCCTTTTGTTACAGCTACATAGAGAGTGATTGCAAAATGAATCCAAAGACAGACTAAAACAAGAACAATAACTTCTGTCTACAAAGAGTAAATACACAACATGTCAAACTAGAGAACTAGATTCAAAACAAAAACAAACACCATAAAGCTAAATAACACAAAGCAAGGAAAGAAAACTGAATCATTTAACTAAAGAAAGAAAGTTGAGCATTATCAAACTATTTTGGATCTCACCACCCTGTCTATGGTTTGTTATCGATTTATGAAGCCAGCACTACAGAGAACTTGCTACCAAACTCAGAAGCTATGTGGATACAAAGCACAGAGAACGCTAAAATAAACTATTTTTAACCATCGTAGTGCCTTTCCTTGCCAGTTATTTCTCACATTAATGGTGGGCGGTTATTTTTGCCACCATAACATTACCTTTTCCTATACTGTGGAACAATGATTGCACTGTATGTTCTCCATAGTAATACCTACTATATATCACATGACCAGCTGGAAACAAACTTCGCACAATGTGTCTATTGCAACTCAATTTCGAATCTGCTAACTGGGTTGTCCGTCTTTGCTTAATGCTCATCTACAACTTTATGTAAACAAGTTCAATGAAGTCAGATGTTTAGATAACAAAAAGCTTTTGTATTTATTGTGGTTTACTATATGACCACTGCAATGCATCATGTATTATGTACGCTAGACTATACTATTGTATGTACTGTATTGTCAGTTGCTATAGCAAAAGTAAACAAACTTTGTATAAAAGATAAAAAGCCAAAAAACTCTACTTATATAAATGATTTAAAAAACTATTAAAAACTTGTTAATTAGTGGTTTCATTACAATTTCAGGATTAAAAAAAAAACCTTCTTTAACAATAAATATATAGCAGTCAATTGTTTTTGCTGTTTTATTTATCTACAATTATTGGGCACATTAAGCCTCTCTAACAACCTACTAAATCTGTTGGCCAATAAGGATTCCTGGCAAAGCATTGTAAACTCCTTCTCAGATGCATCCACATGAATTAGTGCATGAACACTCTCCGGAAAGTTCAAAGTTAACTTGAGGTTTATTTATAGTTTATAAGGAAGCGCTAGGTGATATTTTAGATAAACGCCACAGCAAAAGTCATACACTGAAGATAGAAAGGTAATGACTTTAAAATCAGGCATAATTATTTGAATATTTTGTGTGCCACTTTTAAATAATTACTTAAAATGTATTGTACTAAACTAAGAAATGTGAATAAATCTTTAAAGATGAGTAATGTTAACTCAATACAGAGCAATAGCAAACAACTACTTTCTATTCTTTATGTTAACTATTTATGTAAGCATGTATTCTAAAGAGGATTTGGGACAGATACACGCTGATAAGAATATTTTCAGTTTTAATAACATTTTTTTTTTGTTACAGCAAAATTTGCTGATAGAATGGAAAAGAAATCATCAAAGGCAGAGCCACACAAAATTGACTTGAGTTTAAAAGGACAAGCTCAACCTGACTTACGAATCAACCATCCAGCAGTAGTAAGTAAAACTCAAAAAACAAGAAAGGAAAGACATACATTACAACATTTAGTCAATCAAACAGAACAAGTTGAGGATAATCAAACTAATTTGGATCCAGGCACCCTGAAATTTGTTATAAATTTAGCTAGCAATCCATTGTACATTGATGAGCTTATTACCATACTCAAAGGCCATTTGGATAAATGTTACCAGAAAGCAACACCACTTGAAGACAATGAACCTAAAACCTTGAGGTCAGATGAAGGCATGGGTTTACTACAAACCAATGAAAATGATGATGAACATAGCTTGCAATCTGCAAGTGATTTTCCAAAAAGCTTAAAGTCTGACCAAATTACTGAGGATAGCAAAAAAAAGTTTGAATTTCAAATTATGAACCTCCAGTCATTATTTAGTGAACTACAGAATTCTTTCAAAGAATTTCAAGATAGTCTAAACGCAAGGGTGAAAGAGATACAGGCTGACCTCAAACATGGTGTACACACATCTACAGATGATGACAAGAATCAAGATGTTATAAAAGATTTTGAGAGGATAAAACAATGTCATACAAAATTTTTCAATCAGATAAATACATTTATTAATGATGTACATCAATTTCTTTATGACGACATAAAGATGCAAGCACGACAGAAGCCAACATTTCAAAACCCCCAACACACCCAAGCACGAAAAAAAACTAAACTACCTGATGTCAAGAAAAGCAAACCACAATTGACAGGCTGCACTTCACCAGAATACATGCGACAGAGACCGTTCGTGCCAGTAACAGAACATACAGAAAGGAAAAAACAGCAAGGAGGTATGTTTGCCACAACAAAACATGTAAGACAATCAACGGATAAGGAAGGGGTAGAGGAACAATCACAGAGACCAATGTACAGAAACATGAGCTCCTGGAACCGTAAGGGATCAAATATTTACCGTTAAATTTATATTTAACGTCCAGAAAGGGGGATGTATTTTTGGAAATTATGTATACCCAACAAACTAAGCATTATGGAAGCACTGTGCTAAAAACTTTGGGTTTCCAATTAAAAGTCCCAACATAACTTTATTAATTTTTGAAATCTATTTCATGAATACTTTACCCGAATAAACCCCATATTGCCAAATTCTCTACAAGGTCTGAACACCCTTTGAAAATAATAAAGCAGTCAGGTCTTGGCATCTGCATAAGCCACCCTAAACATAAGCACACAACCTCATTCTTTTGTGTGTGGCGCAGTATGTAAAGCGTTGGACTTTCAATCGGAAGGCTGGGGGTTCGAGACCAATGCTCATCATACTACTTGTCTCCCTATCGAAAATACAGGCCAAAAGTGCCAATATTTCCTGGAAAACATTTTTGAAGGAAATAATGGAGCCTACGGCCTCTATTTTCTATAGGGGCTGAAATAACTTGACAATAATTGCTTTATAAGTCAGTCAACCTGTTTTATACAATATTTTTAGGCAGTATAATCAAACTGCACGGTTGCGGTGACAAGTTGTGAACAACACATTAAATGTGCATGTGAATTTGCTAGTAGTATGACATTGACACTCTTCACAGCTCTTCAATATATGATGATGATGAATAAATTGATTGTGGTTAATGAAGATTATTAGGTGTTATAAGGTAAGCCTAACCTCCTGCTAGACATTTGTTAAATAGCTTAAAATGTATTGTAAACATTATTATGAATTATTTCAGCGTTGTCTTAACTTTCAGTTCTTTTATAAGTTGTGTCCGGGCCACTGTAAATAACAATGTAGTTCAGATAATTTTCCTTTTGTAGTGTTAAGGTTTCTCCATTGAATGTGATTTTATCCTGCTTAAATAAATTTCAAATAAAAAAAATAAAAAAAATAAGTCAATCACCATGTTATCTCATAGCCATATGCCTAGGTCTGGCTTAATTCATGTTAATCACCAGAGCCGCAGAACAAGATTTATGTTCGCTGTGTGTTCAGAGATTGGCCTAGCAACGAACTATTCATCGCAATGTAAAACAGACCCAGATTTGAGGTTTTTCAGACAAGACGCAAAAAAATTGCAGGCACTATATCAAATTAGTGCTTGCTCAGGCATAGGAAAATTATGACAAATGAAAATAAAGACGCCATGACTGTCTTAATAAAAGAGATTATACCTAGTCGTTACATGCATTATATAATAAATCTAGAGGTTTTAAATACAGAAACCTAGGTTCAAGTTATTTGCTACCTATACCAAAAAAAGATGTTCTACCTACTTGCTTACAAGACATTTCACAATTTCAACTTGCGTAGCACCATCTTGAATCTCTTTGACAACTAATGGCAATGTTGCACTCTGAAAGATTATAAATTGTTAGTACTACATGAGAGGTTTTTGTTTATTTTTAATGTGTTGTGTGAAAAAGAAAATAAAGTTCAGACATTATTTATTATACTCCTTATGTGAGAAAAACTAATAATACATTAAAATTATTATCATCAGATTTTTTTTCCCTTTATGATTTGTCTACGTGCATGAATTTTAAAATATGCTGTTTGGTAAAATCAGAAAAATCATTAAGAATTAAATCAAAACATTGAATTTCTCACCTAAAATGATCAAGTAATTCAATAACCAAAAATTTTCAGTTTCGCCAAGATACAGCCATTTAACTACAAAAATGTGTTTAATAGCAAAAGGGTCAAATGCAGAGAGTATATCTACAGTATTTATCTACACAAGTGTATTCGTCATTTTTTAATTTGGATTCTTAAATGAAATCTTGTGAAATATATACAGTGTATATAAGTCAAATAATGCAGTGTATTAGCTCAACACTACCTGCCATTGTCTCTCACTTTCGGCCTAGCAAACCTGAAATGTGTCTGTGGTTGTTTTTTCTGCTTTGCTGTGTTTATTTTTTGTTAATCATATCTCTTGTTTGTCGTATCACAAAGTTAGAAGCAGTTTTAGTCAACTTATTGTATTTTGCTACATATTACTTTCATGCTTGCTTTATCACCATTTATTATTTACTTTCAAGTTTTACATTTATCCTTATGGGGAAAAAAATATTACAGAACCCAACATAATGAGTCTGTTGTACTTAAGCCTATTAGTATTATAAAAAATCATCAACATGATGATGGCAGCAGCTGGGCAAAAAAAAAAAGTAGTTTAGTTTACATTTTTAAAATATGAAGTCTGATGTTTGCATATGTTTTGTTAAACATGAAATATTGTTGAATAAATAAATAAATAAATAATCAGAATCTGAGTGTTGTTACTAAATTAATTTAATAAAAAATGTAAAAAAAAAATACATAAAAGCAGAATACATGTCTCCCTCTAATTAATGATCACTTCTGGGACTGGCACTTAAATAGTCTTTAGCAGCTTTGGTTTCTAATTATTACATAATAAATATAAAAACATTTGTTGATTTGCGACCATAGAATAGTGGTCTTTAAGAGGAGGTGGTCTACAATTGGAGGTCTTTAATTAGAGGGAGACTGGTATTGATGTACTTACAAATTTTTTACTAGCTTCATGTAGAAAATGTTGTTTGTTTGCCAAGCTATTAAGAAAAACTTTAACAATAGCCGGACTAATCACATAATCAACATTCTGTGCATTACATTCACGTAGAAGACGCTCTACAAGTCGTAGTGAAAGGTATCGACATTCCTGGCGGGCAAGGAGCAACCCTCCTGAAATGAAAAGCAATTATATGGACTGTGAGGTACTGGGGCGGGTCCAGATTTTTGCAGGAGGGGGTGCAGAAAGAAGGGATCTCCTGTATATAGCTGAAGTTTAAATGACTTGGAGAACTGTCTTCTGTCTTGTAACCCTCCCAGCTTTTGACAAACTTGAAAGCCAACAATAATTTTAGCCTGAAAATTATTCTCATAAATGACCCCCAACCCCTAACAGTGGCAGATCCAGGAATTTGAAACAGAGGGGTCCAGGGAAGGACTTTGACAGATGGAGGGTCTATACCACCTCAGCCCCAACCATGGTGGGGCTGAGGTAAGAAAATGACAATTATGGCCAGATGGCCAGAAATGGTACTTAAAATTTGTAAATAATTTTCTTTTTTCTCCAATTTTGAAAAATTCAGGGGGCCCGGGCCCCCTTGAATCCGCCACTGCCTAAAGAAGAAAAAAAATGCTAACTATTTAACCGACATCTGTACACTTTTTTGACAGCTAAAAAAGCAGTCTAACTACTCTATATTTTTTAAGTTTAAATCAAAATTACAACTGAAAAATATAAACAGGTCCATGATTACATGCTTATCCCACACACATATGTGTTGTTCCAAAACATATATGTTTATATATGTATACACTGTGATTTTTTGGGGTGTTGCAGAGTGGTCTATTGCTATATCATAAATGTGTATCCTCAATTTATGAACTTATTACACAATAGTAATATTTTTAAAATTTTATATATCATTCTGATTCAAAAGTAAGAGAATTCCTCTCACAAAAAAAGATGAAAATAATATTCTCCCTTATAAGGCTTAAGTTGTTAAGTTGTTTGTATACATGAGAAAAAAAATCCTGTGTAATTCATTCTGATATTGGCAATTACAATACTGAATGAACAAAATAAATTTAAAAAAAAACCCACCATCTATAACCTGTTGACAAAACACAGCAAGTTTTTCCTGATCTTGAAGAACAAGCTTGAGCACTTCATCACAGACGTGGTTGACGTTTGGATGCGAGATAATTGTAGACTCCTGTTAAGAAAAAACAGTCAATATAGTAGAAGTGTTTGGCGCAACAGTTGTTGCTCGGGCTCTCAATCTTGAGGTCAGAGGTTCGAATCCCTCACTTTGCAAGTCACTTGTGTCATTAGGCAAGACATTTTATCTACATTTGTCTCTCTCCACCCATGAGTATAAATTGGTACCGGCATATGCTGGGAAAGGTTAAACAGACTGTTGTACGGTAGAAATGGCGAAACCCTCACAGCCTTACAGAGTCTGGCACGAACGCCAAGGACAGAGAGAGGGCACTCTGGCCTGTCAGCCCAGAGGTTCAGATTTTGACTTTTACCTTACTTATACTAGGCGGGGTAAGAGGTATAATGTGGTGGTTAGGAATCGATGCCTAGACAGTTAGGGGTAAGGTTTCAATTGCTTTGACAGAATCAGTCGAGGCTTGATGCCTAAAGTAGATAGAGGAGATGGGAATGGAAAAGTGTAAAACATTTTTCTAGAACTGTGGAGAGATGTAGTGTCAGCTTGACTGTCAAAAGGATTATTAGAAAATACTTCTTTTATACTTTATTTCGCAAATTTATTTTTTAAACATCGTCAGAGGAAGGTGGATAAAAAAGAAAATTAAAATTTCAGTTTTTCATTTAGCAAATAATTTTGCCAAAAACATCAAGACAGAAGAGAAATTAAAAATAAAATTCTATTGGTGAATGTAAACAGTGTAGTAATTTATATAATTAGGAAGAAATACACATATATCATTTTTGGAGAATTAAAGACAGCGGCGGGTGTAATAAAAATAAAGAGAAACTTTCATTTTTTTTGTCTAAAATTTCCATTTTTTCGTGGCGACGGGTGCGCTAATTGGCCCAAAATAAAATTGTATTTTTATTTTAATAAGATCACCATTATTGGTGGGGCAGCGGGTTTGCTAAACAAGATATAAAAAGCCTAGCCTTAAGCCAAAAAGGGAGGAAAGAGTCCCTGTATTCTTATGGAATTATTAATTAATTAAAAAGGAGAGAAGCTGTTTTTTTTTTACTTAAGTTTTTTTCCACACGCGATATTCAAAAGACAAATTTAGGCAAAATGGCTGCTTGAAGGATAGAGCACTTACTGTGAGGATTTTTACAATGTGACCAAGATTGCCTGGATGTAAGATGTCTTTGTGCTGCCAATGTGTCTTCAGAAATTTGCTTTTAACAACATCCTGTTGAGGGGAAAATAGCCTTACAAAATACTCTGGGATTAAAATAATATTAACGATGAAAACAATAGTTATTGTAATATAGTATTAATAATCAGTGTTACTACTAACACCAAACATATAAATAATTGGTAATATGTTAAAACAACAATGGTAAAGGTAATAATACATAATACAGGCGTACATAAAATTCTATGACAATTAATGAGCGCCTGTCATATTATGAAGGTGTCCATCAAATACTACGTCACATTAAACAGTGTCCATTAATACTACAGTATGCTAATTGGAGAGCTTCACTGCCACATTATACAGGTGGCCATTAATGCTATGCTAATTTATAAGTTGCACTATGATGTGATACATACAGGAAAACAGCGATGGCAGGTTAACAGGATCTGCAAAACGTGAGGGGGACACCCTTCCCAGCCACAACTCAGGTCATTCTTCAAAGACGGCCAGATATGCTCACTAAAGGTTTCTTTCGAGCTCTAAAAAAAAAAAAAAAAAAAATTAGACTCAAAAGGTTTGGTTAATAATAATAATCCTTTATTCGTCCTCATTCTAATTTGAAATCAGAAGTTTAGGCTGGGCCCCTGCAGACCCGGGTAGCAGCTGCAGTGCAGTACCACCCGGCTTAACCACAAACATATAACAAACACATACGGATACAAACATTGTCCTTAACCCAGACTATTTCTGAATGTGCAGGTTATTCGAGGAGCCCAGCGTCAGACTCCAAATTTAAACCCAGATTGGCCGGGTTTCAACAGAGGTCTTCAGCACAAGAATTCATCTCAGCCAACTGCTCAGTCACTAATATTAATCATCAACTAATATTAATAATTTCTATTCATGTACTAATTAATACCGAATAATGGTTGTTCATCAAAGATTAATATTCAAGAAAATATAGTTGTCTGTATAAAACAAAATAGAATATTTTTATCACCTGGAATGTATCATAGTTAAAAGGATTAAACCCAGAAATTTTGGAACAGAAGTAGCATCTTAACCACAAAGCCATTGTTCCACTCTAATCTAATGAGGGCAGACTAGCTCACATGGCTGGACTATCAATTTAACAACTGTAATAAAATTTCTCCCTACCATACAAATCAAGTCTGCTGCTGCCTGAGTGCACACTTCCTGTAGATAGCTTTTCTTGTCTGCAAATGCTTTTAGCTTTGCAAGAACATTTACTGTATACTTTCCATCTTCCTAATTTGAAAAAAGAAATCTCAGATGTATATTCAGATTTTGAAAAATTAAGTCAGAGAGACGATTTGTACAATATAAATAAGTATCATATATGTTACATTTTAAGATGAAATTAATTCAGCATATATATATAACATAAACTTGTTTTAAATGGCAAAGTATAATAATGGCCATAATTGTATATGTACAATAATGTGTCCGTGTAGTCAAACATATTATTGTTACGCAACTAACTTGTAATTAAAATACTTGATGTCAATTTCAACTACTGAACAAATTCAATTCTATTCATGAAATTAATGAATTATGAATAGCTATAATAATAATTAAATAATAATAATAATAATAATAATAATAATAATAATAATAATAATATGCAGGCTTTTATATAGCTCTCTATTCAACTAAGTGTCAACATTTCAGAATTACAGATGTGTATAAGAGACAGCTTCAAGATGCGCAAATGCAATTTCCTCCAACTTTGGAAGCTTATAACTCGGGATTGGTAATAGCTATCAAGGTCAAACTTGGTATTCTAACTTATATTCCACCATATTACACAAATATGGCATCAGATTAACTGTTATCCCTTAAACTGTCCTGATGATGACATACTGAATGTCAAAATATTGAATTCTGACACGATGGCGTGCATTTCAATACTTGGAGTGTGTATTATACTATCTTAAACCGTCCAGATTTTCAAAAAACTGATGCATGCCCACATGATCACAAAAAAAAAATGTTGTATGAACATATGATCACAAAAAAACTGTTGTATGCCCATGATCACAAAAAAACTGTTGTATGCCCATAAGATGATCACAAAAAACTGTTGTATGACCATGATGTGCCTATATATCATCATGATGTGATGTCATCATGACCACATTTAGTCATGTCTTTTTCAAATTAAATATGATAAGCCGACAAATAAAAATGAATCTTAATAATGTAAACTGTACATTTTACACATTTTTTAACCTTTTGATCTTATTGTTGGGAATCTATTTTTTTTTTATGTCTCTCTTTTACATTAATGATTTTCATTTTTACATTAGAATCTCTTATAGTTGTAACTATGATTGTATAGGATAGAAGTGTGAATTACACAATGGTGAATTGGGCAGCACCCCAGGAGACACTCCCTTACCTTTTTCCGAATACTGCATTGTACTGAATTTTTATATTTTGTATTTTACTTATTTTAATATACTTTAAATTTTACTTGGTAATGTGTGTATTAAAACAAAACATTTTCATTTTATACATATGTATTTTTTATGGACAAGTCAATAAAATGAATCTTGATTCTTAAATTTTAATCGGGACAGGGCTTTGAAATGGTACCAATTTGTGTTTATACAATGTCAGAATTACAGGATACATTAAAGTATATTGTGTAATATACACTTTTGATAATATGCGCAACCTTTATTAAAAACTAAAGAGAGGCACTAGTTAAATCTCTTATGACAGTTTCATTCCAGATGGAAACCAACTATCATTTCCAAATAGAGATTCATGACAAAGGTTTAATTGTTAGTTTGTAAAATGATTTTACCTGTTTACTTGTCTTGGAATGGAGATGATTCTTAATCAAAACAAACACCTCTTTCAAGCTGATGACAGGTAGCAATGCCAGTAGCTAAGGACAAACACAATATAAATCAATTATTATTCATGTTAATTAAACACCATGATAATTGCTGATCAACCTACTCAAAAGTTAATAGTTATGGTACCTATTATTCACTAGATTAATTAGTTGAGTATTCCAAATTGAATTTAATACATTTTCTTCAATTACTATGATTGCCCAATAAATAAAAAGTTGTTATTTCTTACAAATCTGAACAAGATACAAGTGTACAGTATATACTAAACATCTATTGTAAACAATCATCATAATATATTTATTTCTCAAGTCAAACCTACTAAAATATGAGACTTCCCAATTCCAACATTTGCAACAACCTTTAGGGGAAAAAAAAACCCCTTTTTCCCTCCTTTTTATTGGGACACAAGCTAATATTTCAGTAATAAATTTTGCATCAGTGGCATCTGCTACATGCACTGTGTTAACAATAAAACAATACATTAGCAGGGGGGGGGGGGATTACATTTGGCAGCCACTTTTGAATAACAATTTTTTTTTATACCTCTGCAAGTGCTGTAGCATATCCCTGCCTTGCTCCTTGTCTTGAAGATGCTAATCCTTTGACTAGCCTCTGAAGTGCATAAATAACATCTTCACACAAGGCCTCCTTCTGGAAAAGAAAACTCAGCAATTTAGTTTACAAGTTTAAACGGACATACCGTAGTGCATTAAGACAGTGAGACTAAAGTTTAAGGCCATGTTTCCGCAGCACTTATTCGATAAATTATCAGAGGCAGCCATTTTGTTATTTTTCACTGCGGAAACGGGGGTAAAATATTTGGAGGGAATTTTAAGATAATTTATCAGAGAAATTATCAGAGAAACACGGCATAAGGTTAGGGTCAAGCCAGCTCCATCAATTTAGTCTAAAGATCTCCGATTTGTATTCAATCAATGGAACATCAACCATGGTATAAAAGTTGGCTTTTGTAAGGCATCTTACCCAGCAAACACAAAATGTTCTTATATGACATTCAGGACCATTGTGGTTCAGTATGTTAGAAAAGGTGGTCAAACAAGTTAATAACCATTCTGTACTGCAGTAGTTCTCACAACCAACTGTGAAAATTAACAATTTGAATTTATTCTCACAGCAGTCATGTGAATATCCTCTTTTGTTGCATGGTACCAGACTGTAAAGCAAGGTCTGAGCAGGGAGTATATTCTCCGCACAAAAATTAGGCATAGTAATCCGATCGTACATTTCTGAAATTTCTTGCCTTATCTGAAAATGCACACTTTGGCAAACCTTCTTTAAACTTTTTTTCACAAACTTTTTACTTCACAGCCTATTTACGATTCCAGGCACCAAGCCGCGGCCCAGCAGCGCCAGGGACCAACATAACAAATCCTGGCAAGAACTTTTGATCATGAAGCCTCCATGTATACAATATTTTGACATCATTATCTGTTCTCTCAGTGATAAAATTTCATTGTATACAAATTAAATATTATTTTATTAAATAAATAATTCCGTACATTTGTGTTTCCCCCTTCCCCCACAATTATTGATTTTATTTTTTTTCTACCGTGATTCAACCAAACACGGTTCAGCCACACACGTCATAGCTTTCTCCTTCTTCCAAAAACTTTTACGCACACTCTGTTACTCCGCAACTTTGAAAGACTACAGACTACCTTACTATACAGGTAATTATTATGTTTTGTAATAAAGTATCCACATGGGCATTCGGTTATCAAGAAATGTGTGGTGTTGTTTACTGTAGTGATTTTTCTAGGGCAGGTCTTATATTTATTTTTATCTTTAGCTCATGACTCATCCCATCATTCCTCCATACCTGAGTTACTTGATCTTACAGGGTTAAACTGAGGGGGCATAGACACAAAAACTGCTTATAACTCAAATAGCATGCATCATCTGGCACTTTAGCAGCGTGTGCAAGCGATGAATTCGCTGTACCGATGAAGCGGCTTTATTAAAAACTACTTTCTCCATGATGAAACGTCTCTTTGTTATTTTTTTTTTAATTTCCAGGCGGAAATTTTAAAAAAACATAGTTTGCGGAATGTCGCTTTATAATGTTTATCCATTGACATCATAGAGTTGTCAAAAATGACAGCAGGATTGCATGTAGATAATGATGCACAGATATAAGTACAGTATCTGATATTTTAATTTCATTCACCTGGAGTTTAGGTTGCTGACGTTTTGTGGAGAGCGTAATGAATTCGGTTTTTGCATCATTCAACTTTAAACTGTTTTTGGACATCCATGATCATAATTCCAAGATACAGCCTTCAATTAAAATACTTCACAGGCCCATGGGCATCTTACTTCTGTGAATAACAACCATCTTGTTGAGAAATCGATCACACACAGCAGCCGGCCACTATGATGAATACAGTAATTTAATTTGGACAAAAACCAACACAGCCCCAGGCGACACTTCAGCCCTAAACCAACTTGGCCCCAAACCAACTCGGTTATTCAAGATGGCAGGTTAAAATAGTTGGGTGGTCCCTGTGTTGTAAAATAAATAGTTGACTTTCATTGTCAGTTTTTGCAAGGTGCTACGTTCATCGAAAACATACTGGGTGTTGCCAATCTGAAATAAACAGTTTACCAGAAAAATATTTACCAGAAATAACAGTACTATTAGTGCACCTGTTTAATTCCAAAGTTTTAGATTTATTGAAAAAAATAAACAGAAAACAAAAAGAAAAAAACCCTTCTGGGGCAGCCAGCCTAAAAAAACAGTAGGCCTACCGTTTACTTTAAAAGTTTTCCGTAACATTAATAAATATAATAATATAATAATTATAAAATATATAATTCAGAAAATATAAAAATAAATAATAAAAATAGTTATACTAAAAAGTAATATTAGACCTATAAATAATATCAATAATTATAATAATACTAATAATAATGGTCTTTGGGTAATGGGTAATCGCGATCGCTATTCATCTGTCTGGGTAATTCTGTATCATTTGGGTAGTTGTCATCTGGGACGAGTTGGTTTTGGGCCGAAGTGTTGTCTGGGCCGAGTTGGTTTTGGTTTGAGCCAAATTGGGTTGGTTCGAATTGGCTTTGGGCAGAAGTGGCCTGCTACCCCGTAGGGAGGCCTAAACTAGGCTTATTAGGTCTATAAATTTTGTTTCAGAACAATCCTATAAAATTAAATATGCCTAGGCCCCTAGATAGTCTAGAGACATATAGGCTAGATAGTGGTTAGCTAAAGACTATATGATAAGGCACTCCAAAAGGGTTAGGCCTACACCTAGACACATAGGCTAGGCTAGGTTGGCTTAGGCCTACCCTACGAACGACTACCAAACCTACCAAGACTACCTTACCTAGCCTACGACTATAAGATCAGTCTCTCTGTTCTACTGAGTTAGCAGGCCTAGTACTACTACTACTAGGCTAGGCCTAGTACTGGTAGTAAACAGTCAGATTTCTTACATTTTCTTGAACACTTTGCTTTTGTTCAAGAATCTTAAGGAGTGTATTAGCACCAGATATCCTTCTATCGTCATTGGTGGCAGCCAAAGCCCAAAAAGTACTCATTAGATGCTGTTTTTCGGAAGTTTCCATCTCCTGTTGTTTAGAAGACACATGTGCGATGGGCGCAGCCATGCTGGATTAGAGTTGCCAGATTATCGACATGCTTCACGTCCAAACACACGCCATCTCACGGCCAAAATTCGACCAGATTTTTTAACCAATTAATGTGTTTATGCTTAAAAAGTAGAAAATACACAAAAATACAACAAAGACCACCTACAGTATATTGAAAAGAGCAAAATGGTCGCATAACAACACTGTTGCATTACCTACCGATAGGCCTATTCCAGCCTCTTTAGCTCATTAAAAAAAAAAACCAATATTTTTCGTTGTAGCAAAAAAAATTAAATAAATAACTTGAAATGCCGAACCTCAATTTTGTACATTTTTTTTTAAAGGAGAGGAGGAGCGTGGCCAGCACACTAACTATTTTTTTAACATTCTGTTAAATTACAAAAATTGCAAGAAAATCAGCGGTCACTTGTTTGAAATTGAAGAAATTAGAATGATATACACAGAAATGTTTCAATGTTTTTGTTCTTACAATTAATTTATCACCATACATTAAATGAGTCCCAGTTACATCATAATATTATATGTTCCTTTAATTAGTTGCTAGCATGTAGGCCTATTTAAGATCGCATTATTAAGATTTATCTAAATTTGATTTAAATGTATTAAATAAGGTACATATTATATTCGATCTCAAGCAATAATTTCAAGGGCCTGTTAGTATCTTCATATGGCATATCCGTGACTCCCGTGAAAGTTACATTAGTGAGCTAACACAAACCAGTGTTAACTCAAACCTATGGAAACTTTAATAAATACTTTTTATAAACGTTCTAAATTCGCGACTGAATGATTGTTGCAGTACATAAAACAATAAATCAATGTCGCTATCAGTCAGAATCATCTTCTTCATGATTCTCCTGATATAATATCTCTTTCCTCTCTCGAGGGCGTTAATAAATTAAATATAATCAAAAATATATAAATAAATATAGCTAAGACTTATATCGCTACTTTTCAAATAAAATTTTTGTGGCATGTATAATACAAATATAAAATATATAACAAAGAGGTAAAATTTGAAATACATAATATCAACAATAACATTAACAATGAACACTTTTGTCATCATCAATTTATTTAATGTCAACCTACGATATATAGTGTATTTACTCAAATAAATGCCCCTCTTGATTAAGTGTCTACGTCGAATAAATTCCCACACTAAAACCTCATTAAGAATAACAACCTCCCTCATATAAATGACCCGGGTGTTTATATTTTCCTTAAATAAACGTTGCGAACTGCCCCTCAAATGACTATAAACGAAACTAATGGAAGCACCATCTTTCTCCAAACACATTCTATTAATGTTCTACTCCTGTAGAATTGCATCTTTCCTAAGCTGGTTGAGGTCAATAAGGGCACGCATAGACTAATAATTGACGGCTGTACTCGCAACTAGTATCGGATTGTCGATGCCACAGTAAAGATCAAAGGACTGTACGCACGCGCTATGTTCGAGAGCGGAGATGTGCGTCCTTTTGTTGAATTACCTTGCTCGAATAAATACCCCCTCAAAATATATATTATATATAGTGTAACTTTCATTCTAATTAAAGAGAGTCACGGATATGCCATATGAAGATACGATAACAGGCACTTGTTACACTATTTTGGCGTAGGTGTGTTACAATTTACAATTCCAGAAAAGAAAAAACACAGCTTTTATTATACAGTATAATTATAATTTCGTTGAGTTATGGGCGCAGCCATGATAGTTCATTATTTTTTTTGTTGAGCATAACTGTTTTTATAAAGAATAAAAATGTGATTTTTTTTTCTATTTAAAAAAAAAATTAAATTTGAAATAAAATTAATTATTTACGAAAAAAAATAAATGAAGGGTTAAACATTTAATTTGACATTTAACAATCCAGATTTTAGTAGTCAATTTAATAGTTTTACATAAGAGCCTGTTACATACATGGGGAGTCTCTTGTAAAGATGTCGGATCGGGATCACTACTCTCATCAAGGTGGATACGGAGGGTACTCTGGGGATAGGTACTACGTCCTTAGATAATTTATTTTCAGAAGTGTAATATATATGTTTTGTCTACGTTTGCAATTCATAACTTAAATGAAAAATCAGGACGATTTATGTTCATCAATCTGCGTAATTTTGGTGTGGCCAATTCGCCATGACCTGGGCCCCCTGCATGCTCTTTGCCGTGGATCGAGCTGCTGCTGCAGCGTAGGCCTAGCCTAGTCCCTAGCTGCTGTGGATTATGCGTAGGCTAGTTTCTCCTAGCCTAGGCCTATCCACTCGTATTGCCACATTGTATGTAACACCTTCAAAATCAGGAAATAATCGTGTTGTGTTTGCTTAGTAATTGATTGATTCTAGTGATAGCTAAAAATGGGTTTGGCCTCGATGTATTAACATTCACAAATTCATGAAATTTAAAGATAAAAAAAAAAGTGTGTCTTGTTTGTCTTATTATAAAGTAGGCCTTGTGCACTATTCTTCCTATACAAATTAAGTAAAATGTTGAATTTAATAAAAATAAATACTAGGCCTACATATGCTTAACACAGTTACCAGTAAGAATTTTAAGTTTGTTGTTAAACCAGGGAGGGGGTTGTTCTGGTTAAACATAAGCCTAGTATTATACTCTTATTGTATTAATACTTTCTTGTATTGTTTGCCTGGCCTAAGCTTTCCTTCTTTGCGAATGGACATAAAAAACCTGTTGCCTGCCTTTCCTACCCACAGTCTATGTTAATTTTAAGTCAATATGCATATTTTATATATTTCAATTATCAGTCTTACTAGTAATAATATTTGTTAGGCATTCTCTGAATCAAATTGACTAAAAACATCAATACAAATTGTGTTCCAACATTCGTGCCAAACATGTTTGCGGTCCTACACCATCCTAGGCCTACACATTTCAAATCTCCATAGGGACCATGGAGGTGTACATCCTAGTTTTTTAGGCCCTTGGCAATTTATAAGTCTTGGGGCGACTTATGATAATTCACAATATAGATGATGATAAACAGGTGATAATATTTTTTTTTTTAAACAATTATGATGATGATATAATTATTATGTTTGTATTAACAATTAAAATTATTATTGTAATTGTTAATACAAACATAATAATTATGTTTGTATTAACAATTAAAATTATTATTGTAATTATGGTGATAAAATAATAGATTATATTTTTAATTATCAGTAATTGAAACAAGTGACACTTTTGATAAAATTCATTTTTAAAAGAAGCTTTCGTGTACACAGACATGGATGAGAGGCTTAGTAAACAAGTGGTACGCATTATGTAGCAAGCAGGCCTAATAACAAGAAAACAAGCATCTGGGTTGGATGGATAACAGCGTAACCACCATGACAGGATAAATTTTATACCTTAGTCTGTTTTAAACCATAATCTATTTATATTATTTCAACAGGAGAGGTGGCGGCGGTAGCAGGGGACGTGGTCCGCCAAAAGAATTGCCAACCGAGCCACCTTTTACTGCGTTTGTTGGCAACTTACCACACCACACTGTACAAGGAGATTTAGACCATATTTTTAGTGAACTTCAGGTTAGTTTTCCCATTACTAAAGCTACAGTACGTTCACATCAAGCCTGAACAAAAAATTGTGAGTTGCTACGTTTTTTGAACGCTGCATTCACATCGGGCACGGAAAACGTCTAGACAGGTCATTCATGCTCGTTGCTGATTGGTCTAACAAAAAAACGTACAATTTCATGATACAAATGTCCCTCAGATCCATCTCTCAGATCCATCTCTCTGATCAATCCGGAGTCCAGATTAGAAATTGTACAAATTTAATGTGACGGTCATATTCTTTACCGCTGTACCCATTTTTCACAATTTTTTGTTTGGGCACAGGACCAGATCCGGGCTTTGGTATGAACGTAGCTTAAAAGTGGTTTTGGTGGAGTCAATGCCGTAGCCTGAATTTTCAAACAGAGCGGGACGATATCAGTGTGGACTCTACGCGTAAATCCAAATAATGTGGACCCATTTACTTAAAAGTGGACTCATTTTATTATTTATGCAAAAATATGAAAAATCTGGACCCATTTTCTTCAAAGTTGACCTATTGACCTATGACCAAAATATGAAAAATCCAGACTTATTAATTTATACCCATTTTTAAAAATGTGGACCCATTTTTTCTTTGTGGACCTAAAAAAAAAAAATTGTGTGGGACTGTCCCAATAGCTGGCTACGCCATTGGGTGGAGTGTTTTTTCTGTGATTGGTCCCAAGCTATGGAATAAAAAATAATAATAATACCAAATATTTATATAGTGGCAATTCCCAATTGAATGATCATATAATAATCTATCCTGTGAAATCCGCTAGGTCCCCAGTATGCAATCTTTTAAAAATCTTCTAAAATTTTATATTTTTCTTATAGTATTTTTATATTTACCTACTTATTTATATTTTTTTATGTACTGTTTGGAGATTGCAGGAATTCTATTGGTATTGCTATTATCATCAAAGTTTTAGTGAAAAATTTGTAACATAAATTATATAGCCTGATTGGTCTATGGTAGCAATGTAGTTTCTGGGCTAGTAAACAAGTCCATTGGGCTAGTAAACATGCCAACTACTAAGCTAGTAAACATGTCCAGTGGGCTAGTAAACATTAGTAAGCATGTCCAATGGGGTAGTAACCATGTCCAGTGTGGGCTAGTATTTAAGCATGTCCAGTGGGCTAGTAACTATGTCCATTGGGCTAGTAAGCATGTTCAGTGGGCTAGTAAACATGTCATCTAGTGGGCTAGTAAGCATGCCCAGTGGGTAGTAAAGATGTCTGATCGATAGTAAACATATGCTCAGTTGGCATCACAACATTAATAAGTTGATTTCTTGATTGAAATTTTTTCTAGATTGAAAATATTCGCTTAGTAAGAGACAAAGAAACAGATGATTTCAGAGGTGGGTTTTCAATTCTTTATCATTCACTAAATTCATTAAATAATACAAGCAATTCGTAATTTTTTCCCAACTTTTATTTTTAATGAGCATAGGGGCAATGCTGACTGTTTAGTACAAGGACACTCTTGCACAATTTATGTAACGTTTTTTTATTTATTCCGCCAACAATGTCGTACAAAAATTATTATGTACAACATTAAAACTTTAAACCCTGACATCCTGTTTGTTACATGCCAGTGATCCTGTGTCCCTGCCAGGGATTTACAGAAAGCAGAGAAAAACAAGAAAATACACTTTAGAAGTTTAATGATAGTTTACTCGTGCAGGAAAAGCATTTATTTTACAAATACCTACATTAAATTGAACAATTTATATATTTTATAAATTTATTAATTACTACTAATTATACATAATATTTTGGGCTAATGGGATATGAATATTTCAGCTTCAGCCCGATATAGTGGGCTTATGGGCTCAAAAGGTTAACCTTGACAACCAAAATTAATGGAAACCTTATTTGGAATACATAAATATCATTAATTAATAACTTCAAATGAATCTAGATTTGGGATTTACACTTTTTTATGCACCAAACAAGGGAAAGTATGTCTTGTAACACTACGGCCAACCCGTATTAAGGGAACGCCCCTGTAAAGTTAAAAAATAGTATTGTTTTCCTCATTTTCAGGATTTTGTTATGTTGAATTCAAGACATTGGATGACTTAAAAGAAGCCCTGTCATACCATGGTGCCGTAAGTTGACCGTCTAGTCACGTTTCCTCACTTGGCGGATCAGTGGCTGCCATACAAGCAGCTGTTTTTGCTGAAGTAGTAATACAATTGGATAAATTTGACCCGTCACTAGGATTTCTTAAGCCATATTCACACTATAAAATTTTGTTGGACAAAAACATGTGACATGCCTAAATATGGTCATGATGGCATTGAATGCGTCACATCATTAGTATATAAAGGTACATCATGAGCATAACAGTTTTTTTTTTCAGAGAAAATTTCATTTTGATAATCTAGACAGAGCTTAAAACAAATTAAATTTATCGTTTTTATACTAGATAAATCATTCAGTAGAAGTCTACTTTTTTTACACAGGGCCCGGTAATAATTTAATAAACTACAGGTCTCCCTCTAATTAAAGACCACCTCCAATTAAAGACCACTTTTCTGTGTCCCAAATGAACAAATGTTTTTATCATTATTATTCTAAGTAGAGACCATAGATGCTAAAGACCACGGAAACCTCGGTCCCAAATAGTTCTAATGATTAGGCTTAGGGAGTGGAGTTGCTTTTTGGTCATCAGAAAAAATTTGCCTATCTAAATAACATCATTTTGACTACCTATCCCTAATATTGTGGTTTAAAAGCACATTTTGGACCATAAAAGCCATACAAACTCTACCCATGAACCCTGCAATGGAGTTTTTATTCTGGGCTGTTGACCATTGGTTCATCGGCTCCTTTTACTTGAACCCCTCTGTCGGACCACTTGTCAGCTAATGTCTGGTGTCACCGCTGAACGCAGGGCCCTTATTTTTACAAATTTTACATTATAGACAATACTGATACAACAGCTTAGCTTATAATATAACACTATGTCATTTATTACACTTTTGTTTTATGTTCTGTAGCTTTATGAAGATAATGAATTAAAAGTAGACATTGCAGCGGATCGCAATCGCGACAGGGGTAATAGAGGAGGTAGGTTGGTTCTACTTTCTTTTTTTGAGTAGCTTTATGAAAAACAAGATTTAAGAATATATATATTGCAGCCCACTAAAAATGTTCTGTAATAATTGATTTTGTTATAGAATAAATGTAAAAATGACTGGAATTAATTTACAAACTTCGAATAATCTTTATTTTTGGTTCAGGAATGAGAGGAGGACGAGGTGGTGGAAGAGGAAGAGGAGGATATGATAGGGGACCCCCAAGGGAACAATGTAAGTAAACTGATATAAATTGCATACATGCAATTTCAAGTCCTAGCTGCTGGTTTACTGCTGGACAAATAGTTCTGCTCCAAATATATCTATGAGAGATCAAAGAGAGGTAAAGGTAGGGGGATAACGCATAATTGATTGTGCTGAATTGCGTATGGGCTTGGTCTGTGACTACCTAGCGGCCGTAAAGAAGCGCTTTTAGTAGCTACATTTTCACATCATTCCTTAAGACAGGGGCTGAAATGAACCATAGCATTGGGGTAACCCCCTAGGGCCCCTAATCTTCCAAAAGATGCAATTGGTTTTTTAAGGTGCACTCAAGCCATGATGTATGCACTGGACCTCCATTTTAAGTCCTTACCGAGAAGACCCTGGGCTAAAAGCGGCTGGAACCAGCGCCGATGTTAGCTAGCAGCACCCCTGCCTTACTGCTCCGGCATTCGACTTGCACAATTGGAGAAGTTGAGAACTAAGACCTGGCCAACAAGCGCTCCTGGACGTCCCAAGTAGCAAACACAGTTGCATAGATCAGGCTTTCAGCATTGCTGGACCAAGGCAACACCAAACTTCCTTCGAACATTGAACATTCACTTGACTGTTTTTAAGTCACTACTCAAGATGAACCTATTTTTATAATCTTTTTTGAACACCACCACAAGCAATGAATGTTGATTGATGGATTGATTGGTATACTTATGCAAAATTTATTGATAATTTCACTATTATGTTTGGGTAGTGAGAGCCATGTGTACCTGCAGTCTTAAGAAAAATAAAACAAGTTTTGCTAGGCTTCATCTAATTTCTTTACAGACAACAATTACAGAGGAGGTGGAGCAGGAGGAGGGGGACGTGATAGATATGGTGATAAAGATGATAGGGGCTATGGCCGACAAAGAGATGACTACCAAGGGGCCAGTAGGGGAGGATACTCACGGGGCCCTACACAACAAGAGGAATTTAAAGAATTATCCCCAGGTGAGTATGATTTATTGGAAAAAATGTATTATATATTCGGTGCCACCACTAGCTAAGAGACAATGTGCATTAGGAGTTAAATAACTATGAAGATTAAAAAACATCTGTTAAATTCTTATTTACAGAAGAGGCAGCAGCAAGACCACGATTAAAACTGAAGCCAAGATCAGTACCAGACCCCGTCAATCAGTTGGCTTCAGACATGAAACGAAGTGCGATTTTTGGTACAGGAAAACCTCGCGAAGAGGCAAAAGATGCCGAACCAAAATTTTAGGCAAGAAAGAAGTTGAATTACATTTCTCTGATGGTGTAACAGCGTTTAAAATCAAAATACTATTGTAGTTATTATCGTTCCGTTTCTTATTAAATGCACACTTCAACGAAACTTTACATTTAAAAACAAAAATAATCTTGCAATTGGGGTAATCCTACCTTAAAGTAAAAAAAAAATGTCAACTGTATTTTGGCACAGACCACTTTCTTTACATGGGTTTTAAAGTATGGAACATACGCTGACGACGCAGTCCAGAATTAATGAGGAAAGGTTTTTGATAAACTGTCAATGGAACTGTCTGAATATATTACTTATAGTAATGTTAGGAATGCTGTTTGCATTGTACATTTCTTTTCATCCAAAACAACTCTATTGTGAGAAATGTCCAAATTTTGTGTACGATGGCGCTTTCCTTGTTGAAATAATTGTGGCCATTGAGTACTTGAAATTTAACGAGCTGTGGTGGGATTTTTGCAAAATTTAAGAACTCATTTTTATAATGAAATTGAAATTGCATGGCATTGTGTTGTCATGATTATTTTTATTATATAATTTTTTGATGTTTGTGTGGATTTTTAAAGGTGTGTAACTACCAAGGGAAAAATAATAAAAAAAATGTTAATTCCCCTTTACATTAATAAAAGTTTACTCCATGAAAACCATTAAATATACAGTATATATGCTTTGGCACGTCATGCCAATAAACATAAGGAGGAAACACCACTATTTTACATACTATAAGTAAGGAAGATTTCATTCCTGTTACCAGTATGTGAAACTAGTGTACATCACCTCATATTGTAATTCCATGCTTCAAAGGAAGTAGCAGAACGTAGATAGTTTAATGCATGTATCATTTAAGCTGTTCTTTTTTTTACTTTTAAAATGGTCATTTTTGTTTCCTCAAAATATAACAATTCCTTTGGAGTTGTTTCAAAGAAATATTGTGTATGATGTGGACAAATTGTACAAGTTATATTTATGCACAGTTCCATACTGTTCATGTAATAAATGTACATATCTTTGTTGAGACCGTACGGAGAGGAGATGAAAAAATAAATAAAAATTTAAAAAAAATAAGGTAAATACGGTGTGTTTATTTCTTTAGAGTTGGTTTTGATTGTGTCCCTGAACATGCCAAGTCTGTGTAACGATCTCTATTAGGGAGCCTTCAATTGCACGGCGACAGTAGGACGTAGAAAGTAATAATGTCACTAAACTGGTGCCAGCTACTCTCCCCTGTCCATAACAGGGCCTGTATGGACCAGTACACCAGTAGCAATTACACCAGTAATTCCTTACTCATCTTGTACTGGGCCCATGAGCCAGTTGTGTACACTGGGTCTACGTTTTATAGTCCTTATCCAAAAAAGACCACCTCCAAAATCATAGGTGAGCCCAACATTCGAACCATCGCAGATATTATGGCTGTAGGTTGCAGCACCCCTGCTTTAACCGCTTGGCCATTCGATTTTCTGCGTGGCCATCCGGCACACTATATATGGGTAAAACAAATGTATGTTAAATTTGATAGTGTGGGCAGCCAATATTAACATACATTGTACATGACTGGTAAGGAAGTCTGGCATCTGCCCTCTGCTCTTTTTTCTTCTCAGCGTAAGGCTTCTTATCCTTAAGTTCTATACACTATCCCCATTCTCTCGGTCTATCTTTCCCTCCATCCCCTAGAACTTTAATAAACTCTTAATATATGCCCAATCTACTTCTTCCCAGGGCGGTGCTAGTCGGGGTCCAATTTGGCAAACTTTAAGCACAGTGATTGCTGAAATCAAATGCTTATTAACCTACATGTATGTTGTCAAAAGAATTAAAGGCGTAAATAGGAAGTCGCTATCCTATTGTAGATAAAAACAAACCTGCCCAACATTGTCCACCATAAGAGACATGGGAGCCGCGGCTCCCCCCTCCCCCCTTTGTACACATTTCAAAGGCTTATTTAACCGATTTTATAGTCTACTAATATGTAGAAAATACATATTATTTTTCTTTTCTCCCCGACGAATTGTTTTTTTTTTCTCCCCGACGGAGGCGTGGGGGGGGGGGGGGGGAGAGCTCTCCCCTACTGGGGACCCTCGCCCCGGCCCCCGCTGGTGCCACCCCGGCTGCATACTAATCCGGTCTGAAACGATATTCAAAGGTAGAAAGAGGATCCAATGTTTACGTTCTTTTACCCAGTGCTTTTAGACAACAGTATTATGGATTGGCAATCAAAATACTGTAACATTATTTGGATCGGCAAATTATCAATATTACAAACAAAAGTGCATGAAAGTGGCATGTGCGTCAGTTTGCTTTTGTAATGCGTGCGTTTAACGATAAATTGTATACTATCAAAACATTTGCACTTCAGGTAGGAATATACAGATAACTTAAATGTTTTCGTTTGTTCATTTCAATGTGTTTGGCTTTCAGCTGAAATTATAACGAGAACGAGAACAATTTTCTGGTATAAAATGTGTCTATGTCTTCGCTCTGGCAACAAATGTAAGATTTTTTTTCTTTTTAAAAGTTCCCCGATCTGTAACTTAATAAAAGATTTGGTAACTTATGTGCTTCTGTTAGTTATATTTTCATTTTGGTTTGTAAATTAATTCTGACAAAAGAATCTAGTGGGTGGTTCTTCTGATCACCACGTCCCTCTCGCACGTAAACCTATAGTCATGTGATGTAGAATGTCATCATCGAAACAAAATGAAAATCATGCAAACACATAAATCATTATGATTTTCACTATTATTAGGAAACATAACAAAGATTACACGCTTTTACAAAAATGATTAGGACGGTTAAATTCCAATTTACAAAGATACAATCTGTAAAAAAAAATCAATCATTAAAAATGGCAGATAGACCTACTACCCTACGTCATAGTAGGCATATATTCAAAATAACGGCTCACCCGCCAATATCAAGACCCTGTAATTCCAAGATCCCTCTTTTCTTTCGTTACAAATTTTCTAGGTCTAACATTCAGAAGTCATCTTGAACGATTACTTCCATGAAAAAATGTGGCCAACGCATGCGTTTATGTTTTGTCATATTTTTTGAAAAATGCTTAAAATGGCATAAAACACGACCCAAAATAATTTAAAGACGATTTAGACCATTTTCTATATTTTGCGGGCACTTTAATTCGAGACCAGTTTTCAAAGTAGACTAGTACTCTTATCTCTAAGTCCGATACCCCTCTAATTCGAGTCCGTGGCCACCTTTTTTACAGTTCCAAGTGACAAAATGAGCCAATAGACCACCTTTGGAAAAAAAAAATAACCAGACAAGTTTTAAACAACAAACACAACTCTATTCCTCACTGCGACGATAAGGATCTGCCATATATCAGGAGTGGCGCCAGGATTTGCCCGACGGGAGGAGGGGCGAGGTCCCCGACGGAGGGGCCGATGCCCCGACGAGGGCACAGATTTCCCCGACGAAAGAAATGTGGGCGTGGTCGAGCTTCGATTAAAAGGTTTCGAAAGCGGTGCAGGGGTGAAGAACCCGAAAATTTTAACAATTTAGAGGTTTCAAAGGCTTATTTAACCGATTTTATAGTCTACTAATATGTAGAAAATACATATAATTTTTCTTTTCTCCCCGACGAATTGGTTTTTTTTTCTCCCCGACGGGGGAGGGGTGGGGGGAGCTCTCCCCTACTGGGGGACCCTCGCCCCTCCCCCCGGCCCCCGCTGGTGCCACCCCTGGCTGCATACTAATCCAGTCTGAAACGATATTCAAAGGTAGCAAGAGGATCCAATGTTTGCGTTCTTTTTCCCAGTGCTTTTAGACAACAATATTATGGATTGGCAATCAAAATACTGTAACATTATTTGGATCGGCAAATTATCAATATTACAAACAAAAGTGCATGAAAGTGGCATGTGCGTCAGTTTGCTTTTGTAATGCGTGCGTTTAATGATAAATTGTATACTATCAAAACATTTGCACTTCAGGTAGGAATATACAGATAACTTAAATGTTTTAGTTTGTTCATTTCAATGTGTTTGGCTTTCAGCTGACATTATAACGAGAACGAGAACAATTTCCTGGTATCAAATGTGTCTATGTCTTCGCTCTGGCAACAAATGTAAGATTTTTTTTTTCTTTTTAAAAGTTCCCCGATCTGTAACTTAATAAAAGATTTGGTAACTTATGTGCTTCTGTTAGTAATATTTTCATTTTGGTTTGTAAATTAATTCTGACAAAAGAATCTAGTGGGTGGTTCTTCTGATCACCACGTCCCTCTCGCACGTAAACCTATAGTCATGTGATGTAGAATGTCATCATCGAAGCAAAATGAAAATCATGCAAACACATAAATCATTATGATTTTCACTATTATTAGGAAACATAACAAATATAACACGCCTTTACAAAAATTATTAGTGTTAAATTCCAATTTACAAAGATACAATCTGTTAAAAAAAATCAATCATTAAAAATGGCAGATAGGCCTACTACCCTACGTCATAGTAGGCATATATTCAAAATAACGGCTCACCCGCTAATATCAAGACCCTGTAATTCCAAGATTCCCTTTTTCTTTCGTTACAAATTTTCTAGGTCTAACATCCAGAAGTCATCTTGAACGATTACTTCCGTGAAAAAATGTGGCCAACGCATGCGTTTATGTTTTGAAAAATGCTTAAAATGGCATAAAACACGACCCAAAATAATTTAAAGACGACTTAGACCATTTCTATATTTTGCGGGCACTTTAATTCGAGACCAGTTTTCAAAGTAGACTAGTACTCTTATCTCTAAGTCTGAGACCCCTCTAATTTGAGTCCGTGGCCACCTTTTTTACAGTTCCAAGTGACAAAATGAGCCAATAGATCACCTTTGGAAAAAAAAATTAACCAGACAAGTTTTAAACAACAAACATTCCTCACTGCGACGATAAGGATCTGCCA